ATATTACGCCTGTGACCTTCACTTAAAATTAGGCCTACCACACTTGAAGACGGAAGGGATAGGAGTGCATAAAGAGCTGAGTGTTTTGATTCGATAGCTGACACTGCGCGTTGGGAGAGAGTGAGAGAGGGAAATCGCGAGAGAGAAATGCAGAGCAAAAGGTAGAGAACGCGCGAGCGAGAGAGCTCTAGATAGTAAGGGAAAGTGAGCCAGAGAGAGAGAGAGAGAGAGAGAGAGAGAGAGAGAGAGAGAGAGAGAGAGAGAGAGAGAGAGAGTCAGCGAGGGAGAGAGAGAGAGAGCGCGGAACAATTCTGGCTCGCAGATTGCGATCACCACGGTAGCGTCGAACACGTACGCGGCCATCGCTGTATGACACATTGAAGTGGGACTCGTTCGAAAACACTATATTTTGCCACTTAGCACACCAATGAACACGTCCCCATTGCTGTCTGAGGCGTTGGTGGTTTCTGGTCAACGGAATCCGAACAAAAGATACGCGTGCTACCACTCCAGCCCTCAGCAAACGGCGTCGAACCATCGACGCAGACATGGACACATCCTTGCAGGACTTCAAAGTCGAGCCAACACTGTGGACGACGCTTTGCTGTCGATTACGGCCACACGGCCAAGATGACAGTCATTTCATGCCGTGGTCACATTGTTTTGCCCAGTACCCGCTCGTCGCTTTGTACGAGCCTCCTCTATCCACTGGTTACACATACGCATTAGTTGTAACAGCGCCCCCCGTTCGACTCGTAATGTCACGGAACAACAAATTCACTTCCCGGAGACCGATCAATCTGCCCCGTTCGAACTCACTCAGATGCTGGTATTGCGCCTTTGGACATCGACAAGGCATCCGGCACTTGCTTGCATGTTTCGACGTCGTTTCACTGCTCTATACAGAGTGAGTGTGACCTCATTTGTCATACAAAGAAGGGCACTGCTAGGTCAACGTGCTCACAATCTCTATACAAATTTAATCACTTCTTATGTGTACATATCTACATATTCTTAAGTATGTCTACATATCTACATATTCTTAAGTAAATTAGGTTTTAAAATGTCTTCTGAGTGTAGCAATTTTCAAAAAAACTAGTATAGAAGCAAGCTTCAGAGGCAGAAAGGCGGATTTGAACTTGATAGTAGTGGATAGGTGCGACATCACTAATGTGTTGGGCCTGGATAGTTTCACGCCATGGAGTTCGGCGTGGAAAACCAAGTTAATGATATATCTGAAAGTGAACTAGTGGTCCTTCAAAATGGCACAGACTTTACAGTATTAGTTTTCTGTTTCCTTTGATTTCGACTGTCTATTCGGACTCGCCAGGTACTTTTGCCAGCTGCATCTATCGCCGCCCAAAGTACATTTTTTAAGTTTCTTAATTTTTCTATTTTTCAATTTGAAGAAAGGAAATATTATTTTAAAAATATTAAATAACAGTAAAACTTCCTATATGGCAATTTACTTTGAAAAATTTGGAGCCATTATTAAGAAAATGGCTTTTAAGCATTACCGTAACTTCGAAATGTATTGCTTTTTTCACGAAATATTTTAGTTTTCGAAAATCTTCATATGAAGTCATTTTAAGCACTTTAATTCACAAATACAACAATGTTTACAAATTGCTGGAAATGTGCATATTAACGGCATGAGATATCTTTTAAAACATTCAGTTACGTCATTTTTGAAAAAAAAAAACAAAAAATACCTGACATTGAACTTTACATCATATTAAAGAGTGCAATAAGCGCTATGTGAGAGAACCGCGACAAAATTTGTAGATTATAAATTAGGTTTCAAAAAATGTTTTAAAAGGATATTTGGAAACGCCAGCTTGATTAAATAAAACAGCTGTGTTTTAGCACCGCCACCATCGTCCAACAACAATGAATTTCTCGAAAATGAATGCGGCATTATGGCGGAAATTTCAATTAAGATTTGAGCTTTGCTTTAAAAAACTACACAATATATTCAGAATACAAATCGAGTAAAATGTAAGTGCTAGAAAGTAAAAATAGAATAAAGGTTGGCATTTTCAATAATGAATTATAAAATAAATGAAAATAATTATATTTCATATTATTCATTAAATTTTTCTTGTGACCCGTAGTTATGTGAAATCTCAATACGTTTTATTAATTTCCTGTATGAATTACGGAAAAACTACTCTTTTTTTAAAAAAAATACAAGACCTTTTTTAAAGAGCTAATTTTGTACAATGGACTCTGAAGAGGAAAAAATCTCTATCTTCAATCCTTAATTTTTTTTATTTTTTATTTTTTGCAATTTTCGAGGATTACAACGAAAACAAGACCTACGCAATTCTCTTAAACATCCTTCACACTATTCAACGACAAAATTTAATCAAAATCTTTAGAGACAATTTTTTGAAAATGTCCGAGGGTTTTTATGTAAAGTACCCCTAAAATTAAAATATCGGTTTCAAATTTCATAGTCTGCGACGTCAGCCAAATCAATTAAGTAACATCAATTTTGGAGAACATCGGCTGAACCGTTTAGACACTTGCATTGGCCACAGGATAGGCGGGCGTTTTGCCTTCAATTGATTTTTCGGTATCAAGAACTTACAAAACTTGTATTCTGGCTACTCTACATGTGAGAGAATTTTTTTCTACATTTAGCAACAGTATTTATCCATTTTGTCGTTATAAGAGCCTGGCAATATGAGTTTTTCTGGCTAAAATTTGCTATTTTCTGGCGCAGGATTAGAAAACTTATTCTTGAAAAGTCCCTTCTTAAGGGTAAAATAGTAAAAAGTAACAGAAGTTTTACCAAATGATGACTACAAAGCTGCAATTTCTAGACAAAGAAAGATGAAGAGGCAAGTGATTGATGGCAATTCATCAGATGCTTTTGAAAATGGAACACTGGGGGAAACTTTCGAGTGACGTATTTATTTCCGATCACAGATGCTTTGTTGGTAAACTTGAAAACGCGATCTGAAGTTTACAAAAAAATCTCGGACATGATTTCATTTTTCACGACCATGGAAACAAGATAATTTGTTGTAAAAATCGATGTACAGTAACTACTTAATAAATAGCCCCAAAGATTTGAATACAAATTTCACTGGAGAGTTTATAAATTTCTTTACGTACAGGAAGGGCACATACCATAACGCTAAGTAGATCACGAAGGACTGTTTCATATTATATTCAAAGACAATCTTTCTTTAGCATTTCCTAATGCTGAAACGTCAATCCGGATCACTAAGGCAGTAGTGTCGTGGCGATCTCGGATACAAGGATCGTGGGTTCGAATCCCGCATCGGGCATGGATGTATTTGTGATCGTCCTTTCACCCTTCACCATCATCATCATCATCATCATCATCATATCACTTTATTAAATAAGTATTAATAATTCCCTGCTCAAGCAGAAGGCCCTTGTCCGTAATGGGATGTGCAGTGGGCTAATAAAAAATGTTGAAACGGCTTTGCGTATGTACTTGAGTTTGATGATATCGAACTGTACTAGTGAAATATTCAGAAAACTGAAGCGAATAAAGAATTATCTGCGCACAATTATGTCCCAGGACACGTTAGCAAATTCAAATTGAATTGTTCCCCGATAAGTTGCCGTGTTTCCAATTCCAAGCGATTATCGGCAAATTTTTTACAGTAAAGAGCAGAAAGGCAATGATGCGATTACATACTAGTTCAAAAACATTAAAAAATGGGTCATCAACATAAATATATAAATATTTCAATTAAGTTTATTCAAAAGTAAGAAAAAAATGTGATCGTGTGAAACCGTTCCCAAATCATTAAGAGACGGTTTCTTTTCTCCATCTGACCGTCTGAGACTTTTTTGAGCGGGAGGCCTCCTGTGATCTGCTTGGAGGCCCTGCGGACCGTGAATCCGTCCCAGTCTTTTTTTGTTCAGAGGCGCTTGAATAAGCACAAACGCATAAAATCAATAACTCGCAATTATGTGCAACAGACTTACCCATATTTCCATTGTACTATGCCTATATTCTTCATGCAACTGCAAGCAATAAATTGACAAATTTTTGTTGCAATTGGATGAAAGGTACGGCAGCGCACAATGTATGAACAAACAAATAAACATTGTTTTTATATATAAAATTCAGCAAATCAAAAAAGGCACAAGATTACTTAAGAACTGTTTACTGGACAGAATGTGACTGATCGGTATGATATAGTAGGACGAGTTTTCACACAAAAAAATTAAAACTGTTGGGTATTTTAGTAAAGTCTAAAATTTGTAGCCCATAGCTGTGCTGTATGTACACCACTGAATGGCAAAAGAGAGGACTATCACATGCTCACATATTAATGTGACTTGAAAATAAGTTCCTCTCCGATCAAATCGACAATGTTATTTGGGGCAAACTACCGAACAAAGATGATCATAAATTGTTTGAAATTGTAATGCATATGGTCCCCGGGCCGGGTGGAACTTCCAAGAACTAAGCGTCGTGAATGACGGATGGTCATTGTACCAAAAAGTTTTCCAAGTAATTCATGAAAAAGAAGAAGAAGAAACAAACTACATTGCGTGAGGTTAGCTATCCTCTTTACATGCAACGGTCTCAAACGACGAAGGGAATAAGATTATACTTTGAAAAAGCAATAGGTTGATAGATTTGATAATCGAGGAATAGTTTCATACTCGCCAGTATTGTCAAGATTCACGAACATTCTAGAGTCATATTAACGTCGAACTATGCAGTAGCGTATGGCAAATGTGTTAACAGCGGATGAAATATGTTTCTGTACACTACATACATTACTCCGAATATAAGTACATATTCGAGAAAGTCAAAATTACTCTAAAGTAATTTTTGATGCGTTTCCCATGTCGTTCACATTTACATTACGGCCTTTTTGTATATTACTGGATATGTAATTTCAAGTGCGTCTAGTGAGGAAGCTTCGATGGATGAAGTGATGAAGTTTTCGATTACAGCGCTATACGTGACTATACTGTGTACTACATCCTCGCGTTTTCCCGCCGTTTTGTAGGATAATCGGCGGGAAGTGGCAGGAACTGTGGGGTTCATCAGGATTCATTGTGATTGAGAAACTGAGTGAATTTTGTATTGAAAGCAAGCACATCTAATTTTTAATACACAATAAAAATGGATGAGCTTGATGTTGACCAACGAGTACGTGAATATCAAAGGGAATATTTGGATTTTTTGGACGATGAGGTGAGCTTTTAGTCTTGGCAAAGACATGCTCATTAGTCATTTTAAAATAATTAAATTCTGATGAAGTGTAAAACACAACCATATTGTAGTATTAAGAGATTTTTTCAAGGACTTATTTTACATAGTATGTACTGAAGTGTGAAAATGTGAGAGTTATTGTCGATCATCATCGAAAATTCCTAACTTATTTATTTTGAAAGGAGATTGAGACAACTCACCGTATATTGACCCGAAACTTTAATATTTGTTGTGTAATTTTTCTTACTCTCTTTTTGTAGGTGGATCAAGGTCTTTATAGTAAAAAGGTAAAAAATATGATTCAAGACAAGAAGAAACGGTTATTAGTGAATGTAAATGATTTAAGGAGGAAGAATCCTCAGCGATGTGCTAGGTAGGAATTTTTAATTTCCTGAGTTGTGTTACTTACAAATAATGTTTCCTGTGTTACTTAAAAATGATGTCCGATTCACAGCTTGCTGCAATCGCCCTTTGAGGAACAACTTGCATTTGAAAGAGCATTAAAAGAGTATGTGTCATCTATTGATATAACTTATGCAAAAGAAATTGAGAACTTTTTTGTAGCATTTGAAGGCAGTTTCGGAAGTCGTCATGTAACACCTCGAACATTGATGGCCAAATATTTGGGGCATCTTGTGTGCTGTGAAGGCATTGTAACAAAATGTAAGGAAATAATATTGTGATACACAGTAAAAATTTAAAATGAGAATCATTTCTTTTTAGGTTTTATAATTGGTCCTTGTTAATTTAGGTTCGTTGATACGGCCTAAAGTTGTGAAAAGTGTTCATTTCTGCCCAACAACCAGGAAGGTTTTGGAAAGACGTTACACTGACTTGACCTCATTAGATGCATTTCCATCAGGTGCTGTGTATCCAACAGCAGTGAGTATAATTTCAGTTTCAATTCTGAGTTTCATTTATAGATTGTCTAAGCCTTCAAACAATCTCTTCAGTCTCCTATAATAGCGACAATTCATACTTCTCATAATACAATATTTCTGAGGTGTGGTAGGATATGACTTACTTAATATTTCATATAGTACATAAGTTCAGTGTTTTATCTTTGTAGCAAATAGTAACAACCTACCATCGAATTTTTTTTATGTTGAGGTTTCACTTTATTTCTTCTCCCCACACTTCATATGCAATGTGATAAATGTTCTTGTGTATTTGAGTTGTGTATTTTGGAAATCTGAGTAAGATATTGTGTTTATGTTTATATATTTTACTGTCAACTAGCACACAGTGCCTTTCTATCTACTCCATCTGAATGGTTTGCTATTTTTTCATCAACAATCCTATTTGCAAATGTAACCTTTTATAATTATTGTTGTGGACGAAGGTCATAGTACAACTTCACCTTGATAAAACTTCGTCAAAGATGATAAATTCTGACATTTAAGAACATTGAAGTTAAAATAACTCGATTGTTATAGCAGTTAATCCACTGATGTATGCATATTTGAAAGAGTGCAGAATGGCTTTAATAAATGTAAAACTGTTATGTATATGTAATAAATTTTTGTTTATTTTTGCGAATGATCAAGTATTTACAAAGTGAACTCAAAAACTTAGATAAATTGTTTAATTGGTTGAAGTAGAGAATACAGTACAACTGAAGAGTTTTCCCCTTCAATTCATTGTATCTAGCAATTTATAAACGATTAAGTAACCACTTGTTAGAAATATCTTATAGATCAATATTTACTTTTTGTATGTAGTAATTGGTTAATATGTACCCTATCAAGTACCTTTGAGAAGTTTATAATATATTTGTAATAACACTTAATTTGATATTGAAGTATTAGAGCTATTAGGGCTGCCCAACTTGAGGCCCGGGAGCTGCATGCGGCCCGTGGTGCTGTTTATTGTGGCTCATGAAAGGTTGTTAGTCAAACATGAAAGTCCCTTGCATCTATGTTGGGTGAGAATATTGCACCTTGTGCACAGGCCCTGTCAGAACCAAGATCCATTAATGTAAAAATAGATTCAGTTTAGATTTAAAGAATTTATTCTAGTTAACCTTTTCGCTGCTACATTATCCGTCGGTACGCGCGGCGAGGAATACGGCCCGTTTTCCTCCTGGCGCTCCTACCTGTGCTGAGTCAGTGGAATGACCCACCTTTCCCTGTGCTGAATAAGTTTCGTGCGCTCCAGACCGGTCTGTGCCTCGCAGCCACAGTGAAAGGAAAATACATTTCCCTTCCTTCTTTTTTAATCAGGCTTTGGACTAACACCGGCGAAGTTAAAAATATATTTTTTGTTTTTTAGAACTATTTTTTGTTTAAATCTTTTCTTATCTTAGGACAAGATTTTTAAATTTTTATAATAATTTTCCTTCAGTTACATTGACTTTAATATTTCTTTTTTGTGTGAAATATTTCAAAGCACGGAGCAGCACATAAAGGAACATTGCATGCTTTGCATTCATACTTAGTTTCTCGACGCTTGTTTTGTTTAGCACAAACAACACATCTTCGCCTTGGTGACCTCTTATTAGACTGATCACCGGGTATCAGATTTGAAAAATACCTTCCGGTAAATCGAAGGACATTTTCGTCTTCTCAGCGCCTTCCTCTGCCAGCTTTTCTGCGTTCTGTGGAAAATTTTTCAATTAGTTCTCGAATTAGGGAGAGCTGAAATTTCGCCATTGGAATATTTTGTCCTGTCTCCAATTTGTGAAGTGCATGAGAATTTAATACGTGCAAGTCCAAAATGTGAAAAAAGAATTTCTTATACCATTTGACGCTCTTAACGTTCTGATTGTATCGAGGTCAATATCATATAACGGTCAACTTCTCCCATACTTGTGTTGTAATCAACAACACATTGCGGTTTTCTTATCTTTTCGCCAGTCATCCTGTTTATTTTATTAGTTTCAATCATTTCTGCGGTGTTACAAGTAGTCAACATCCATACTTCTCTTTCGTCACATCACTTCATACCGAGCATAGTATCAGATGACATTGACTGCATTTCTCCTCTTTTTAATTTTTTTTCCAGTTTAGGCATATTGCGCCTGTTCCGTCGTACAGTACCACACGCATTTGTGGCATGCTCGTGAAGCCACAGAAATAAATCTGGGCTGAATTTCCGCTTCAGTGCAAAAATGTCGCGACGTCATTCTTGTTGAACGAATGAAACGTACTAAAATACTGGCAATGACAAAAATTAGAAAAATGCAATGTTGAATGCAGATAATTCAAAATCCATCAATTAGCAACAAAACGCACCACAACTCTAAAGAACAAACCAAAACATAAACCCAAGACTAATAACAGATGTCCAATACAAAACTACACGAAATGAACTGCAGGAGCTGAGTGAGGTCTCAAGAGGAAGTTCTGTGTTACACAGAACTGGAAACAATACTGCACAAAAGAAAATAATTTCAATGGAAGCGCTTCCGTGAGCCGCCCTTCACATTAGGTATATTTGGAAAACCCGGAATTATCCACCTTTCCCTTTCTGTAGAAACGAAATTCACTAGAAAGAAGCGAATAGGCAGTACGTGCCATAAGACGTCCGGAGGCCCCCAGAAACTGCCCGGCACCGCGCCTATAGACGTCCAGAGGCTGCAGGTAACATTTCGTCGCTGTGCATTAAGGCGTCCAGAGGCTCCCTGAAACAGCCCGGCGCCGCGCCATAAGGCGTCCAGAGCAGCGAAAAGGTTAATTCAAAATCATTCCAATGGGTTTCAGTGCGTTATATAGTAAAGCCCTTCCGTTTCAGAGCAGTTGGGCAAACTGCAGAGATCACCTGTATTCTACAGGGTAGCGTGTGAATCACCTGAGTAATGAAAATATGGCCCGCAACCATATTAGCCCTTCAAGGCGGTGCCAATTGTGAGCACGTTAGCATTTGAAGGCGGCTTTAAGTGAAAGGTGTGGTCAGCGGCACTGCGGGGACAGGAAGCAAGCTGAGCACGCAAAGACTCTGTGGGAGCATCTCAATTCGGAGTGTTGCGCTTCCCAGTTTTGAAAATGTGCTCTGTCCTGAGAATGCATTGTCTTACATCTGCAATATGATAAAGAATGAGAATGATTAATTAATAATGACCTAAGGAAATGGAAAATTCAAATAACTGTAGAACACATCATTCATTTACATCTATTAATAGTAAATAATAATAATAATAATAATAATAATAATAATAATAATAATAATAATAATAATAATAATAATATTTAACTAATAATAAATTAATAGTAGAGCATAATGAAAAATAAGGGTAACTAATTTTCTTTACAGACACTCCTAATAATTTTCTATTGTGTGATAGCTTTTAGAATAAGTGGCAGGGCAAAGTTCAACTTTCAATCTGTTCACCAGAATAGTCTCTTGACATCTCTTGTGATATTCAACACATCATTTCTATTGTCTAATTCGTCGCCCAGAGGTGGAATTTTTTCAAGCTAGTATCTTCCTGACAAGCGATTCACCAAACAATGTTTATATACTGCTCTTTGTCATGTGAATGAGCAGATAACAATTGCTTGACCACAAAATTTCAAAGAATTGATTTCATATGATTAGTTTTCCAAATAATAAATGTATTCATCACAGTGACACTTAATAATCTGAACATTTTCATGTTCCGTTTCTTGCTTTTTTCCTTTCAATATGGTACGATTTGCAAGTATTGATCTTTTAGATCTATCCCTCTCATAAATTTATTGTAATCAAGAACACACCCTGTTTTTTTAATTTATCATTTTCTTTTGGTAATGACTGTTTTGAATTCATCCTTGAGGTATGAGGTGATTATCATAGAAACAGCTTTTTTATCCAGCTATTTCAACACTGAAACAGGCCAGTGTTGGTGATGTACTCTCTTCTCTTCAATGTCTTTTCCTGCAGTATTTTAGGAACATTTTTTCTGTTCAAAGGTAATGTTCCTACTCAATCTGTTTCAATTTTTTTTAACATCGCAGCTAATGATGGCGAGTTGCAGTAATTGTCCATCTATAAAGTGTGGCCCTTATTTAGCAATGGCTGTGTTAAATTTAAGGCAATTTCTGTCATTTTATTTATAGTATGTTTTACAGCCACAGTAATTTATTTTGATAGATAGTTCATGGAAGACGATATGTTGTAAATTAATTGTATTAAAAAAAACTTCCATAAAGAAATTTAAACATGTTAATCAATATTAAAATATTTGTATCAAAATCCACATGAAAAGGAACCATGACTCTGCCAACGTCTGTGCATGGCACCGCCAAGCAACCAGCATATGTAGACGGCATGTGAGAAAAGAAACTAAAGGTCCCTTCTGTCCTGAGATGGTTTACTGCAAATGGAAAGCGAATAGAACCACGTATAAAAGAGAAACGAAATTGCTGTCTAGAGATGGCATACCACTCTGAACGGTTAAAGGTTTTAGACGTGGCCCTTGAGATCTTGCAAATTGGACAGCCCTAATCCAGATAGTTGATACTAGATCAATCAGCTAGTCAATTGGGTGGTGCAGTCAGAGTTCTTATCACTTAACCTAAAATTATTTCCAAGTGTACAATTTGTATTCATTAAGTGAAGAATGTTCTTTTGAAAGGTGCTTAAAATATGTAATGCTGAATTTATCAGATTTTGAAGTCTGGATCGAAAGAACATCACCTCAGTTCTATAAAATATTTAACCTCAACTCTTTATGACTTGGACTTTTTTAAATCTGTCTTAGTTCAATGATCTACTGTTGTGGATTTTTTCAAATCTTTTTCCTTTTATAAGTTGGTTTTAAATTAATTCATTAAGGTAAATAAATTAACAAGACCTGGTGCTGGGGGAAGTCCTTATTCACAATTTAGTTAATTGTTTTTATTATTTTATTTGTTTTTAATTACAAAATTGTTTAAAATATTAATTTCTTTATTTTCTTTTTATAGGATGAGGATGGGAACCCTCTTGAAACTGAGTTCGGACTTTCTATTTACAAAGATCATCAAACTCTCACTATTCAGGAGATGCCTGAGAAGGCGCCAGCAGGTGTGTTTAAATAAACTTAAAAATGTGCAATCGTCATCTGGCTTGTGGGGAACAATAGTACTTGGGAGGGGGGGTTGGGAGGAATCTCCATCTTTAATTAACCCTTTGACTTCTATGGGGAATGCATAGAGTGAATCACATGGTATGCGCAATATGTATGGTTGTTGGCACCACTGAGCTCAGTGCTGCTCACACTGTGGTAGATTCAAGATTATGGAGCAAATCCAATCATAACTGATCACAGACATAGAGAAAACTTTGAACAAATCAACCACTAAAAGGTTAGTATCAAAATAGAAAGAAATGTGAGATTGCTAAGAGATAGGACTTGAAGGACTGCAGAGAATAGCCTTGTGTCTGTACATGCTCAGAGGCTCTCATGCACGGAAATTTTCTGTGTCAACACGCCCAGAGCAGTGTAAGGATGTAAGTAACAGAACTATAAATTGTGTGGTTGTGCACTTTGTTAGAATTAGGGAACACATTCATATGTAAATACGTATTTTAATAGGTGCTGTATTCAGTAATGTGTTTTTAAAGTTTGTAAAGGTATTCTGTATTAGTAATTTTTGTTGTATTCTCTGTCTGAAGTACCTCGCGTTGTGGATGTATTTGTGATAATTTAGCCAGGAAGAGGAATTCCATCTATTCTTGCCCTGTGGCAGAGACTGCTACTGTTTATTCCATTGTATCCCTGCCCCACCCTTCCCTGCCTTGCTCCTTTCTGGAAATACCCGGTCTTCCTGATGCACTGAAAGAAATATTAATATTTTTCTTATTGGGGTTCCCGTACGTATTTGTAAAGAAAAGTTCGAAATTTATTTTTAATGCCATGCACATGCAATTGACATTTAAATGTAGTTAATGGAATTCGAGTACATGTTTTAGGATCCTTCATAAATAGTGGGTAAAGAGAAGGTGCCTTTAACCGTTTAGATAATTATAATAACTTAAAAAATTGAACACAGTGGATCCTGGTTTGTCAAAATATTTTCTATTATTTAAAATAGCCTCTTTGTTCTATTTTAAACAATCTTGAAAAACAGCATTGACACACATTCAGTTCCTTCAAAACTTTTTTCCATTACCTTTTTATTTCAATGAAACTTCATCTACCATGAATTTAAATAATTATTATGTCTCAATTCAAAGGTATACTATCACACTCCACTAGAAAGAAACTCTTCGCTACAAAAATTCATCCATCTGTCATAGTTTCAGCTTATCACATAAATCATTCACATGAACAAATTACAAATACGTAATGATCTTGTTTAATTTACTACTACTAAACCCGTAACTATTTAATGCAGAACACATGTGAATTCATTTTATCCTACAATATCAAGCACTTCTGTATGCAAAATTACTTTTTCCCTATAATTTCTTATCTCTTATAGACTTTATACATTCACGCCTAGACACAATTAAAATAAATATCCATGTTACCTTTGTAAATAGAGTGAAAAAAATGCATCACACTAGTTCTTAAATATGAACATCCCAGTTTAGACAATTGTTCTTGTAAAAATAAACACAGTCCTCTCTTGTCTTATAGATATGCAATTCTGTGTATTGATGGAACTCGATCATAGAACTGAAACATCACCCTGTGGTTGCTCAAGCTAAACTAATTCTCTTTGATGCGTAAATATGTGATACAACGCTAGGGGGGAAAGTCCACAAAAGGAATTACTTTGTAGATATATTAAGGTCTATGACTGTAAACCATAGTCTCTAGTATTTCTGGCCTTCAAAGGAGGCCGGCCCAAAAGTTTCATTGATATTGGTGCAGTACATTAAGAGATTATTGCACTGTAACTGAACACACTTGTGTGTTTATATATTAGTATAGATTATTTAATTTCTTAAAACAAATTCTTCATACTCATTTCCCCAACTTCCCCATTCTCTTTTTGTTGGGGAAGTTAAAAGGAAAAGAATCAGTTTTTTAGATCAGTTATCAGAATAAAATCAAGATACAAAGGCTCTGACGAAGTATGTGGTCAACAAACCTAAGAAACACTGGCTTTGTTACATGCAGTGTGTTGTTTGATTTTACTACATATTTGTATTTTTTCCTGTGAAAATTATGTTTTGTGATGTGTAATACTACATTTCTTTATTTAGGTCAGTTACCTAGATCAGTAGATGTCATCCTAGATAATGATTTGGTTGACATTTGCAAACCTGGGGATCGTGTACAGATCGTTGGAAGCTATCGATGCCTTCCAGCCAAACAAGGAAGTGTGACATCAGGAACATTCCGGTAGGTTGTGTATTATAAAAATTATTTTTATGGGACATTAATATACATTAGTTACAAATAACAGGGTCGAATGCTGATTTTCTACCTTTAAGTTGCCCTACATTTTGTTTATTATTCCCACAAATTACTGTTTATATTCTAACAATCCGTGCATATTAAAAAAATTAATTAATTGAAGCTGAAAATTGGGATGAGGGTATTCTCTTCAAGCTTGGTGCTGCAAACTTGAAGAGGATTCACATATGGCAGCGTAGGTTGGGGTGGCTCCACAGGTTTGCAGAGTATTGAGTAAAACTGCTCACCCAATCACGAGCAACTGATGTGTTCTGTGAATGTTTGCTTCCTAGATGTGTCAAAAAGACGGGCACATGGTGGGTCGGGCAAGCACTCAATGTTCATCGTTCAGCAGCCCATCTCTGCTACTGGAGATTTGGGAAATGATCACTTGCTACTCGCCGAGTTCTAAATGTGTGGGGCCTTAATCTTGGCTTCTACAAGTTTGCGCAAGAGAGATTTCACCACGAAAGAAAAATTACATGTGATTGTTAAAGCAGAAGAAAATAGCAACTGTGCAATAATTCATTGTATTGTTGATGTTAAATTTTTCAGAACGATTCTGCTGGCTAATCATATAACTCAACTAAGTAAGGAGAGTTCACTCAATGTGACACGTGAAGATGTGGCCAAATGCAAGAAATTGATTCGCAACAAACATACTGGGGATATTTTTGAGCTGTTGGGGCGCTCACTTGCTCCTTCAATCCATGGCCACGAGTACATCAAGAAGGCCATCCTGTGTATGTTGCTTGGAGGTGTGGAGAAAGTTCTGCCAAATGGAACTAGGCTGAGGGGGTGAGTAAGAGTTATAGTGTAGGGTATATCTCCCGAATAGCTGGCTATGAATTTCAGAGATGGGAATTCTAATTCTTATGATGCTTTATGGAGGCTGGTGCTAATCCTCTCTTTGTGTAATGAATTATGCAGTAAGAATATTGCACTCAGGAATTAATGGATTGTGTTTAGTTTCATATTTTCTCAGTCAGCATAAAAACCATGTGCTATTGCTGTTTAAACATGATTTTCCGTACACCATTTCAATTTTCATATAAAATTCTTGGCAAGTTGTGCTTGGTTATCATTCCGAGTTATTTGATTGAAGAAATATTTGGTGTTGACTTTGATAATTACAAATGATGTAATAATGGCTATTAATATGTAAGTAAAAAGTGATATTAGGATGCAAGCAAGTATCGTAAACTTCAAACAAGTTCAATAATATCCATTCCATTAAGTTTCGTATGTACCAATACTTTTGCTGTGAAGGTGCTGTGTTATACGTTTAATTTTAATATTAATTTTGTGTTCATTGTTTTCTTGAAATAATTACTTACAATTAAAATTGCACAGCAGTACAAATTTTAATAGATTATTTTACTTTAATTTACAATTTAATTTAAAAACAAACTAAAGACACTTCTGTTATGTACTATTTTCAGAGACATAAATGTGCTGCTGATCGGTGATCCAAGTGTGGCCAAATCACAGCTTTTGCGCTATGTATTGTGCACTGCTCCTCGTGCTATACCTACCACTGGAAGAGGGTCTTCAGGAGTAGGTCTCACTGCAGCTGTTACCACTGACACCGAGACTGGAGAGAGGAGGTTAGTACGTACCTAGCGTAACCTCTAAGGGAATCTCTATTTTTGTCAGGGTGCCCTTGTGTGGCTCTTCTGTCTAACCACTTATATATCTTTACATTTACATAATTATAATTTAGGAGTTTGGGTGTAAATAATGACAACTGTCATTTCACATTACAAAGAAAAGTGTAGTGATTGAATTAACTAAATGGAGTAAGCTGCATGTAGAGTAGGAATGTAGTTTCATTGCCGTTTTTTAAACTTGGAAGCTAGTGTGACATAAAGAAGCCTTTGTATTTCATTCTTAAGTAAGGTGTTGTGTTAGTTCAGTTAAGTCAGTAGTGTTATTTTTGCAAAATGTCAGAAGTCATCTCGTATACCTGAATGCTTTAATTGTAAACAAATTGCAAACAAGGAGGGCAGGATACATTTAAATCTGGAATGCAAGGCTAGGGCTTATCCCGATGTATGCTTTAAGCGATTGAGTAAACCCAGTAAAAACCTCTATCAGGATGTCAGCTTACTGCCAAAACACCTGCAAAACTCAGGATGGATAAAATGGAGAGTTGAAACCAATTGAAAGCAACGTCCTGCTTTGACACAAAATTAAGTAATCTGAACACCGAATTCAACAAAAATTTCATAGGCTCCTCTATAATAACATAAATGTTCTCACTTTTTGGTCACATATGTATTGGATGTTAAATGGTCTTAAGGGACTTTCATTATGAATGTACAAAACGTAAAACAGCAGTCTCTCGAATTATGATTGCATAAATATGAATTTGAAATAATTTAGCATATGAAATGTAGGAATTTTTCCAGGGCTTACAGAAAACAATATATAAACGTGAAAAGCGTATAAATACGAAACATATAAATAGAGTTTCACTGTATTTACAATTGGGGCTGATGGTGACTAACCTCGGTCATTGACCAACATTAATGATTAACCTCTTTCGTTGACGCTTGTTTGTGTAACCTTCATACGAATTTGTATCTGAATTGTTAAATTTCAGTACAATATCTAAATTCTACATTTTGCAAGACATTAACCAAAAAATGTTGAAGTATGCCATTTATCCCTTCATTTAACGATAAACTTATACTGATGTGGAGATGCAAGTCTTGTAATCTATGTGTTTTTTTTTCCATGCTTGAAATTTAAAAAGATGTTTTATATCTCAGGTTGGAAGCTGGTGCCATGGTTCTGGCTGACAGAGGCGTTGTGTGCATTGATGAATTTGATAAAATGTCCGATATGGATCGTACAGCTATTCATGAAGTAATGGAACAGGGGCGAGTGACTATTTCAAAGGCTGGTATCCATGCTCGATTGAATGCTCGTTGCTCTGTCTTGGCTGCTGCCAATCCCGTGTATGGTCGGGTGAGTTCTCGGGTTTAAAGCATTAACTTAATTTTGCTGTTTTATTTAGGATTGATGTCTTTTTTATTGCATTCCCTGTTTTGGATGAAGTGGGTGTTTTGTGAATGTTTTTTTTTATGGCAGCGTGCACTGCCTTGAAATATGATGATTGCTGTGGAGAGCTGCAATGCACTTTTTTCTTATATGAAACCTTAAAACAAAAAATTAAAACATATAAAATTATATTTTTATATTAACAACAATTTAACTTGCAAATTTGTCCAGTAAAATCCCCAAAAAGTGTAGTAACCCCCAAAAAGTGTAACCCACAAAATAAAACTACTAAAATAACGTTTGTTTCATGATTCAAATTTCTGTCAAGGTTTCATCCAATTTTAAGTTAGCTAAGAAAAAAGTGCAGATACAAGGGAATCCAGCCTTTAGTAATCATACTGTTAAATTAAATTTACAATTTTCCAGGAGTTTAATGGACAAATTTTTTGCTTTTAGTATGATCAATACAGAACTCCCATGGAGAATATTGGACTACAAGACTCCTTATTGTCTCGTTTTGATCTTCTCTTTGTTATGTTGGATCTTGTGGACACCGAATATGATAACCTGATTTCTGATCATGTTGTGCGCATGCATAGATACAGGTGAGTACTGTTTGGAGTTTCAATGATTTAAATCAAATTTTTATTTTTTTAATCAGTTTTTTTAAAATAATTTTTTTTGCTACTGTGCCTTGAAATTTTTCCAATCTCAGCCTTCTCTGTGGCTTGTCGTTCTTTTCTTAATACATTTCTTTATTTGACAACGGGCATAATAGCAATTAAAACTAGAATTCAACATTGATATAATAAAGTTCTGGATTAGAACTCTCAACACACTTCATAAATTAAAAATTTGTAATATAACTATAAAAATGTGCAGTTTTCTTCATGACTTATTGAAAAATCATCTTGAGAACGGTGAGAAGAATTTGAGAATAATGTACAGAAATGGCATCCCAAAGATCATTCAGAATCTCAAAAATGAAGTTGGATATTCCATTCTGTTTTCCCAGAATGGTTTTGGAAAAATGAAATTGCTGCAAATAAACCTATCAGAATTTGGATAGTGTAAATCTAGTTCTTCCAAAGTTTGCCTATGTGACTCAATTGTATCCTGAGTTTGTGGTGAGAAATAAAGTGCAGCAATAATTATGTCAATTACCGAATAAATGAACAAAAAGGTGTTCAACATCTATGATTGCAACAAAATACTATGATAAAGTTTTTATTTGTAATAAAAGCTCCTTCACCTCTGCTAAATTTGCTGTTTTTAATATTTCTATTTCTTCTACAAATAATTATCCAACTTAAATTCAGTGCTTAGTATCTCTTGTCACAGCCAGGTTTCTGTCAAAATTACTAAATCATAATCAGAAAATATATAACTAAAGATTCAATATTTTGTTCTTGTGGTGAAAATTTTTAAGGGCTGTACAAATGTCCATTTACATACTTTATATTATTGATACCATATCTCTTTTAATTTCAGCCAATTTGTTACGCAAATCAGAAAGTTGCTTTCTCTCAAATTATGTGATATCATTTTTTAACTTAACAGGATCTTATCAATATTTGCTCAGTTTCAAAATTTGTTGAGCTTTGTTAAAATTGTGAAATGTTATTTTAATTGGACGTGTTTTTCCATCTGTATTTTTGCCTAACGTGAAAAATTTCTTTACTGAGTTAATATCAAAATTCGAGATATTGGACAATGGCATTTCTCTCTCATCACTTACAGACTAGTCTCTAGCAGAAATATTTTCAAATTAAGGAACATTGAACATGATAACATTTGATTTTTGCTAAATTAGACATAATTCCAATTGCAAACCTTCAGAAGTGAGGTTAGAATTCCAGAAAGGTTTTTCACTCAATAAGCATAAACACATGTTACACTTAAAACGGTTTAAAATCCTCTGAGTTTATATATATAAAAATCCAGAAACATAAATAATCTGCTGCAAATAAAATGAATACACAGAACACAATTGCCAACTCTAAACAGCTACAACATAGGTAAAAGTCTCCATCTTCTACACTGCACACCCAAGGAAAATCACAGTGAATAAGGAAGTGTTTGTTCACAGACAGATGGACTTATGGGGGGGCGGGGGAAGCAGTTTTTTGGTATCAGGGGAACCCAAAACATGTTTTTCCGTTAAAATCCTGAAATCGATTTTTTGCAACATTACATTCTCTATACCACGTATATTAATCCATAACATTGTGCTACCATCCTCATCCAATTCTCATATTTGAGCATTTACATGTTCAACATTTAGAATATTTCCATACTTTCCCTATCGATTTCTTCATTCAAAACATGAATTTCAATAAAAACATGAATATTAAAAACCCTTTATTTTTCTCTTTTTGTTCTTCATGACTTTAACATTTTGTATGATCTGACTAGCAGACTTCAGTGAATTATTGTAAGTGCTTTGTTTTTCATATTTTGCTCACCAGAAATCCTGGTGAACAGGACGGTGAGGTTTTGCCTATGTCATCATCAGCTGACATGTTAGCAACACAAAATGCAGAACAGACTGCAGACGAGCAGGAGGAGACACCCATTTTTGAAAAATATGATGCTTTGTTACATGGGAATTCACGTTCAAAGAAGTAAGTAAAATTTATAGTTAGTATGCTTATTTAAATCGGAAAATTGTATATGTATGTACATTTACCATCTGCCTGTATGCTTTTGCAGTGAAAAAATTATAAGTATGCCTTTCATGCGTAAATATATTCACATAGCTAAGTGCATAAAGCCTGTTCTCACTGAAGAAGCATCAAATGCACTTGCTGAAGAATATTCAAGATTAAGGTCTCAAGACACAGCTGATTCAGATGTTGCAAGAGTAAGTAATTTAGAATTATAATTTTCATAAAAAAAGAAAAAATTCTGATTGTGTTTTGCTCTAATCTTCGATCCTCTTTTATCAAAACGTTCAACCTACTTTTAACAAAAATTGTATTTCTTTAATATTTTTTGTAATGGAGTCTGAAAATATTCCTTGAATCCGTACAAAACCTAAGATGAATCGATCTGTAATTATACATATTTTCATTTGTTTTACGTGAGATTCAGTAAAGTTAGAAAAATATTATCCTATCACGTTCTTTTGTAGATATTTTCATGACAATGATCACTTTATGCTATGCAAGTTTGTAATAAAAATAAATTTTAAACATGACACAATTTGGATGGATTGACTAATTATTTTGTATTGCCGTGTGATTCAGCTGTTATGGAAAGTGTAGTGCATGTTATATCCTGGGAAATGGCAGTGTTTCTCCCCTGCTATAATGGAGATCCAGCACCAACCTACATGTTGACGTGCTGGATTTACCTTTGCATGTAACTGCCAGCTGGGGCAATGCTCTAGCCAAACAAGCTCTAAACTTAAGAGTCTTCCTGCAAAAATTGAATTATTGAATTTAATATATGATAAAATATATGTGATTCAGTAAAACCTGTCTAAGTCAGATACCTGCGTTTGCTAAAAAATAATCTCAGAACAAACTTTCTTCCACCACAAAGTACAGTGTAAAAGCTGGAAACCTGCGTATCATGGAAACAAAGGAATTTTTAGTACAACTGTTAAAAATATGGATAAGACAGGAAACAAATATTGTTTTCAAATGAAACATTGACTTGTAAGTGTGGTGACATTGTATAAAGAGACACTCAGAGCTGTTCTCATCCATTAGCTTTTTCAGCTACCCTCATTCAAACATTGAATTTCTACGCTCCTCATGCGAAAACCACTGTATGTAATAGCATTGCTTCACAAGCTTGTGTGAAGGAAGGGAGATGTGAAGAGTGATCCTCCACTGTTCTTGTAATGCATGCCTTGGGTACAGAGGTTTGAAATGTTTTCAGTTATTCGGTTCGACGAATTGCAGGTATGTGTTTATGATGTCAGGCGGAAACATGAAAATGTGGAAAGAAAATTAGACTAATTGAAGAACATGATCAAAGCCACACGTCTCTCAGGATTTTGATCAAGAAATTTAAAGTTGGGAAAACCCAAGCCTGTGACACCTTGAAAACTATAAATGGGTGATTAAAAGAATTTTTTTCTATGTAGTTGCCACAATATACATGAGGACCTAGGCAAATTGCCATAGTCTATATCATGATATGAATTCGTCTGTTCCTACAAATATTGAAGAAAATGATATATCTTTTTCTTTTTATGAAATTCTTTGTTTCATTAGATTTTGTTTTGCGTTTCTGTATTTCATTTTCTTTCTCTCCTGAGCTGTTTTAGTTTCTTTCAAATGTAGTTTTTAGGGAAGATAAATTACCCATACAACCTATTCCATCTTCGAACAATTGTATTCTGAATTGAGTATGTATTGCAAACCAGAAGAAGTGTTTATTGAAAACCTGAACAAGACATACTATATATTACACTATGTATATACATATACATACATTGTAGTGTAATATTTAGTATACATTGTAATCCTCCACACTCCAAATACAAAGATAATTTTTAATTTTACCTTTAAAATGAAATCCTATTATGTCTCTATTTTACTTGAAAGTCTTTATCACATTGTCGTTAACCTTGTGGGTTCAATGTTAAAATTTCACCTAAAACATGTATTTGAAATTATCACTAGAGCCTGGATTTTAACTGGATTAACAATAACAAGTCATATATTTTTTTGTGAGCCTTCGGTTGAATTTTAAAACAATTTATGCACAAATCCAGGTATTGTTGAATAGAAAAACATATTTTTATTGTGCTTATAAAGTCGTATTTACACCATTTTTAGTAAAAGGTCATATTTTGCCCAACTTTGGCTCTAATCATATATTTATTGTATTTTTAAGGACACACGAATAAAACACTTGAAAATGTGTTTCGGATGATAATATTCCAGGAGATATTGACACAAATATACCACAAAGGATTATTTGAAACGTATTTTTGTTAGTGCTACAATGAACCCCTGATAGAAAGCAAATGTGAATTTCTTTCTTGCCTCCTGCGCGTTGTGAATTGGAATGATATTGAAAAACATGCGGATGGACTTGAGATATCTTCATAGCCAGCGCTGACAGTTTGAACGATGAAGGGTTCTCTGTCCTACATGGTTCCCTGGAAGAATTACAGTCGCATAGTTCTCTCACTGGATGAAGAAAAGTAGGCGGCTTCCGACGTAAGCATAGCACATGAAGACACACCTTTCAGTCTGATCTGAACTCAAAGTGGTTTGTGATTTTGTAGAGAGAAGTTCTTCAGCACTGGTGGGGAAACATTATTTTCTAAAGAATATGAAGTTGAGTTAGTGCAGAAAACCGATTAATGTGCAACAACATTGTAAAATCACTAAAAATACAGCAGCTCTGTGAAGAGAAGTGCAGAAAATGACAGCAGACAGAGGCTGTTATTTGAGCATCCAGGTCCATCTTCAACATTGCAATCATTCTTAGAGGACTTGTGTGAGATGATGGTGTCTTCGTACTTCCAATTGGAGAAGCTGAAAAATCCTCACTTCAAACAGTTCTTGGAGGAGTACACAACACATCCTGTTCCAGATGAATCAACATTGAGAAAACATTATTCGTGTGTTATGAAGAGGTGCTCAATAAAATATGAACGAGTGTTGCTGACCAAAAGATCTGGGTGTCCTTCGATGAAATCACTGATGTGAATGTGCATTGTGTTGCAAATGTTGTTGGTATTCTAAAAATTGACAGGCCTGGCGAAATTTTCTTCCTGTGGCTGTTTGTTGTGAACAGTGGTGTTTTGCTTCTAGTGACAGACCGTTCTTGATACATGGCTAAAGCAGCCAAGGGACTGCAGATTCTTTACCCAATATGGTAGACATCACTTGTCTTGTGCATGCCTTACACAGAGTTGCGAAAGAACTGCAATCAAATTACCCTGATGTGTGCAAATTAATTTCCTGTGGCAAGAAAATCTTTGTCAAAGCTTCACTACAGGTGCAGAAATTCAAAGAACAAGCACCTTCCCTATCCCCCCTTCAGCCTGTTCTTACACGTTGGGGTTCTTCGCTTAATGCTGCTGAGTATTATTACGCCAAGTACAAGGAAATAATAAAAATCTTCTGTGATTTTGATTGCCAAGAATGAAGTGCTATCAAAACTATGCAAGAAGGTTTTTCAGATACATTGTCTGGAAACTTGGGAATCATCAATGTCAATTTTTCAGTGGTATAAAAGCCATCACCCGACTGGCAGGTGGCTGGTAAATCAACTGTGTGGTACATTAAATACTGTGCAACATATGCTGAGTGTGTTTGGTCGAGCTTGTGGTCATACGTCTGAAAAAGTGTACAACAAATGGCTAAGTGTTCTTCGGCAAAATCCTGGATATTCTACAATGTGCAAAATTAGCAATATAATTTCCAGAAATGCGGCAACATTTGAAGACAATGAACCAAATCTACTTTGCAGTGACATCGCCGCTTCAGATATGCTTCCATGATATCATGTGATGTGGAGAGGAGCTTTTCCAAGTTGAAAACTATCCTCTGTGACAACTAAGGCTTTTAAGATGGAAACCTGAAAAAGCACCTTGTGATCCGATGCAACTCTCCAGAAACTGAAGACTGACAGGAAATTGGAAAACATTAAACATGAAGTATGCAGTAGTAAAGCAAGACATTTTTTTGATGGGTTTTATCACTTGATTTGCATTACTTGATATGCACTTGATTTGTTTTACAGACAAGCAATTTTTTTAAAAGTCCAAAGTCTGCAAAACGTAAGTACAGTGAAATTTGTATAAATTCAAACCTATACGAGCCGGAAAGCTGCCTTACCTGGAAAATTTCTCTGGGCTGTGAAGTTAAATGGCATTTTACACAGCACAAAAACAGAATGTTTTTTTGTGTGCTGCAGAAAAACAATCTTTATTTAAAACGGAATTTCTGTGAATTTATTGCAATTGGCAGACAGACGTAAGGTGTTCTTAATGAAATAAGTGCATTTGCAAGTTTTTTTTAAATTCACTGTTCCTCTAATATATGTGTGCCGGATATCGAAGGAGAGGAGCTTCAGCTGACAGCATAGAATTCAACGTTGGGGTCATTTGCCTCTCAAGGCGTTGACCATAGCGGAATTCTCTCACTCCCGACTCTGAGCATGGGAATGTGTATGGGCATGGCTTCTATTCATGTGTCTCCCTGCTCTGTGTTGAAAATCTCAACACCTCAACCAGATACACGAAGCTTCAATGCCATGTGAGGGTATTAAAAAGACATACTGGGTTGTGATGCATTGTGCTTTGAAAGTCAGCAAGCTGTCTGAATATGGCCAGAAGCTGTCAGTGAAGTGTGATTAATATTAATTTATTAGTGATTTCTTTCATAAATACGTGTAATGTTAATGTATTTTGATAATTATAATAAAGTCATGTTATTTACTACTTTCCGGGCAGAAATGTTAGGCAATATTACAAGTGTTATAAAGCTGGCAACCTTGCATAAAACGGAAATCTCCCTAAATCTGATTTTTGTTTTTTGTTTTCCGATGAATACCAGCTTAGGCAGATTTTACTGTAGTACTCACAATCTGTTCTTGAGTGAAATTTTTGTTAATATGTTATACATAAAAAAATCAACAGGAATTTAAACAAAAATTATATAAAGTCACATTTTAATTTTTAAGGTCATGTTTATATAGGTTTTTGAAGGTCAAAGGTCATTGAAATTTGGGCCCTATTTATCACTTGTTTACTCGATTCCTGCGCAAACATTTGCTGGTCCCTTCAGCTGTTCTTTTCTTACTTTGTTCATATTAAAACTTTATAATGTTTTTATTTATTATCTTGTTCTCATGTTTCACAAATATACAAGACCTTTTCTTATTAATTTCTAATGCTACATTGTTCTGAATGTGGTTTTCTACCAGTTTTCATATTAATCATCTAATTACTATCAGGGCTCTCTTGTTTTCTTTTTCAAATTTATTAATCTTATCCTGTGTTCACTAAATATGGCTCATCTTCATAAACCTATCCAATAATTGTAGTGTAATAAAATGCATTATTATTGTTAACTCAGACCCAGCCAGTGACTGCTCGAGCTCTTGAGACATTGATTCGACTGTCTACTGCTCATGCGAAAGCACGTTTGTCTCGAACGGTGAACCTCGAGGATGCCCAGGCTGCAATTGAGTTGGTGCAGTTTGCATATTTCAAAAAAGTTTTGGAGAAGGAGAAAAAACGAAGACGTTCTGACCATGGTGAAGGTGCTTCGGGTGACGAGAGTGGAGAGGAGAGGCAGCAAACACGCAAGAGATCACGTAGGGTAAGTTATACTCTGCATTGAGAGGCCAGGAAGCTTTAAGTCATTAAAATGTTTTTGTAACAGTAGGCATTCTCTTTTTCCAATATCATTGTAAAAGAATCTGGTGTTTTGGGATAAGAAGTTTACTTATCTTCATTATTTAATTAGATTCAATTAAACTACTTTCTTACTAATGTATTTGAGATGTGGAAATAATTACGAAATTTCTTGAGAGTTCTTGTAAGAGTTTGAGTTCAATGATTCTGCTTGGTACAAACCCATCAAATTGTTTCGTGATTAGAGCCACAATTAGTGTTATTTGCTTGCAGCAGGTCCCTCGTGCACAACCGGGTGAGGAGGGCTATGACCCTTACGACTGGGACTCAGATGACGGCCCTGAAGAGGGAGAGCGACCTTCCACTCGAAGCCAGGCAACTAGCCACAAGACACAGTCAGCGCCTGGATCTGAAGCTTTGTCAACAGAAGCAAGTGAGCCAATGGATCATTTGCAAACACCTGCCACTGAAACGCTTGCAGGTGCAGATTCTGGATCTGCAACCATCACAGAAGCCAGGTACAGGAACCTTTAATTGATGCATTTGGCTTTTTAATGTGTTGGCTGGAAGGAATGTTGATTCCTCTTTCAGGGATGGTCACAACATAGCCCACTTCACTTTCTAGAAACATATATTGAAAATTCATTTTCTACATTGCTCTTCAACCCCATCTCACATTCTGATTTTGTTAACTATTGTTCAATTGCTGTAGCTCACATGGAGATATTTATTATTACTAATTTTAGATAAATACTGAATGTGAGTATAAAAAAAATGCTAACATAGTAATAACTAGAGCCCGGATAATTATGTAATAACTTATTTTCATAACATAACTGTCAAGTTGAATCAACGATATTCACATTTCATATCGGTCAGTGTCAAAAAACATTGACTTTTTTGTATGTATTTTACCCAAAAGTGTGTGTATCCACTTACAATACATATACGTTACTTTACAACACATTGCCAGATCACATTAAACAATTGAAGTCGTTACACATATTTTTGTTAGAAGTAAAATCTTTTCTCCTGCACACAATTAGAGACTATACTGATCATCAAAAAGAGAAACAATGTTTATTTTAATAAAACAGTGATATATAATGAATTAGTTTACATTTGTATCATATAATTTTTTTAGAAATACTTGTAACAACTACTACTTGTTACTATGCTTGTAACAAATAATGTACTTCAGCTTCCGGGTCAGTGAGCCGCGTCTCAATCAGGTTTTGGTCCTGTTTCCCTGATACATTGAGCAAATGCTGAGATAGCCCCTTGTTTTGCTTCTGGACGTCAATGTAGCTTCACTGTGCGCACGTTTTGTTTTCCTTTTGCTTATTGTGGTAGGAGTAGAGGTAAGGGTGAGTTACTATTTTGTTAGCAATGCAAAAAAATGTATTTATCTTTCTCTTTTACTCATCTTTCAACTATTTATAGTTAAAATTATGGGAAGGAATTCTGAAACTCAAGAAAATGAGTGCAAATAATCTTCTCCCCCATGTGCCACATACATTTTTTACTGTTTTTTTGACTAAATAAATCTGACTAAAGTACAGATTTTTACATGTTACTGAATTTTTACATTTTCTCCAATTTTTATTTAATTCTTCTTTTTTCCTGTATGTTTTGAATAAGTTATCTCCCAGGTAAACAATCAGCTTTGTCAAAAAAAATAATTCTGTAGCCTCTTCTCTAAAATGCCATTATTACATCGCGGTGAAATGAGTGAGTCCATAAATACTCTCATTATTGCAAATAAAAGGGCAAGGTGACGACGCAATATCTAACTTCTGGTGTGTTACTTTCAGTGCGAATATGGCAGAACAGAAAGGAAGTTAGGTTTGTGGAAATGATACGTTTAGTAGGTGATATTGCGCTCTCACTTCGCTTCTTTCAGTGGTCTCCCTTGACCTTGACACCCTTCACCAGAAACTACATGACTAGCTCAGAAAGCTCCGTTGACATTTTTCTTTCCCTAATTGTCACACTCGAACCTCCGCCGTTGTTTACAAATTGTCTTCTTGTGCTGAAAATATGAAGTAAAATCACCATGTGGCACTTAGGCTTTGGTTAAACCTCATAGGGCAGTAGTAGCACTGAGGGAGAAGTTGGCACAGGCATGTATGGCTGTTTCTGTAGATTTTTATTTTCAAAATCCCTGTTGGCAATTTGAAAACGCGTCTTGTTTACTGAGAAAGGTTTCCATTCACATTTAAAAATGTGTCTAAAATATTTTTGAAAACTGACAAAAGGGAAATTGGCCAATAATTTTGAATTTCATTTTTGTTGCCTTTTTTGAAGAGCGGCTTAATCTTAGCTGTTTTGAGAATGCCTGAAAAAGTTCTGGAGCATAAGGATGCATTAAATAGGTGAGTTAACGGGTGTATAACGGCAGGTGCACATGTCTTTAACATACATTGCGGGAAGTCACCTAAACTGGACGAATATGTATTTTTTAATTAACCGATTTTCTGAGAATTTCATGAAGAGTTGTGGAAATGAACATAATGTCTAAACTTTTTGGTGTTAAAAGTGTAAGTCTCTTTTGTTAACTTGTGCAGTGTAGTCCAAATGCAATCATTAAACTTTTACCAATACAATGCTGTAGATACAATTACGTAGATTATAATTTTTAATTTTAGTCTTTATATTTTGACACAATACATTAAAGATAAAACAATTGATATAATGATAATTAATGTTACATATTTCTTACTTTTTAGTACATATTTCTGCATATTATAATACCTTTACAGGTACACATTTTCACGATTGTTAGTACATAATTATCTGGGCCCTAGTAATAACAAATATTCAAGTACCAGGTGGCTGTCACATAGCCTTTAGTGAAATAAAAAAATTAAATAATAAATTGAAACTTCAGATTTGAGTAGAGTGATACCTGTAAAACATGTGTGTATTATAAATGTATGGATTTGCTTATATTGTAATGGTATTACTGTAATTAGTATGCTTAAAATTATAGGGAACCAGACGTTAAGTCCTTGAACTCATGAGGAAACAAAAACCATTTGATGAAATTAAATTGAATTATGATTTAATTATATTAATTACAATAAAAGTAATAATTATTATTGTCACTATTGTGACTGCTAATTGGTCTGATATTATGAGAAATTTTGTTACATTATGAAATAAATTTAACTGTATTGATTTCAGATTTAAAACTTTCAAGACGAGCCTTGCCAAGGCATTCCGAGAGGCACGTGCTCATTCTTTACCACGAACACGTGTTGTAGAGGTTGCAAACCAAGATCAGCCAAGTGAACCTTACACAGATGGAGAAATAAATAAGGCTCTGGAGCAACTCACTGACTCCAATCAAGTGATGGTTGCTGATGATTTGGTCCTGCTTATTTGATTTGGTTTGTTGGTGAGAGTTGAAGGAATGTACTTCAGCAAAATACAAGGCGTGTTTCATGAAAACAAAGTAGCGCTTTATCAGAGACCTTTACCATTATTTCTAAACTTATTTTCTTGTAGATTTATCTCGTATCTTAATCGTGCTTAATTCTGAAAATTTTGTTGTGATGTCAGCCTCATTACAAGGAAATAAATGGATATTCCTTCCCATTAAACTGGCTTTAGTTCTGGTGTTATCATTTTTAATGGAGTCCATGATGGTGAAGCCTCACAACTAGATGTTTATTCATCTTAACGTAAACAGTAATATTACATGAAAGAACTCAACACATTCAAGTGATTGTGATAAGATGGTTTGCTGTATTGAACACATTCTGATGTTCATATTTGTGAAATATTATGTTGATGGTTTGTAATATATTAAAGTAAACATCATAATTATTTTATATTTAACTCGTATGAATACTTGTTGAAAAAGGATTTTATCATTTTGACTTAGCAAACTGTAAACACTGAGCCAGCAGGATCTAGGGAGTCTGCTGTCCTAGTATGTATTTGAAAACTTTATTTGGTTTTTTGTAGAAAACTTAAATAGTTTGGCAAATAAAATCATTGATAATGTTGATGAAACTGATTTACCATATTCACCTGATTATAAATAAGATGACTCCTTGATTTTGAATACTTTTGAAATTGTTAAAAATTATTTTTTCTCAATTATACTTGCTTTTACAGGAAAAAACGGTGAATTGTCGACAGAAAACGTATTGCTGGGCCCTGGTATAGAGTGATTTTTATAAGAAAGGACCATTGTCGGCTAGCGCTGGCAACCTTACTGAAAGTTCTGTGGCCGTTGTGTTCTTCAGCCTATTTGACTTTCCTTCCATCATTCGTTCATTTGCAGTTGGGTTTGACATTTGCTTTTGTGATGTCCTCATCGGATGAAAATATAGTTTGCCACAAGAAATAATCGAAATAAGGAAGTGCAGTTCTACTGTACTCTTCTGTAAAAATCTTTTTTTTTTTATAAACATTGCATTGATAAACGGCCCCTAGAGAGTTTTAGCACATCGACGCTTAAACTTTACTGGACCTTTAATAAAGACCCTACTTTTGTTACGTGACGCCTGGAACATCAATCTCGGTATACTCTCCGTTTCGGTCCCTGTAGCAAACCGAACTCGGTTCGGTAAGCGAAGCTTCTTCCTACATCGAATCGTATGTCGGTTATATTCGTTTTGGATTCTTGGTATGTCTTGGAGAAGTAAAATTAATCATTGTGGAAAAAATCTGGCTGCTGTTTTTTGCAAAATATTATGTATGTCCTTGAAGTAAGTGTTGGCTTCCGCTCTATCAGAATGGAAGCCAAGGAAAAATATTGAAATTCATGTTGTTTCGCAAACAAAACGGGTGTCATTCGACGCGTCTCGGTCTCCTGATGGGGAACTAAAAATTCGTTTTTGGATCCGGCCAGAAGATTGTAAGAAATTTCCAAAACCGTTTTTTATCCCTGCCATTTTAGTGAGTATGCCGAGAATTAAACGCCACCGAAATATAGGCTATGTAGGTTACGTCGAATGTGACAAGTGAATCGTCGTGAATGTGCATCCGTTTTAACGTATTTTTAAAAATACATTTGAAAAAACCTACAAACAGTATTGCGTTGAAACTTACTGAGCTTGAAGAACTGCATCTCCAGTTGAGCCATTCTTTACAATGTATTGTTACCGCGAACAACATACATTAAACTCAAATTTCCTTAGTTTGGCAGGCAAATGGCTTAAAATGGCAGGAATCTTTGATTTTTAATTAGATCTGTCCAGTATTTTATTTCCCCTAGCAACGTTCCCTTTTCAATAAGTCCTCCTTCAGTCGTGGGGAGTTGACCTACTTCCAGCGCTTTTGCGTTGTTCACAGTCACCTCACGTTGGTCCATTGGTCCGCCCGATGCTTGTCTCAGAGCCCAATCTTGGTTCGCGACGGCGCCACTCAAGGCGCCTGGCTGCTCGCTGCCCTCTGCTTCCGCGCACACCGTTTCCCGGCGTCTCGTTGCCTTCTGCGTCGCCTTCCGCGTTGTCTCCCGTCTTCCTTGCACGGCACCTCGCATAATAATAATAATAATAATAATTTATTTCGGTTCTTTGATGGTACAAAGTACCATTTTAGGCCATGTAATGAATTGAGTTTAACAAACTATTGACCAATACAAATTTTAACTATTTTAGTATAATAAATACATTTCTCGTAAAATAGGGTGACAACTATGTTACAAAATAATGTTTAAAATTACACTATTAGTATACAAATAATTACATTGAATATAAAAAAATACATATATTGTCACATAGAAGACAAGTAATACACAATTTAATACATACAACTTATAAATATGAAACATTGTATTATATATTAAATGTATCCATACACGTGAACATATAGATTCAGCATAGTACATTTCACTATTGTTCATAATTCTGTGCAATCCACAATATTCTACATGTCAGATAATGTTTTTTTATGACTCGTGTAAGGAATATGCTTTGTTTATTAAGTATTTCTTTAGTTCTTTTTTGAATTTGAAATTGCTTAGATTTTTTATTTCATTTGGCAATTTGTTGAAAAGTTTTTTCCTGAAAGATAAGGATTTCTGTCAGTTCTTTTGACTCTTGTACTAACAATGTGTTCATTGTTCTTATTTCTGGTATTATAGTTATGTATATCTTTATTTTGTAGCGTGTTTCCATTGGATCTCATTAAAAGTATGGTGTCTATACACACACGCGCGCGCACACACGCACGCACGCACGCGCGCGCGCGCGCAAGATTTTATGGCAGGACACCCTCGCGCGGTGCCGAAGGTGGGTTTGTCGGCAGCCGGGTCCTCGCCAAATGTCAAGTGGGTGTCACCCTCGCGACCGCTGGTAAAAGGAACCCAACGCTAATTGCGCCCTCTTGGGAGACAAATTTACGACCCAACGGCCAGCGGCGCACGTGCAGATCCGAAGTGAGCAGGCCCGAAGTTTTTTTTTTTTTTTTTATACCAGCAACGGACATTCTGGGCGTTGAGAAAAGGGTTCCCGTTTGATTGGTTAAAAACACACCTCCACCCTGCTCCGCGAAATTCAACCCCGCGTATCGGGAGGATCCACGCTGTTTGAGGGAGGGGGTACCGAAGTTTGCTGATACCAGGCCGCCGATCTGAGGGCATTCGATTTCTTAGCTCGGCCACGTGTAGTCATTCGATTTCTTAGCCACGAGTAGTCATTCGATTTCTCAGCTCGGCCACGAGTAGTCATTCGAGTTCTTAGCTCGGCCACAAGTAGTCACTTGTTTTCTTGACTCTGCTACGAGTAGTCACTTGATTTTTTTAAACTTTGATCCGAGTAGTCACTCGATCTGCTAACTTGGTTACGAGAACTCGCCTGAGTTCAGTAAGGCATTGACTGAAACTCAAGTTATTAACTTCACTTCGCTTGCTCACTTGACTTAGCATTCGAAGCCTCTTGCGGAGGGAAGTTGACCCCTCGCGCACTCTGTCAGAACTTCGGCGAAGGGATGCAGTCTCGCGCCTAAGCAATTTATGGCGTTATGGCATCGTCCGCGACTGCTGATACGGAAGTTGATTTGGCTTCCAATCACACCATCGCCGATGAACAACGATTCCGTTGCTGCCAGAGGTTGGTGACGCTGGTTGAAGGGGGACGCCTAGGACGCGGTGACGTCAGACGGTCACGCTGGGAGCCGGCCTGTGTTTACCTCAGGCTGCTGGAAGGGGGGGGGGGGGGGGGGGGGGCGACCGCGCCCGCAAGAACGTGCCGGCCGACGACTCCACCACGGGGAGTGCTGTGAAGCCCGCCGACAGAAAAACGAGGGTAATAATCCACTTAGCTCCCGCATGAATGGCGGTTCGGACACTTGCTGATCGAGAGCGGGGGGGGGGGGCATTGCTTATGTTGTTATCGAGCTTTAACAGATGGCTAATGTTTTTAAAAGAAAGGGTCGTGTTTATTATTTTTGTAATTCATGTAAATCATTTTAATTAGTAAATGTTTATTACTGCAATGTTATGTCTATTATTGTTGAAATTTCCGTTCCCTTTCCAGCCACACGCTTCGTTGGGTTACAGTAGATTGTTGGTGGTCAGTGACAAATGATTTCAGAAGATATGGGCTATTCCCTGTGTTCCATATTTTTCTAGTTTGTCTAAGAGTATGGTATGATTTACTTTATCGAACGCTTTGGACATGTCCATAAATATTACATTAACCTTCAATCCATCGTCAAGCGTGGTTAGAATAGTATTGTGTAAATCTGTGATTGTAGTGATTTTGAGCGTCCTTTTCTAAAACCATGCTGATAGTGTGACAAGTGAATTTTCTTCGAAATATCTTATCAGCGTGTTTAAAACGACATTTTCTATTATCTTGCTAAACGTCGATATAAGTGATATTGGTGTAATAAATTTAATGTCATGTTTGTCTTACCATTTTTAAAGAGATGTTTAATTATTGCAAATTTAAAGACGTGTGGAAATAATTCATATGCAAGTACAGAGTTAATTAAATGTTCCAACATCCTCATCTGCATCTCTCTTGTCTCGTCGACTCGTTCAAGCCCGCGTGCGAATGTCCCTTGCACGTCGCAAATGATTAAATAAAGCGTATTTGCGTAATTCGGGCGTACGGGTAACACTCGATAGCACAGTTCTATTTAACGCCGATGACTGAAAGTTACTACTTCTTCACTGCAATAATTACTGTTCCTTCTTTACTGACCACCGAATCACTTAGAATGATTGAATCCGAATTAAATACTCCCGTCCTTAGCTGATGAAAAACTCTCCTGCGGCAAATATTTAATGAAGTCGCTCGTGAATTACTATCTATACGTCTCTCTGAGTCCAGAAACTCCTACCTAATCTCTCGTCGATGCTGCTTGAACGGCGATCGGAACCAGAGGAATGAATGTTCGACGGCTCGCTGTTTGTGACCGCCCTCCCTGTAGAGGTTGCAGCGCGACTTTCCAGACTGACCACTTACACGACACTTCTAGTTATCCAGGCTAGTACCTGGCTCCAAACAATGTGCTATCCACATGCATCAGGAACAAGTCCCTCCTCTTTGCCCATAGTGTCGGGTCACTGCCACTACAAAAGCTGAGAGCCCAACAAGGGACCGCCCGACGTCTCCTCGTTGCCTAGACCTTTAGGCTATTGACGTGAGTATCGTCAGGACCTATGCTATCTGAAGGGGGGGGGGGTCCGTTTTCTCCTGGACTTCTGTATGTGGGATCCAGGACGTTCTTACGAACATCCCTTGTCCCAATCCAACCTAAAGGTGGCTCTACGCATTCAGCATTCACCAAGTTGCGAGCGAAAGCTCGCCCAATCTCGAGCAGCTGATGTGCTCGGCGAATGTTCGCTTCCTCTGATATGTGTAAAAGACCGACACGCGGTGGGTAGGGTGAGGATTTAATGTTCGTCGCTCGGCAAATAGCAAACGACCCCTCCACACTACACGGGATCGGCAAGAAGTCGCCGAATACCGAATGTGTGGAGTCGCCTTAAGGCCCGCAACAGACTAACTGAGGAATGAGTAGCGAGAAATGTGGAAAATCGAAACAAGAGACACTTATGAACCCCTGCACACTTGAAAGAGTTTTCCATTCACCTCTGCGAAGGCGAAGGAATTCCTCGCTCGAGTCGGTTAGCGAGCGATTTTTCATTTTCTACATTTTTCATTCATTTGTTATACGACATTTGAGTATTTGCTGCCGCAGGAAAGCACTAAACAGTGCGTAGAAGTGAGTAAGGTTATAATATTAAGCAGTAAAATATGAGATAAATAATAAGTTTTTTAACTGTTTACTTGAATGTTGCCATTAAACTGTAATGAGCAAGGAAGAACTTATATGGAAGATATACTTACTTGAATGATGTCCGTTCATATTAAGTAATATAAAAATAAAAATTTCAAGCAACAAACTAGGAGTATTTTGAAAGAATTGAATTAATTCATTTTCTTAATTAGTTTTTATTATTTTTAAATGAATTTATTATTCACCATTTCAACTCAACTAATCATTTATTCATAATTGAACCAACAAATATAGTAAAACAGTAGAGATTACGGAGCTCAAGAAAATATGCAGATTGTACTTCTCCCCTATATCGTACGTCACTTAAGTTCCTGTTTTTTTTACATTAAATAATGACCTGTAAGCAATGCAGTAATGCCTTTCTCTTTAGGCAATTTAAACTCGTTAAACAGATGGCTTACGATTATGGTTACAAAACAAGGATTTCACGAGTTAAAATTACGCAAGAGCATTTAATGAAACAAGAAATGGGACTTGCAGCTGATCTCATCTTTAACTGCTGTTACCACTCTCGGCTTGTGACACATAAAGGTATTCCGAGACATCGAGGTCCGTATTCATAGTTACACTTATTGGATAAAAATACTTAAAATATAAGAAGTTGCTTTTGATAAGGTCATGCTTATGCACATTTGGTATTCATAGATTCAACTTAACATAAGTACGTATAGAAGTACTTAACATATGTACGTTATAGCATGGCAACAGCGCATTTGCTGTTTCACAGCCACTTGAATCCTACCTAAAACGTCCCATCAAGCTGGCCGTGAACTAGTCATATGCATGCGTTCGTAGACGTCCGTGAGGTAACCTAACCTACACAATTACTTAAGTGGTGGTCGTAATCTTAAACAAGGTAATCGGTTAAACTCTATTCGTTACCACTGTTTTTTGACCCCAACGTTACCAAAGGTATACTTTGTTCTTGGTAAAACGATACCTTTTCTTAAATATTCTTGACCTTGTAAATTTCTGGAGGGTTTTACATATCACGTAAATATATATAGCTGCTACGAAAGAAAGATACCAGCATAAAAATTCTTATAATCTTCAGAATTGTCGTATATTTCCTTTTTTTCTTCAAATTGCGACTATTTTCGACCCACCAAGAGACGGTTCACTTATAGCAATAAGTAATAAGTGAAGACTGAACTTTCCTTATAACTATAGAGTGATTTTTATAAGAATGAACCAAAGTGACACTTCGCTAAACAAGAGAACATCACGTGTAATTCAGAGAAGTATCTCTCCGCGCGGCAGCTGTTCAGCTTCGCTTCTTCGTAAAGTGTTTGTTTGCGGCTCCCATGAAGATATACAGAGTCTAAGAGTTTTGCTGAGGTATATGCACATACATGAGCCCGGGAAATATAGAAATATAATTACGTACTTGGGAATATGTTTAAAAAATGTTTCGTGGCGCACTATATTTTCGTCGCGCGAGGACATCACAAAAGGAAGCGTCGAAGCCATTTACAAGTTAGCCAACTGCAAACGAACGAATGCCGGAAGGAGAGTCTAATTGGCTCAAAAACACAACGATCACAGAATCTTCACCGGCCAACACTAGCTGTCAAAACGGTTCATTCTTATAAAAATCGCTCTGTATAAGGAGTTCCTTACGTACGAGGTGAAGTTGCGACTATGAATTGAAAAACGTTATAAGTAATTTCTTGAGCTTTTCCTTATTATACGCGATGACTAAGAATACGGCCTCGAATAACCTATTTCTCTTTATATGGTGTGTGGGCGCAACTATACCTGCATCTTTCCTCGTTTCTCGACGTACATTTCTCGCAACACATCCCTCTGTGTAGTCTGTTGCGGGCCTAATGGTAGGCGCCATTAACCCAACAGGTGGGTTACCTGGCGAACCTTGTTACATAGTGTTTAGCATGTGCTTTTTCACTGTCTCCACCTTGAAGCTGGCGATTGAGTTGCACTATGGAACTTTAGGGTCCGAGTGGTCACCTGCAACTCTCCACCAGATACCGCGAACGCCCCCCCCCCCCGTGGGATAAAGAGACAGCATTTTGTCATTTTCCGTACTCTTCTCTCTCTCTCTCCTCCGCTCTCCTATCTATATCACCCTCTTCCTCTCTCTCTTCATCCCCCACAAAAATGGAATTATGCTATGAAGAACCATGCTTAATATTGTGAACTTTCCGGTATTATTATTATTATTATTATTATTATTATTATTATTATTATTATTATTATTATTATTATTATCATCATCATCATCATCATCATTAAAAAGTGACTTATGGTACATTTACAATGGGACGTTATTATTTTTTTTTAATTTGTTGGGTCTTTATAGACCAATTGGGAGCTTAGTCGCAACGCATCTCCTAAATAATAGTGTTGTGCGCACAGCTACATAAATAAGTCACAAGTCAGCGGTATATTAAATCTGACAAGAAATTCTCGCATACTGCAGTTTTTCTAACTCTGGTCCCGAAGGACTTACTTCACGGTGGCATTATGTCACTGGTTTTCACGTCGCACGGTCACATGATCGCGACAATAGCAGTGCTGGATAAGGTCGCGTTCATGCGACATCTAGCAGCACGACCGAGAAAGATGCGGAATATAGTAACATAATGTCACCCCGAAGTATAATGCGATTTATACAAGTCTGCTTCTGGCAGGTAATAGCTGTTGATAGTTTTATCCAATTGGGAGCTTGAATGTCACCACAGTGACACCACTATGGACACCGATTCGATGAAACTGTCAACAGCTGATTCCTGCCATGGACAGACTTACATAACTTGCAGTATAGGGTCTTGAGGGGCAGAGTTAGAAAAATCGCAGTATAGATCGAGACTTGATTCGAGAGGGCATGGCGTGTGATAGCGTGCGTGCCGCCTCTCCTCAACGTGTTGCATTGCTTGTTGATGTTCGGTTGAGTAATGTTTGTTTTGATTGATGCGGGACGATTGTGTTGACTAAAGATTGGTGATTGTGATTAGGAATAAATGCAGTGAATGATACGTGATGTCATGTCAGCTTGAATGTTGAGTGTACTGTATTTTGTCGTATGTCATTGAGTTTTAATTAACCATAAATATGGGGGAGACGAATGACATTGGTTCAGTGATTATGGATGAGATAGCTCTTGAGGGATTAGATGGGATTACAATTGAAGGTAAGTCACCGAAATGCATTTGCAGTTGAACTATTTAGTTTTTGTTAAAAAAAATATCTCCTAAGGATGTTTTGTATTTGAAATGGGGGAATGCCATCATTTTATGTATCTGTCAAGTTGTGCCTTAGTCCCTCTACTGTAATTTTATTTAGTTACTTGAAACCATTCACTGCATATTAATTACATCACAAGGAATGGGTTTTTTATTTGAGTATAGTGTATGATATTTATATAAATTCTTATTAACATTTGGGAGACGATTACGAAATTGTTAAGTTGAAATTTCAAAGTACGTGTATTTTAATGGGATTGGAGTGAGTAGTTGGTTTGAATAAATTGAGTAAAATTAAATTGACAGAAAAAATGTTGGCTCTGTGGGATGAGGCATGGCTCCTGTGGATCTGCCACCTTCTTTAAATGGTCATTCTATTGATATCATGTGAATTGCATTTTCAGGTTTATTTGTTAGATTAAAAGATAGGCCTGAGTTTGCTACTTCATTGAATGATGCATTCAAACAATATATTTGGGAAATTATTTGTAACTTTACTGAAATAGACATGTTTGAATTACCTGTGCCAAGAAAACCATTGGTTGTATTTAATCGTTATGACTATGTTGATCCGGAATTAGGAATGATTCAAGAACCGGTAAGTAATTGTTACATTAAATCTTTGAAAAACAGTTGAAGTATATCTCAAAAAAAGTTTTTTGTAGTTTAATAATATTGAGATGAATAGTCATACAATAATTGTGACTGACTGGAACATAATTATTATTGAATAATGAATTACATTGCTTGTTGGACAGAAGATAAATGTGTGTTGTAGAAATTCTAATTTTTGTTATCATTTAGGGTTAAAACACCAGTGGTACCCAAAAATGTATGAAGTTTCCTCAAAATTCTTAGGTTGCACTACTAAATTTGTATGTAAAACTCATTAGGAGATAAAGTATATCTATTCATGTTTAGGTCACTTGCTTAAAAATGGTTGATTTCATTGTTGTCATATTTTTTATTAATTTATTTTCAAACACTGATTTTATTTGAGTTGTGACATCTTGAAAATTACAAAACTTTGTTTAGATTCTTGACTCTGAAATGGCAATCCACATTTGACCCTTTCAACGTCTTTGAGATCAAAAAGTACATCCCGCTAGATGTTTCATCATTGCAATGTCAATATTTATTTATTTAACAGAAATATATCCAATGGGGGGGGGGGGTATTCAATCGCTCTGTTTGTAATATGTATATATATTTTAAGAAATATTAATAAAATATTTTCTGATTATTCTTTAAATAATAAGTTGGGAAATTAAATTAGAAAATGGATTATCTTCATTCTAGTCACTACTAGAAGGCATAAGTTCTTTGTTATGCTAGTTTGAAGAAAGAGGCAGCCTCTATGTTATGCTAGTTTTAAGAAAGAAGTAACCTGCACTTCTTTTTTTTTCATCTTCAAATTTTGTGCTTACATTGGCCATTTCTGGTGGTGTTACCCTATTTTTCATATTTCTTTTGGGTTATATTCTTTGGGGATATATTCAATAGGGCTTGAATATACACCAAAGATTTAATATATCTTCCAAAAATAAAAAAAATATAATTTGTTATGGAAGAAATAAGTAATAAATATTATTTTTGATGTTTTCGGTCTATTCTGTTTTGTATGATTATAGTAATGTTAATATTATATAACGACAATAATGTTATGATATGTTTATTAATGGTCCTTATGTTTTTGCATATCTATACATCTTTTATTTCTGTATCATGACATTATTTATAATATTTTTAGAAGGCAAAACTAGTCATTTATGGAAGTGTTTATAAAGTTGCACCATTGTATATTGATTTTGTTTTCTTCATATTTTAGGAAATTCTACCAGAAGAGTTGTATCCTCATGTACCTGTTGATGACAAAAAAAAAGGAATTAGGGGATCATGTGCTCTATATAATGAAAGAGTATCTGTTTATCAGATGGCAAGTCAACTTAGCTTAGAAGAAGCTGTAGAAAGGTAAAAGAATATTACTTCATTATTTTTTGTTAAGGGAATCTGTCTTCATGTGAGTGCGAGAGGTCCTTTGAATGAAGTCCTACCTTGAGTAATGACCTGCACTTTGTTGACTTACTTCCATAGGTACAATAAGCAAGATGAGAATGATGAAAATTCAAGTGATGACTTTTCACTGTGACAGAGTGCAAACAGCACTATTTTCTGATGTTTAAGAATTAGAAATGTGATTCTTTTGATTATCTGTAAGCATTTGTAGCAATGTTGAAGATATTTAGTATCCAGTTTATTTTCCTTTCTCAAGTATCCCATCCACCCCAATATTACATCCATAATATTCGGGTTTGAAGATGGTTTGGCAGTTTTTGAACTTTTTTCGGACAGTGATGTAATGAATCTTATCATTCAGTAAACCAACAAATACACCCAACAGTGAGCTCAATCGGATACATCAGCAATAGGTGCCAATTGCAACTGACAAATTTTATGTAATTTTAGGGCTCATTTTTTCACCAAACCCAAAAAGTATTGGTACTAAACTGAAGGAGAAAATGTACTTGTCTCTCATCCAATTATATACACACCTTTTTTTAAAAGTAAGGTACACGGTACACCCTTAAAGATGGGGAGGGGTCTCCATAAGCCCTCCCTCAAATTACAGAATGTGCACTAATAGAAATTAATGAAACTTACTGATAGACGATTTTCATGGCTTATCCTTCATACGCTTTGTCCCTGCAGCATTGTAATGCCAATTTACATTCAACGGCAAATTTTCTTGCTTCGCTTGCCCGGGTCCAAGTCACTGCGAGGCTTTGGCCTTCGGCCCTCACAATTAACTATAAACATCCTTGAGTCTATCCACTGTGTAATTACCAATACATCTTTACAAGAAAGCACTTTTCAAAAAAGTCTCATATTTTTCCTGTATATTTCATCTACAGAAAAGAAGATAAATATTACAAGATCTTGTGCCATGTGCAGCTATGTGAAGGGTGCATAGAGGAGGAAAAGTAGATGCTTCTGTGCTGATTGCAATATAAATCTTAGTGTGCTTTTCAGTTCATCATACACTCAGGAATATTTGAGACTTTTTTTGTAGAACAATTAAAAATAACTGATGAATGAACAAATCAAAATAAACAATTCTTTAATTTGTACCATTGTTTTTTCATATGAATCTTCCATTGTTCCAAATAGCTAAGTAACCCCAGTACTTAAGTGACGCGGGATAGTTATTTAATGCATGTGTAGATTTGAAAGTCTTTAAAATTTGTTCAGATGTTTCCATGGTATTTAATTGCAAAGTTAATTTCATTTAAGTGATAAAGAGATCATAATAAATATTTTGACTACAAATTTCAAAAAATGTTTATAAGTGGTTAGTTGGTCCATTCATGTGTCCAATTATTTTGACACTGGACCATGCCAAACTTAATTGAGGTTGAGTAGTGTCTAGATATTGAGTATCTTGTTGTAATTATGCTAATTGGAAAATGTTGGTATGAAAACATTAATATTTTTGTTAATGAAAATATGTGAAATTCCTGAGAACAATTAATAAATACATTCTTTCTTTGTAGGTGGGGAACAAAACTTGTCATCGTTGCTTCTCAACAAATGCGTAACCTTGCCTTGATGGGATCCTCAGTTGATCCAGAACTCGAGTTAACAATACTACAATATTGCATTTTGGAACGTGTGGGTCGCTCACGTCACTTAGGTGAGGTAACTCAGGGCCGGGTGAGTTTGCAGATAACTGGAGAAGATCCTAAGGCCCTTTTCTACCATAGGAAGTATCTCATGAAACATGGATTGATTGTGAAACAGGTTAGCACATCGCAGTGTTTTCCTATCCTTTTGGTGATGCTGCCTTACAATCTTACTTATTAAAGGTGTTGAGAAGTAGCGTTTTGAATGGAAGGGAATGTAAAGAGATTGAAATAATCATACAATACTTATGCAATGGAATGGTATTTTACTTACTGGAAAACTGGACAAAATCAGGCACTTCGTGGAAGAATCATTAGATGTCAGGGAAAATTTAGAGATAGTTATAAAACTAGATATTATTCCTAAAATAATAGTGCAGTGTTATTTTTTGCTTGGTTTCTGTTTGTTGAGTTTGTTTTAATTTGTAGTTTATTAATTTGTATTTTATTAAGGTGAAATCATAGAGCTGACAAATTTAGTTTCAGGCTTTCTTTAATATTTTTTTAAAATAGTTGGAAATACTCTACAAATATTATCAATGAAAATTTTAGAAATGCTCTGGAATTCCTTGAAGGAAATTTGTTCCAGGAAATGAGTGGACGCACTTTTCAAATATTTTGTGTGAACTATAAATAAGGCGTTTACTAATTCCATTCCTTCATTTGTCATCTGAAATGCAGGTACAAGCTGTTTCTGGTATCCTTTAAATAGTGTGATGTAACTGAACATTGCAGAATAAGCATGTAATATTGAGCAGTGAAAGGTGTTTTGAACTTTCATTTTTTTAAAGAGAAGTGAACAATAATTAACTACTGAAATTACCCTTCATTCTATAATAACAAATAACATACAATTATAACCTAATATCAGCTAGTAACAAATAATATACAATTAAAATTGGAAGGAAGTAGTGTTTGGACTTCTCCCCATATGTCACAGTGTCTAACTGTTTTTGTTTTATATAAATGAAAAAACAAATAAGTTAGTTAATGTTGAAAAACAATGCAACAATTCATTCTTCTGCCAATTCCATGTTGTTGTACAGAAGAGCTATAATCATTATGACAAAACAAGGATTGATGACACACAGGCATTAAATAAAACAAAATTGAGACTGACTCACCTCTGGTCTTGTAGTCTTCACTTCAGTCAAGACCCTCAGTGTGTGGCATTGAATGGCTTATTTCAAGTGTGGACAATTTCTTCAATGCATATCTTGATGAATTCTGTTTCATGCTTGAATGTAGAAAAATGTTTTGTTAATGAATGATTTTCTTTCAGATTCATCATCAAAAATCTGGTTCCCAGAATTGCAGTGGTAGTTTACTTCATTTGCCTAGATTTTACGTAGAACGTTGGCCTAAAGTTCTTTTTCTTACCAAGCGTGTTATTGAGATTCTACGAGAATGCAAGAATTACATTGCAGATTATGATGAAATACGTAAGAAACTAGGTCTTATGAATTCTCTGAAAAAGCTCTTCCAAACAGCATACTTCCAGCGTTTTGTACGCACTGATTTGGTAGGTTTATACTTATTGAGTAGTTACTCTGAACTTTTTGAGTAGAGAGAGCTTGTTGCCTTTAGAACTTTGTGATATTAGCTGGGCTTTATTGTTATTGTAATTTCATTTTTAACAGAAACTCCCTTATAGACATCTCTATCCTGATGCCAAAGAAAGTGAATGGCGATCCCTGAACAATATGAAGGAAAAAATGATTCGTGTGATCCAGTTGTTAGATCCTAATGCAGATGTGGATATTATGTCTGCTCGAGAAGATGAATTTGATATTGATGATGAAGAACATAGTGAAGCAACAAGTGAGTTTAATCGATTAATAATTTAAGAATGATGTTAGATTGTAACAATGTAGTGTGATGATTTTATAATAACACGTATATGTAAGTAAACAAATTCGTATAGAATATAAACATAACGACTTCAACAACAGGGTACATAAGAGAAGCATTTGATAAAGTGATAAATAATGAAAATGTAAGGGAAGGGCAGTGTAATTAAAGTAGAGAAAAATAGAAGAATTAGTGTTAAATAAAATAGCAAGTGGTCACGTGAGTAATTTCTGTGGGTAGAAAATTAAATTACAAAAGGAATCCAGTGATAATAGGCATGGAATAAATGGAAATCCATGGAATAAACATATAAAATGCTTAGATGAGATCAACCAATGAGAAATGAGAATGTGCGGGAGAAAAGAAAGATCTTGTAGGGTGGAATGTAAGAGAAACAGATTAAGGTACTATCCTGTGCTCTGGGGAAGATAGATGAAGAGCATGTAACATGAACAAACAGGACAGAAGACATTGAGATTCGATGGCGATCGAATATCCAGGTCCTATGGCAACTGGATAAGCACAGTGTAAATTATTAATTCGGGAGAAAATCCTATAAGTAGAACAAAATGTAAGAGATGAGAATTATTTTTCATCAAACATGTGAAATTTCTTTATAAATTTTTATTCAGTAACTTACGGTGTATGTCTCAAAAAATGGTACAGTATTTAAACTGGGTAGGGCTTTAAACCACGTGAGAAGTATGGTGTGTGATATATTCAAGTAGGCATGTATTTATTTGCATGAGAAGGCTTACATGGACACTTGTGGTTCTGCTATTCATCATGCAACCATTTCATAACAAGATTTTAAGTGTTCCTCAATATTTGATCAGTGGTCTGAAATCTGCACATGTTTTGCCCATGTACATGAACAAGCACTTCACCGTGTAACTAGAAATATATGTTTTATTTACCTTTCTGCAGTGAAGGTACATTTGTCATTCATAAGAAGTTATTAATTCTTTTAATTAATTGGAAGCTTCATTTCATCGAAAGTTAAAAAAGTGAAATAGAATATTATATCCTTATTATATTGGTGTACATTTAGGAATTGTCAATATTAATTACTAGGGAGCGGATTGCTATGATTTTTGCATATTTTTGTCTGTTGCTGCAGTGCATAGCTAAGTGAAATTTATTGACATTTGGTTAGAATATGATACTATATAGATTAATATGTTAGTGCATATATGTGTGTATTTGAACGCTTTCCTGTTAGTGCATATTCGTGTAATTAGAGGTGGATATTTTGTTTAAATAGAGACTTATCTGTAAAATGTTTTGTCTTTTCATGGAATCTATTTATTTGTGAGCATTAATAGATTCGAAAGGGCTTTTAACAGTTTGCATGTTTTTGTTTTCTAAAGATGATGTGCTTGTGCAAATGAAAGATATTTATTGAGAACGTATTTTTTAAACCAGTTAGAAGTTCAACAAGACATACAATGTACTTCACTAGCTGAATATTTATTCAATTATTTCTCTCACAAAGTACATTATACACACAAAGATAAACCTTTTCATTCCAAGCACGCTTCTGAAATTTATCAAGAAAGGTTTGTAGAGGAAATGGAATATTATTAGCTTTTTTGCATATTAAAGGGCATATTTCAGAATTTTTGGGTCATAAATGCATATTTAAAAGAGTATTTCAAAATATTTTAGGGCATGAAAATTCTTCCTATTAATTATGGTACAATTGTATCTCTGTAGTAGTCAAGCTTTTGCAGTTCACATTCCTGGCCAATCTTTACAAATGAAGTGTCAAAAGAAAGAGAATTGTGTGGACAGGTGATTAAATTCACTTTCACACATATGAATTATGGATATGTTGGGGGGGGGGGGGAGCTTTTTTAATCGGGCAGCCACAAATGTAGTTTCTAACATGGCTTAATGGTTTGTTTCCTCACATATTGATTGTGCATTAATGGTGGAACCAATGTCCTTGAAACCAGTTTTTTATGCCAAAGGCCTTGAGTTATGTTCATCATGTGGTATATTAAAATGAGATCTTTCGGTACCTTTATTAGATTTTTAGAGGGTTTGGTTCTGAGAATTCCTCTCCATGGAAATTCTCCAGTAATATTAAACTAAAGAATGACCACCTGCAGAGAAAATCCTCTAGAGCTAAATGTTCCCAAAGGTCTTTATCTTAATGTTTTATAATAGGGGATAAACAATTTGGATTGATATTGTGTGCTTTTCAATGTGCAAGATTAAAGATTACAAAACATTTTCCACGGATATCTGAGTTTCTATCCATTTTATATTGAATAAGCTTATTACAAGATTTGAAGAGAATAAAATGTTCCAAAAAAACTATTTTTAACATTTTTTTTTCTAGTATAATCGGTTTTCAATATATTTATGGTTACAGATTATAAATATATACTTTTTTGCATTACCTTGATTTCTATGCCTTGTTTGTCATTTTCGTATAAAATTAATTACTCATTGTTTTTCATGTGACGTACTGCATAGCAATATAGTGCGGTCAAGCAGTGGTGATGTATTCTTGCATAAAATGGGGTCATTTTCAATATACAATATACTTTATAATGTTCAGTCAATAAAGAAATATGTGTTAATCTAAAATTATGCAAATTAATTCATATAAAAATAATTTCTTTTTCATTGATGTTGTTTCTTAGAAATTTATAACTTTGTATTACAATTTGTGTAGGTTGTACATTTACCTTTTCTGTGCTTCCTATTCTGAGGTTGCTGCTACCAGAAGATCCCTTCCTGAAATAAAAGTTGTTGACCATTGAAAGTTACACAATTGCTGTTGGTGTTCAGAAATTATGAGTGGTGCTATGCCAGATTTGGAAGAGCTTGAAGATTACCTTGTGCAATGTAAATTCTTTTTTTCCAAAGAAGAAAAGCTGAATGAGTATGCGTGTGAGTGTGTGTGTGTGTATAAATTGTTTTATTTTGCTTTTATTCCACATTTTTAATTACTTGCAGGTTCTCGGGCAGAATTCAATGTAACATTAAATAGAAGCTTTTTATCTCAAGCATATCAAGTAGTAGAAGGGGCTGGAGTCAATGGTTATAGTCAAATGGAATTAGTTGAGAAGATGGGATTACCAAAATTGAGTGCAAGAACTGTAAGTCGTAATCTCCTGAAGAGAGGTGTTGCATCTACATTTATGAATGATGTCGGAAGGCAACGAGTCTCTAGGTATGCAATTTTGTTACGATTAGCATTTTTTAAAGTGTTCAAGCACAATGGTTTTTAAAAGTAATGTTTAAATTCCTGTTTTGCATTGTGATTTATTTATTGTATTTGTTTTTACTTTTCCGTATATGTATGTCATTAGGGAGTAATGTGAGTAGTATAGAGAAACTTACATGGTGGAAAATTGATCTTGAGGTTTCAATGGAAATATGTTTAGGGGTCCCCTGATACCAAAAGTGTAAGTTGGTTGTTGTTTTTTCTCTCCAAACTATGCGTAGGACTTTTTCCAAACATAAACTCCCTGTAGATCTGGCTTTGATTTTGAAAAACCTTATACATGAAGCTTCTGCGACATTTTCAAAATTTTCATTCAAAATCAATTGTTACTGACAAGATTAAATCTAAAAGCATTCCATTTGTATTGATTAATCAACATGGATCCATGCCAGGATGAAGTATTGAGACCAATTTAGTTTCTTACATTCATTTCATCCTTGAAGTTTTAAGGAAAAACCAGTAGACAGCATTTATACTGACTTCAGCCGTCCGTATCTGGATCATGATTATTCAAGAAATTTGTCTATGATAAAAATACATCATTTCTGAAATATATCAGAACATATAACAATATTATATTTCTTTATAAACTTGTTAATAGTAAAGTCGATAACCAATTCTTGCTTTCCAAACTTTAATTCCAACAACGCCTTCAAGGCATTTTTGGCCTTTTGTCCTGAGAACTTTTCTCCACAGCTACACATCAAACAATTGGGTTTTTAGAACCTGTAAAAATTAAATGGTCTGGATAGTGATATATTTAATCCCAATTTTACTGCCATCGTTAAGATTCTGAGTGTGTCTATTTTCGATTTTGAATAACTTGATGCTTAGCTGGTTGAAGATATTCTTTATGAATTGTCTCTGATCCATGTAATTACATTCACTATTATTATTTTTATAATGTATTAATATTGTAAAATTGTACTTTACCTTTGTACTAGCATATTTTTACTAGCATAAGTACTCCGTTTTGGCGGGGTATTTTTCACAATAATTTATTAAACAGGAAGTGGTATTCCATCTAATCTTGCCCTGCCATGGGACCTACTTGTATCTATTCTATTGTATCCAAGTCGTGCTCAACCTCTCTTTGCCTTGCCTCCACTTGAAAATACTCAATCTTCCTTCCTCATTTTCTCACTAAAAATGTATATATTTTTTTATATTGGGGTTTCCACTTCCAAACTTTACTCACTTTACATATAAAAATAATAAAAAAAGTTAACAGAAAAAAGACATGTACTCATATTTCATGGATTTATATAAGACTATTGTTTCCAATCCTATAGAGGCATCTTCAGGTGCCCCCCAGGGGTCACACTGGGGTGGTCTCTTATTTAACATATTTATTCACATCATATGTGACAGTATATTGGACGTGGAGTATCTGCTTTTTGATAATAACTTACAATTTTTTTAAAAATCCAATCTGATGAAGACAGTCCTTATGCAAAACACCCTAAATGCCTTATATGCATGGTGTGTGAAGAATGATCTTTTTGTCAATATCGTTAAATGTAAAACTAACTTTTTCAAGATCTAAATCTAATGAAACCTTTGATTATATGATGAATCTCACTCCACTAGAGACCGTATATACCATTAGAGAACTGGGGATGATTTTTGATTCCCTGATTTTTGATGATTTTCACAGATCGTTTTCATTGCACAATGGTCAAATCAAACCAAGTATTGGGATTCATTAAAAGATTCTGTCATGAATTACACTCAGTAGTGGTCTTGAGATCACTCTTATCTTATGCTCCTCAAGCCAATATTGATGTACTCTTGGTTCTGTTGTTTGGTCTCGGTTCTTTTTTCAAAATATATATCACAAATTGAAACAGTCCAACACAAATTTTTCAGAATGTCAGCCTATGCTTTGGGATTGGAAGATCCGTGTTTAAAACATGAATATATTGACTTGGGTCTGCAATTGCACACTCCTTCACAAAGTTCTCAGGGAGACTTGAACCATTTATTGTTTTTGAGAAAACTGATTGGGTAAGGTCCATTGCAAAATCTTGCAAAACCAGATAGTGTACAAAACACCTAACTTTAATTCTAGAACCAATGATATTTTTGATATTATATTTTACCGTCAATCTTACACAGCAAATAATGTTATAAATCAGTCAACAGTTTGAATATTGATATATGTGAAATGGATATATTGCTTTTTTATCACTAGTGAGCAACAAAATCTTGAAATTTGAATGTGTAGGCATGGTAGAGCTACTGTTATACCAGATATATTTCATATGTTATTATTGAATGTTTTTCTTTATAAATGTTTCTATTTTTATTATTATGTTGCTACATGCAAATTTTTATTGTATTCTTTTTGTAAATAATGGACTTGCTTGTCAGTAAAATAATAAATAATTAATAAACAATAAGTAAAAAACAAATGAACAAACAAATAAAGAAACAAATAAACAAACAAATAAACAAACAAGTAAACAAACAAATAAATAAACAAACAAACATAAACAAAAATGTGATATTTGTGAAATTTTATGTATTATTCCCATACTTTCAATTACTTGCCACATTGTATAATTTATTCTTTTCAAATTTTTATCATCTAGCGCAGTGGTTTTCAAACTTTTTGCTGCTATGACTCATTTGGGCAACAAATTCTGCACCTGCCCCCACTCATTAAAATTAAATTATTAATAAAAAATAACTTCTAAATATTCCCCCCCCCCCTGAAAATAAGGTCATCTTGTACTGTTTATTATTATATACTTACAGTGTACAAAATAATTAATGGAAGTGATTTTCACTGTTGACTCTTGTAATTAATGAATTTAGTTAATGTTTGACAAAGTAAGGAAAACTATAAGGAAAACGAACATATGGATAGTTTAGAAAAGTCAGGGAGATGGATGGACTTGTTTGGTGTAAAACAGTTCATTGAATCTCAGCACTAATTTAGAAATGCCAGTATGTCATATCTCATTCTGGAAATTTATTCTTGAGCTATATTTCTCTTGATCAGTGCTGTGGCTGAAAATCCTTGTTTACTTACATAAGAAGTGGGAAAAGGAAGCACAACACGCATGACCTTACTTAACACTGGATACTGGTTCTTTACAGAGCACCAAAATTAGGACAGTGTGGCAAGAATGAATCTCGTCACAATAATGCAAGGTGTATTCTATTGCAAACTGCCAGAGCTCGTTTATACAATAACTGAGAGTTGACAATGTTGGTTTTATGCAAGCAATGCAATTACATATACAAATGTTTTTTCCTCATTCGTTAAAATTAATGAAGGAGCAAAAAGAGCATTATTAAGCATTAGAACATTATTTAATTAAATGATTATGAAGTTCTCAAGCCTCCTCTTTGAAACTTTCGTGCCTCTCTGGGGAGGTGGCTTCACATTTTGAATAACACTGATCTAGCGTATTTACAAAAAACAAGTTCGAAATTGATTTTTGACCCTATATCGAGGCAATGAAAATATAAATATTAATAAAGTGCTTTTAAATGAATTCGAGTTTGCATTTTTGGATCTTTGATAAATTGTTGCTGTTAGGAAGGGTGCCATTAACCACTTAAGAAATGGTAATATGTCTAAAACTCTGAGATCTAACAGTGGATCCCGGCTTGTCGTAAATTTTTCTGTTATGTAAAAGCTCTTTTGCTCTATTTTCAACATCCTTGAAAAATAGTGTTGACACACATTCACTTCCTTCCATTTCCTACTATTCTTTTACTTCAACACTACTTCTTCGTGCCAAACATTCATTAATGTAAATAATTATTCCTTCATCAGCTAAAGGTACAATTTCTCCACTATACTAAAACAAAAATGCATATATCTGTCACAGTTTCAGCCTAACACCTGAACCATTCATAATACGTTTCACTTTTACTCACCCTGACCCATCCCGACCTACTTTCTCCCACTCCATCCCACGCGCAAATACGTAATAATCATACTTACATACTACAACTAAAGAAATAACTATTTCATGTAGAACACTTGTCTGCATTCATACCTTTTTATGACGATATCAGAAATATATGATATCCTTCAGCAAAATGTGGTTTTCCAAACATGTCATATACGAGTAAGCATACTTCTCTCTTGTCCACTTAATGCATTCACGCCTAGATGCAATTAAAATCCATATCCAAATTACTTTTATAAATATAGTGAAGAAAATTAGTAAGAATTATTTTTATATATAAACATTTCTCATTAAACAATTGATGGTAGAATCAACAAAGTCAACAGCTATTCTACAGATAAACTGCAATTCTGTGAATTGATAAACTCTATCGTAGACCTCAGTTGCCATCCTGTGGTGGCTCACAGCCAAACTATTGCACATTGATGCGCTCTTGAATCTGTAATGCAATGTTAGGTGAAAAAAGTCCAGAAAAGTAATTATTTTGTGAATATATTAAGGTTTATGGTTGTAAATCATAGCCTATAGGACTCCTGGCCTTCAAAGTTAGCACGTAAGTTTCATTGTCCAAAATTCATAGAATATCCACTGTAACACAATGCCTTTGTATCTTTATATATTAGCATAGATAACCTTTTGTATTTCGACCAACAAGTCCATATAGTGAATAAATAAATAAAATGGCTTTTAAGCATTACTGTAAATGTGAAACTTCAATCTCTTTTTCACAGAAATATTTTGAGTTTTCGAAAAACCTTATTCAAAGTCTTTGAAACGCTTCCACTCAGTATACAAATTGCTGGAAATGTGCATATTAACAGCATGTTATTTATTTTAATATTTTTAAGCATGATAAATATTTCAAAAAATTACATTTGTATAATTTAATTTTTTTAAAAATTTGTTTACGGGATATTCTCTTTTATACACATAATTATTTTATGAGAATACAAGATACAAATTTGTTAATGAATTTACAAAGTGTAAATTTAGGAACAATATTTAATTACAAATCAGATGGTTTCATAGAGCAATTCTCGGATAGTATGTACATAACTTGAGTAAGTAATGTTGAAAAAATCAATTGATTTACAATACCTTGTAGCAGTAGAGGCAGTACAGTCGAAGATATCATTCATTTGATTTTCAGTTTTCATAGGTGTGACAGAAAATAATAAGGAATTACGTGTCAACAGGTGAGGGACCTGAAATCCGATATTAGGGAGAAAATCGAATTAATTTCACCCGACAAAGTTTTAAATAGAAAGATAAGGTCACAGATTGTTCTTCTATCCTGAAGATGAATGTTATACACCAAGTATAACTCTCTTCTCATCAATGTAGTCATGACAAAACTGTAGGATAGGGCATCCATTGCGGAACTCGTAAGTTGCATAACAACCTATGTTGAATTAAAGAGAAGTTTCATCATGTAGTGATCGAAATTGTGATGTGTTTCACAGGATAAAACCCAGGGATCACAGTGTTTTGTTAACAATGCTGTTAATGGGATTGTTGAAATTGAGTTTATTGTCAAAGATAACTTCAAGATCTCTGATGTTGTCAACTGCAGCCAATATCTTCCCATTGAGTCTATATAGAAAACTAACAGTGTTTCACTTTCTGGAGAAACTAATGGTATAGCACTTGTCATAGTGCAATGATATGTTGTTCAGAAGGCACCAATTTTCAAAAGCTAGTAAATGAAGTTGCAACTTGATGACATCATCAGAATTAACTATCAAATGATAAATCTTAGCATCCTCAGCAAAAAGCAGGATATTACTGTGTTTTAAGACTGTAGGGAGATCATTGATAAATAAGTTGAAAAGTAAACGGCTCAGGTCAGATCCCTGAGGGACTCCAAATGTTACACAGTAAGTGTCGGAATGGATACCGTTCAGAGAAACAAACTGCTGTCTGTTATACAAATAAGAATTGATCCATTAAAGGAGTGGATCACCCAAACCCATCTTCATTAGTTTATGGACTTGACAGACACAGTGAGCGAATCAACAATAAAGATTTTGAATATACCCCAGTTTGTACAGGTTGACCAGTCTTATCTGAATCCATGCTGGGAGTCTGAGACTACAGACTAAAAAGAAGATGCAAGATTAATGCACACTAGTTTTTTAAACAGCTTAGGGATGGTGCTTAAGATGGAAAGAGTGTAGTAGTTTATCACATCAGATTTATCACCTTTTTTTATGAACAGGGATAATCTTGCTCTTCTTCCAAACATCAGAAAAAAACCGACATCTGAGGGATTTATTAAATAGTAGGAATAACATGCTAGCTATGAGCTATGACATATCTATCACTATACGTATGAAATGTTTAAAAAAAATTTGGAGCCATTTTTGAGAAAATAGTGTTTGACCATTTCTGAATACAGAATTTTGTGCTAATTTTTACAGAAATGTTTTGTATTTTCAATTAACTTTATATGACATAATTTAGAACACATGTACTCATTGCAATGATGTGAATTACAAAACTTTCACGATACTACATATATTCAATACTTCATACATCCATATATATTTGCAATACTCCATACATCTATACATAGACGAGAATGTAAATACTAAAGAAAGAGATATTTTTTTTCCCATAATTTTTTCTGTATGATTCGTTCTTTCAATAAGGTCATACACATTTTGTGGAAAATTTTAGTTTTCATGCAATATTGCATGTAATATTTAAAACAATATTTTCTCAAAAATTGCTCCAAAGTTTTTCTTTAAACTTTTGGTTGGGATAATACTAAATACATTCTATATGATGACAAAAATGCTATTCCCATAAATGTAATAACTTTGATCTCTCTCTCTCTTCGTAATATTTACATTGGCGGCAGTTTGTTCACATTATTGCATATTTGAGTACATGTGCTTTAAATAATGTCTTATAAAGTTACTCAATCACCCAAAACATTTTTTCTTGAACTGTGTGAAACATTGACATAATAATTTTCTGGGCAGAAAATAAGTTGACCAGTAGTATAACTTCCTAATAGCTACCCAAACAGTTAATGAAAACTGGAGACTGTTATCATTACTTTAATACATGATAATTGTCCAGTGTACAATTGCAGTCTCTCCCTAGTTTTTAGTACAATGCATTTTGTACTTCCCTTCTTAATTGCCAAATTTCCAATAGCATATAAAGGCTAAGACATTTACAACCATGTAACCTTGCACAGTGTCTGTGAGACACATAAACAACTCCTAATGCAGGTTTCTTGTTAATAATCAGAATCAAGGGATGATATTTTGTTACAATTGCGCTTTGGCTATAGTCACTCATAATTCTGGTATTTGTTAAGTAACTACTGAAAAGGAAGGAAACTTCTTAAATTTTGTATTGAAGAATTACAATTATTGAATGCTTTTGTTTTATTGTAGATTTCGTGCTCGTAAGTGGGATCAACAGTGTACACGTATACAGAATATTGAAAGAGATATAGAGCATATGCGTGCAGAATTACTGAGCAAGGCACTTGGGGCTGGCCATGAAGTCCCTAGTACATCTCTTGGTAATGCTACAATTAAGTCAATAATTAATCAGAAAGGCAGAAAACGAACAGCTGATGTCTCTGTTGATGACTTGAAGCTGGAAACTGAAGCATTACCAGTGAAACGGACTTCAGATGAAACTAGCCCTCAGAAAGATTCAATTACTGACAAAACTGCAGTTGTTGAGTCTGCAGGGACAGAAGTTGGTGAGCATAACCAGAGTGTAGCTACAACAGTCTCAGCATATTCTTCAAGGCCTTTATATTGTTCTGTGTGAGTATGACTTTTAATTTGCAATTAAGTTTAAAGATCTTCGAAATCTGTGATATTTTTATTTCTGAAGGAAACGCGTTTATTGATACTTAATTGCTTCTTTTTTGTTGTGAAGGGCAAATTTCCACTCGAAGGAAGCAATGAGAAAGCCTCTGCAGCATCAAACAAAAGATGGACCTGTTATGACTTATCGGATCTTTAAACGGATAAATATGATTTTGGAATATGTTAAAATCCACAAAGTAGTAGATGACCATTCCAAGTTTCTGAAGGTATGTATACATGAATTTGATTTCTAAGGTAGTAAATGATGCACATTTAGATTACAAATATCAAATTTTAAACAGATTATGTATTCTGAAATAGGGTTTAGAAAAATTAAAATATTATAGAGCAAACTAAACAATGAAATATGGTATTCTTGTATATGTTATTCTTGTAAGGAAACAAGAGATTGTGTCAATATAAATGAATATTTTTATTGAAAAGTACTTTTTAGATGTAAGTATTATTAAGTTATTCAATAATGGTATATTCAAGTATGGTACAATTCAATGAGAATTCTTGTAGCAAATAATTATTATTAAAAATAATTTCTTGTTAATTTTTTTGCTATGTAAGAAGTACACACTTCAGAATTTTGTGCAATAATATTGGTTGTTTAATATCCCTCAGCATTTTTTAAAATACTATTTACAATAAGATTTGAATGTTAGTCAATATTTAAGCGATATAATAAAAATAATATAAAATATTAATGTTATTTTTATGTTAAAGTTGTCAATTCAAATTTTATTTACAAAAATTCATGAGAACACTTAATAATATAGAATAAGTATTGTAATTATTTGTTAGAATATAGAATAATTTTATTTTAAGAATATTGAACTATTTGCATTTATATTAAACTATTTGCACCCAGTTTGATTGATGTGCCATTTAGCTAACAAGTGAATCAAAGATGATGCAAACTTGTGTGTCTTGTCTTATTATTTGGAATAATCCAAAGCTAGTTAGTTTTTCATGGTAAATTAGTGTTGTAAATTACTACTGTACATTTGTAAGTTTTATTATTCACATTTGTGGCCAACCATTGGAAAGTGTTGAATTGTCTTTACATTTATAGAGTTTATTTCTTATGATCATGGAAAGCTGAAAAGAGCTGAAGAACATTTAAGAGGTTAGGAAGGGAAAATTATTTTGTTAATTTAAATTGGTGATTTTTTTAATTTTAATTAAATTGATAATTTAAATGCAGTTCACTGGGTTCTAATAAACCTGTGTCTGTATCTTATAAATCTGTCTTAGCTGTATTTGAATTCATCTGTGGCCTAGAGTGCAATTGGCAGGGTGCAAAAATTTGGAACGTTTGTGGACAATAGTTTCAAGAGGAGAAAATAATGTTTGAAAGCAATTCATGATTCTTTCTTTCATTACAAGATTTCAATTGTTGATATTAAACATTTCATAATACTGAATGTATAGTGCAGACTGAAAAATTTTGAAGCTATATAGTTTTTTTTGTCTCTTATTTCCCTTGTATCTTGGTTTTGTTATTCTTTAGTTTTTCTTGTTTTTCTAATCCTTTTATTTTCTTGCACTCTTCTGAACGTAGTTATATAATGATTTCATTTTATATGTTTATTAAAAAAATTGTGGTGTCTAATCTTCATTTCTTGTCTCTATGCTTTTATAGCTAATTAATGAAGAGGAGGAGAGGGAAGGTCTGACAGTAAAAATAGATAAGAAATCATTACTGCGATTACTTATTCGATTAAAAGAAGATGGTTGTTTGAAACTCCACTCTTATTTGTTGACTGATGGTGTCAAAGTTAAGACTATGATATTTATATGTGATAATAATGTTGCATTAGGTAAGTATGTTAAGATTATAGTGTTTTAAAGTACTGTCAATTATTATCTGTAAATTATAAGAGATAAAAATTGATTTATGTTTCCAGCTCTATTGAAATGTAAATAAATTAAAAAAATAATATTGAGCAGGAATAATCATTGTAGAAAAGGTACTTAATGACCAGTAAACAATCACGCGCAGCATTATCATTGTAGTGTTACACATTCGCATGTTACCGATATCTGTTGTGAATTTGTTTAAACACTACGTCACTGATACTTTCTACACCGAAAGATTATTCTCAGCACTTTCATGCTCTTGTTGCAACATACATGTGGAGGAGGTAAACCCACACAAACTATGTGCATCTGACTCTGACATTAAACGGGGCTCCTCTCATCATCAGCATGCAATGTAGCTGAATATGTGTAAGAAAAAATGCTGACATTTGAAGTAAAAAATTTGTTTTGAAAATTCATTCAATATTTTTAATGAAATCATTTTTAAGAAAATTGATCAGATAAACATTTGTTTGCAAAATTTGTAAATATATAATATAATAGAAAATAAGTAAAATATGTAACCGAAAATTTGAATATTAAGTTATGATTGACTTGAATTGCCAAAGGCATGATTTTGTGAACATAGAAAGACTAAAAATATGTAATTAATGAAGATATTGGTCTCTAATTATTATATTATTCCCTGTGATATCAATCCGAATTCACTATCAACATGATGATTTCATTGTAATTTGAAGGACCCTTTGCCACTATCTCATTGAATAATTAATCTGCTAGTGTGTATTGTGAGACCTTACCTACATGTGTGTGTCTTTCATATTGAATTTGTATTATTTGCTGTTTAATATTTTCAATGCTCTATTATTGTGGAATGGAAAATTGCTGGAAGTTTTGCATCTTGCGGGCTGCATTAAATTTATCTCTTGATGGGAAATAGACAAAACTATTGTAAAAACCCTCTTTTACACTTTTCATGGGACCCTAGGGTAAATTGTGTAAATAAGGGGAATTTTTTTTTTCAATACTATGAATATAGTATAATGTATTTAGATGCGGACAATCAATAAGGATTATAATATGCTTTAATATTCAGTATTAGACAATAATCAATATTACTAGGTCAAATAGAAATCTGACGAAAATTTGCATTGAAAATAGAAGGCATGTTGACTGAAGCACAATGAATTTTAAATGTCGCAACGACACTTCCAAGAGTCCCTATCATCCACTGATTGAAGCGTTTGATGCTGCAACAATGCACCCATTGTTGGATGAAGGAAGAAATGGTATTTCTACTGTAAGAAAAACAAATAAATTGAACATATTCGCAAACTCCTGAAATGCTTGTCCTTGACAGTTCGTAATGATTTCCTACTAATAACTTTTAAACTTATTTATAAAATAATAGAAAGAGTGTTCATGAATCTTATTTACAGTTAAAAATGTGCGTAGAATTCCATACTTTGATGTTTGAGCTTTTGAAGAATGGAAAAAAATTACATTTATTTTAGAATGAGAAACTGTGAAATTATGAAGGAGGATTATGTAAAATAAAAAATGATTATGAGGTTACATCTCTTAAAGCGGCTCCACACATGCGGCTTTCAGCGAATCCCGAGTAGTGTGGATGGGTTGCTTGTAATTAGCCAAGCGCCGAACATTCGGTATTCGCCCTACCCACCCTGTGTCAGTCTTTAGGACCCATCAAAGGGAGCGAACATTTGCCAAACACCTAAGCTGTTCGGGATTGGGCGAGCAGTAGCTCCCTGCTAAGCGAATGCCAAATATGCGGAGACGCCTTAACGTCTGTGTCACATGGGCATTGCATTTACGCGCGTCACCTAATGCTGAGTACTGTGGTCATGGCTCATAACATGTGTTGTAGATTAACACTATCTTATGCAAAAGGACTGTCAAGCATTCTTAGCTCTCAGCACGACCACAGCTGAAGCAAGACGCTTAAGCCACAACGTAAGTCAAGATAAAGTGTGTTTTCTAGCTTGCAGTATATGATGAGTGTTGGCAACAACGCACATCACCAAGAGAGTTTGTGTGTGGTTTTGCAAAAGATAGTGTTCATCTACCATGCGCTTTAAGTTACTTGTGTGCGCATACATTGACACAACTGACGTCATCAGCCATAGGTGACAGGCGTTAACTCAAAGCAACACTCGTGTGGCACAGACCCTATATCTCCTACCAATGTATATTGGCCATTTTTTTTTACCTTTTTAAGTACCTCCGTAATATTATGATATGAAAATGTGTATAGGCGTAGCTGCTTAATAATGATTTTCACTATATTTAAATAGTGTTCATGTAACATTTCATAACTCTTTATAATATTGCACCATTTCGAGAGTCTTACTGTTATGTCAATTTTTAATGCGGCAAGGTGGTCAGAAAGTGCAGTGGCAGTGCCTGTTTTGCACAACATGAAGTGCTTTCCAGATAGTGTTGTGGCAAGCACTGTTGTGAATTGCGAGAAAATTGAAATTATACTATCATAAATGCGGGGGATTATAACATTATGACTATATGAAAACTGATGGGACCAACAAGAATTGTTGTAAATTGCAGGAATGTAAAAGGAGGGTTTTACTGTATATATTTTCCCTAGATGTTTAAATTTTTTAACCTTGAATCTTGATAGAATTCTGTTTTCTTTGTTACTCTGCAGATCATCCTGCCATTATCTCTGCTATAGAACAGGCCAAGATGAAGCTTTTTATTGTGAATCGAGATAGTATAAATTTAGCTGTTGCTAGCTCCCCAATCAAAGGAATACAATCCCAAAGAGCACTAAACAAAAAACAGAAGGTGACTTTCCTATATGATAAAGTAAGTAATGAACATTCAGATATTTTTCTTAAAATATACATTTTTGAGAATTTATACACTTCTTCCATTAATTCATTATTATAAGCGAGACAAGTGCATATTGCTATTTTGTTTTATATCCTTTTTATTGATGTAGTAATATATATGAGAGATCATGATAATCTTTGTGTCTCTGTTGTCTTTCTTTCTTTGACTCTTGTTTTCTTTTCATTTGTTATGAAAAATTGTGTATGTTGGGTAAAAAAAAGAAAACATATTAGGGTTGTTGTGTTACAAGAGGTTCTGGGTGGTGAAAGTATATTGATGATAATCAACCATTGATAGGATATTCTACCCAGATATATTAATTGCTTTTGAGGCATGAATGCTAGCAAATTATTATGAGTAGGGTGCAGTTTTAATTGCATTAAAAATCATGAAATTACACATGCAAGTAGGCTAAAAGGAATCAAGAAATTATGCACTTAAACAGATTAAAGAGTATCTTTGGAAATTCACTATATCTTCTGGTTATGAGTGGAGAGAGATGTTCACTAGCTCCAAGGCACCCCGTCCACTTAGTGTTACCATTCTAATAAAAAGAAAGGAGAAGACAAGGTCATAGGGATTGAAATGTATGAAGTAAACAAAATTATTATAAGATTGATTTAAGCATATTTATTACAGAAGTAGCACACAATCCAACCATGTTCTGTGAACTCCAATTGCAGGATCCACTAATTGAAGCAAGAATTCACTGCCACATGAATTATGTAGTTTTGATGAAAGCAGTACAATAGTACTAAAATATTGCTCACTGCATTGTATACAGTACAAATAGTGTTGAATGCGCTGTTTCCCTGCACGACTCCCGAGTTAATTTTGTAGCATGAAAATATTCCAAAGAATAATTTGTTTTTTGAGCAGTGTGTCTTGTTGCTTAGAAAGGGCACTGCATTTCCACCGGAAAAAGGTTTTGATTCGCCACCCAGCCATCAATAGTTTGTTGTATCGAGACAGTTACTGACCCACACCCACACACACACACACACAAACACACACACACACACACACCACACACACCACACACCACACACACCACACACACAGACACACCACACACACACACAGACACACCACACACACAACACACACACACACACACACACACAACACACCCACACACAACACACCCACACACAACACACCCACACCACACACACACACACCACACACACACACACCACACACACACACAACACACCCACACACCACACCCACACCCACACACCACACACGCCACACACAACTTGTTAATGGCACATGAATGTGGCAAAACAATAGGTGAATTCCACTGTTGGTATTCTACATGTTATGCAAGTAGTGGGGGTATATTTTTGGAACAATACATAAAAATGTAGAATTTTAAGAGAATAAACTGATTTAAGGACCTTGCGGGTTCTTTTAATAAAGCTTAATAGTTGTGTACATTGAATCAAGATGTAAAGAGAATCTCATCTTGTCATCAAATATCATACCAAGGTCTGTAATGGACCCTCACCAACAATGTACCATCCATGTAATAGGTATTGCCCACTTTCTGCTTCGCTTTTGAAAATACAATTGTTTTACATTTAGAATGATTAAGAAAAATTTTGTTTCTTCTACACCAGTTCCGAAGTGAATTTAGACCTATTTTGCAAATAGTTGCATCCTGAAATGGTGATACACTCTTAAATATTTTTAAGTCTTCTGCGAATTGGAGGAATTCCATGTTTTTCAGAATGTGGGCAATGTCGTTAATAAAAATGATGAAAAGAAGCGATTCAAGACGAGAGACCAGGGGAACTCCCGACTGCACATCAAACTTTTTCTAAACAGTTTTGTAGAATTTTTTCCAATGAATTTAGTCCTTGCTTGGTCTTGCTTGACCTAAAGCTATGGTATGTTAACCCTTGACTGCTCTAGATGAGTTTGAGATGCAAAATATTTCTGTGCATGGTAGCCTCTGGATGAGTTATTACACTTATGGTGTTGCTGTCATGTAATAGGATCCCGGGGAGCCTCTGGATGAGTTTGCTCATGCAAATGTGCTTTCGGCGATCATTAGAACTTACTGATAACCAAGATGTCTTGTGCGTTATCTATATGCGAGTGAGCTCAGCTCACAACATGGGACTGCAGCGAGAAACATGACGCAAAATGTGTGACTTACAGTCAGCCGTTCCATTGCAGCACATTGAACACTTTGACCCAACAGCTCTTTATGAGCTTTGGCTTATTACCAGCAGTGTGGTTAGCACATAGCTATCCCTATGTTGTATTTCTGGTATTCTCAACTTGAGAAGTGAGCTTTCTCATCATCACACAACAGATACTGGAACATTGCAAGGATAGTGCACTATTAATTTTTGCCCTGACCAAGAATTGAACCTGGGGTTGCGCTGTGGAAAGCGAGCATGTTAACCAACGAACTACCGAGGGCATGACATATGCTGTATAAGAAGGCATAAACACCAGTTTACTGTAAATTTTTGTTTTTTCAAAAATTACAGAACTGTAATTTTTTTTAAAGATGTCTCTCTCTTATTGTTATCTTATCTTATCGTATTTACATTACTAGTCATTTGAATTCATCATTGCACTTGTAAATACAAGAGCTTCAAATGATGTTTGAAAATTTTTTTCGAACACTCAAAAGTTTTCAGTAAAAACGAGCTTCAAATTGCACATTTTCAGATATGCTGTAACACCATTTTCTTAAAGTGACTCCAAATTTTTTCTTCAAATTTTTTGAATGAATAGTGCTAAATACATACATCAATTGCATCATCATCATCATCATCATCATCATCAAACTTGCATACATTATACAAAACATTCATCAACCACATACATCCATTTGATGATGTATTCTTTTAAAAAAATTAAAATTATGCAAATGTAATTTTTTGAAAATATCTTTCACCCTATTAATTTTTAAATAACCAGCAATTTATATACTTTAATGCATATATAACTCGAAGTGCTACAAATGATTTCCAATGAAGTTTCTCCAAAACTCAAAAGAACTTCACATTTGGCATTTACAGTAACACTTAAAACATTTTCTCAAATATAGTTCCAAATTTTTCAACAGAAATTGCCATATAGGACGATATTTTACTCTTCTATGACATTCTTGAAGTAATATATTAGTTTTACCATTAGGGGACTGAAAAATGAAGCAAATGTGACAAAAATGTAGTTTAGGCGGCAATAGATGGCAGCTGGGAAAAGGGTAGGCCATTGGAGAGCTGCCCCAGAGAAAATAAATTAGAAAACTAGTGTAAGAAAGTGTGTGCCTTTCTGAGGCACTGCCAGTTTTAAAATCTGTCATATTTTTAATATTTACATTACGAGCATTTCTTATACACCATTTTATTGATTGTATTTTGCGTGTTCAAGTGCTTAAAATTATTTCTTATGAAATTTCTTGGCAACTCGAAATATTTAGGTGAAAAATGAACTTCAAAATGCACATATCCAGAAACACTTAAACACCATTCTTTTAAACACAGTTCCAAATTTTTCAAAGAAAATGTGCAAATTTTACTTTTTTTAAAATATTTTTAAAATCCGATTTCAATTCTATCCAGTATTGAATATCGAATAAATGTAAAGAAATGTTGTTCTGCCAATAGATGTGAGCTGAGAAGAGGGTGGGGTAAAACTGAAGAGATAAGGAAACAAAGTTTGTGCCATTCTGTAGGTCCACAAACACAGATCATCATATGATGTCTGATATCATGCTGAACAGCATCTTTCATCAGCAGTGAAGGTTGTCTTTTTTTTTTTACAAACATCTGTTTGGACTTTGCTGGGCAAGGATCCCTCCAAAATATTTACTACTAGAGTCGGATTACTACGTATCTACTCAGCAGGTTCCAGAACTGTTTCTCCAGGATTGTTAAGAGTTCTATTGTACACGTTGATTCAAAACTTCTTTACTCACACTTTTGAAATTAATTGAATTGAGGCCTTATTTTACGTGGTGAGACTCAACCCATGAGGCCTGATCTTCTGTTTGACCATGCAAATTTCGCTACAGTATAGAGTATTTTCCATAAAATCGCTGTACAAATTTTACACTAAAAGTTTAAGTTACCGAATACTCAAAACAATCTAAATAATTTGCCGTCTACACTCAATGAGGAAACAGAAACTCAATTCAACTTTGTATCTTTTCAGCAAATTTTTCGTCATGCTTGACAGAAAAATGAATGGTTTTTAAAAACTCATTTAAAAGTCAACTACATATGTTTACAAAATGCTTTTGCATTTTCATTAACTTGAAATGCATTTTTATTGCAACTCCCTTCAAAATATAAGAGAATGTGGTTATGATATTAAATTAACAGAATTTTTATGAATGCATCACTGCACAGCAATGCGTTTGCATTTTTCATGGTAGCGAAGAACTGTTTTTATTGGAAGTGATGAGAGCTCTTTTCAGTGGATAGATATCGCGATCGCCACTGTGCAGTCGCAATGGCGATTAATTTGGGTGTGCACATGCGAATGTGCGAATAGGCACGAGCCGCCATTGCCTTACCCAGAATTATGAAGAGTGTTCCAGTATGACAGTTTGCTTGGAGTTCTTTTTACATGTGCAGCCGTTTTTGCTGAATAAAATGCAAGTCATATCTGGATTCAGAAAAGGGAGAACTGTCTGAAGACTTTTATACCTTCAATGCGTGACCTGTAATAAATTGCAGCCATGACCCTCTGTCTCTCTCCTCTCCGTTTTTCTTACTCTCTGTGCAGTTGCATTTGTTGTGCATATTTGTCTGTATGTGTTAGCATTGAAAGTGTTCAAACTCATGCATAATATATGGAGGGGTGTCCCATGTCTCTATTCCTTGTCACTTCTTTTTTATTTTTTTTATTTCATTTTTATTTTATCACCGTAATTTTTTAAATTTGTATTACCCATTACTATTCTAATTCTGTATATTATTGTAATTTTTACTTTTTCTCAGAAAATTGGAAGAAAATATGGATTTTGCCCAAAATTTGTACGTATGCGTACTTTACATCAGTTTTTATTCTATCTTGTCTATGGCTATGAAGGTAATAGTGATTTGGACCAAAATTTAGTTATTCCTTTCCTTGAATCAAAAGACGTTATGGTGGATGATAGCTTGCGTTCTGAGTTAACGCAAGTGTACTTTCTTGACATTCATTGGAAAATGTTCATCCCTCCTCTTCCAGCTTATTCTGGTGAGTGTATAATTATTGAAAGTTTAAGAATGTTCATATATTAAACAAAAATACCAATTGCAAATTGTTATTTATTATTACAGTTATTGAAGAAAAATTGTTTATCCCAAATTCCAAATGTATTTTCAGTTACAAATATTGAGGTATTTTCTACAGTCAAAAAATTTTCATATAGTATTTTAGGAATATCAATGGTAGCATTAAATATGAGAGAAAATAATATTTGCATAATTATTAAAATTACATTTGGCTATGTATTATTAATTTACACTACATGGAAACAAAATTGGATTGTATTCCTGATTTTAGCATTCCAACTATTTTAATTATTATATTGTATTTGTGGAAATTAGTCATGTGTAGAAGGTGCAGGAATCCATTTGCATGTATTTTAAGCCCAATTTTCAAAAATCAGGAATTACACTGAAAATAAAATTTTTCTTTCCTTTAATTTTTGATTCTTTTGTGGTTTGATACCATTTCAATAATATTGTTTGAAATATTAGTGACTGCTAGAGCTGGGATTTTAATTACATGCAAGTATTTAGTTACTCACTAGTTAGATGTTGCGAAAGGTTTATTGAATTAGTATATCAGGTTCGTTTTAATCACATTTTATTTTACATGTATCTACATATTCATATACATTATACATATTCATGGCTTCTCAGCATACAATTATATATTTTAGTACTTTCTTTTTGGAGGATATATAAAAATAATATTTTAGCAGTCAAATTTAAAACTTTTTGCTGGTATTTTAACTTTATTTTCAAGGTTTTCTCAAAAATTGCTCCAAATTTTGTACTGAAATGGAAATGGAACAACAGGGTCTTATAAACATGGTGTAAGGCCTGGTTTTCTTGCAATTTGTTTTGTTTTTTTTGGTCACCTTTTGTCTACTTTCAATATTGAAACAAGAGATTTTTCTTATTGCCATCTGTTCTTCAAAATTAGATCTTTAAATAAATTCAGCGATGTTTTATACAATTTTTTTTCTTTTAACTGTTTTGTAAGGATTGACCACAATACTGAAAATTCTGTGGCAAAGTGGTGTGTGCATTAAAAGTTTTAAAATTTTGACATTTTAAGAAAATAATTTTTTTAAGTATCTCCAATTCTTTGTATGGAGAAGGTCTTAAAAGAGAGGATTGAAGCATTAATAGAATATATATTGCATTATTATAAAATTTCAATGTAACTGTTAAATAATATTCATAGAATGTATGTGGTATGTGTTGTAGCTCCTCATGTTTAGTATTTGACATTTTACTTCACATTATTCCAATTTTCATTACCTGAAAAGTACCTCAGCTCTTGTAACGACTTATGAATGATTGAGATCCTGTCAATAACGAACTTTCCTCATTTGTAAATGTAATTTATTTTTTAATAAAATTCAAAATTTCACTATTCATATTTCATTCATATTTCATTCATTTATATAAAATTCAAAGAAAAAGACCAAAATATGGCTGAAGACTATCACTAATGCTGCCTTATTTCAAACAGTGTTTATTTTAAAACTGAGTGCCATTAACAAAAAAAGCTTCTTTATTTTTTTTCTTGATAGGTGGGCCCAAGGGATGGAGCATCATGTGCGATATCCTCCTACGACTTCCATTATCTTTATTTGTGCGAATATTCAATGTTTGCTATGTGGTGACTGACCTGAATGAATACTTGCAACATCCAGTTCGTCGTCATTTCCTGGTTCGCCAATTACCTGTTGCTATGCAGAATGGTCTTATGGCATTTCGAAAATATATATTTAGTATCCATGAAGTTTTGCAGCGATTGTGTTACATTGGCTTACTACAGTTTGGACCTCAGCGGCTTAAGGAGAAAGATCAGGTGTGAGGAAAAATCTTTCTATATCTGTAGATTTGTATTGAAAATACATTAATTTAGAAGAGAATGAAGAATTTAGAATGTTCTATTAATTATCTAGAGAATACTATTGAAAAAAATCCTCTTAAATAACAGAATTGTGTCCAAAAATAATCCTCATAAGAACATGATATTGGATACCTTGCTAATGCACCTTGTTTCTTTATGCAGTATAGCCCCTCAAAATGGAAAATGAAATGTTAAGTGTCATGTGTTGATTAAGAAGGGGCATGCATTCATATTTTTTCACTTGACTAAAAATGTGTGTTGCTTAAATGTAATGATGATCTCACCTCCTCCCTACAACCAATTTTATACCAAGATCAACACCACATGTTATAGTAAGAGAGGTCTAATAGCAAAGGAAAAGTGATTAGAACAATTAGTTGTAATTCTTCTCATTGTGGGGAGAACTAATAAATAGACTACAAGTAAGAAACCATTTAATAGTACTAAAGCACAACAGGTAGCTTTTGTAAGTAATCATAAATATACTGAAGATAAGAACCATGTATCTTTCTGTTGCATTAGAATGTACCGATTGTATGTTAAATCTTCAAATATGTGTGTGCGGTATTGCATCCAGAGGAAATCAGTGTTTGCCATAGACTCTGATAGTCTCTGTACGGCTACCCTCCCGCCTCATCCAGACAACTGAGAGAGGTTAAGGAGATGGGACGCACAAATTATATTGCAAAAGCGTGTAGTAATTTTCAAACTTATAAGAAAAGTCAAACATTATGAAATTGAGGAACGGCTGTGCTATGGGTGTAGTGTTTTTCCGGTGAAATATTGAGTGTTACAATTTGTTTTGTTTAATCAGAGTTACATGATAGGTTTGTTTAGAAGGTAAATGACATCTTAGTTTTTCCATCCATAAATTTACAATACTATACTATTATACACCATTTTGTTATGCTCTGTTTCACGGAACACAAGGACTGCAATGAAACACAAGACGTATAATTAGAAAAAAGATTTGCACGCTGTTCTAAATAGAATAGAGAACTCCTAGAAAACTGTTATTAAAAAATATTTTGTTACAACTGAAAAGTATGGGTGGCTCTTGAAAAACATTTCCCTTGGACCAGACCAGATATTTTCTTATACATAACCTGATATTGAAACATTGTGAGACAAAGGTAGAGAATTCATCCTTAGCCTTTTCAACCGATTTTTGCTGCCATTCTAAAAATATGGTTTGAAGCAGTCATCCCAATATGTTAGGAAGGAATGGACCTAACACTACTGTCATATTACCAGTCAATATTGTTAAGTAGCTGTGTCAGTAAGCTCTTTGAATGTATGATAAACTGCCTGGTCTTGTCCACAGGGTCTTAAGAGCTTGCACAGTTCAATCCAATGGGGATCCAGAAATCAATGATCAACCTCTTAGTCATAATTAGGGTTTGCCTTTGGCATTAATTCTATCAGTTGTACATGTCCCAGTCAAAGCATCGGCATTTGTGCTTTTTTCGGTTTGTCTATAAATGTATTTCTTTCCCTTTCTCTCTGCTCCTTTCCCTTTCTTTCCCTTTCTCTCCCCTTTCCCTTTCTTTCCGCTTCTTTCCCTTTCTTTCACTTGCTTTTCTTTCTTTCCTTTTCTTCTTTTCTTAGTTTCTTTTCTTAATTTTACATTCTGTATCCTCTGTAGAATCAGTTTTTTAAGGTTTTTTAATAATTATCTTACACTTTTTGTTAAATTTAATTTGTTTTAAATTTATTTTGTATGTCTTTTAGGACTGCATTTTAATTTAAATATGTACTTTTAAAAGATATGATAGTTGCATAAGCAGTGTCTTCTATCATCATTATAACAATTATTATTGTTATTATTATTATTATTATTATTATTATTATCATCATTATCATTATTAAGTACGTAATATCTTTACATTGATTTGACATGGATTTCAATTACCATAGCTTTTAAAGTTTTCTTTACCCATAATTTAGTAATAATAACTGAAAACAATTATTTTGTTAGAAATTATCCTGCAATTAAAATAAAATATTTATTCCAAGGTGCTAATATACGTGAATCAAAGAACCAGCTTACTTGATACTGTTAATTCAAAGCCTGGCTATCACCAGATATCAGAAGAAGAATATCCTGAAATAAAATACGAATTTAAATCAATGCAGGATGTGGAAACATACTGGTACAATCTTTGGAATATCTGCATTAACACCCAATTGGGTAAGTACATTGTTTTGGGTATTTATAATTTGAAAGTTACTTAATAATTGTCTTCTTAATTATTTTCATATTGTGTGCTTAGAAAACGTTTGACATCAAATATCATCTGGAGTGTAACTTCTAAAAGTCATAAAAATATCTTTTGTTATTGGAATGCTTTTTTCTAATGACACTGCTATTAAAAAATATCTTTGAAAACTTAACTTGTTGCATCATTAATTCATTCATAAAAGTGGATTTTACTGAAAAATTTGAATTGTGTCATTTGCTCTTATTTTCACTAACTTATGTGTCATGCTTGATATACACCAAAGACACGCAACATTATGAAGCTTGGGGCCAATTATTTATAAAACTTTTCTAGGAGAGCCCCACAAATGATTTCCCACATTGGTAGAATTAAAAAGGAAATGTTTAACAAATGTAATGCATATTGTTTGCTTTTTAAACGTTTTGGGGTGAATTCTGGATTAGCATGATGAGAGTTTTGTGCCACCATTTTCTCTAGGTAAAGAAACTTAAGACCATTTCTCCTGAAATGTCTGGAGCTCATCAGAAACCTTCTGCAGATGCGGTGTTGAATGTGTGGTTGCAGTGTTGAACCCACGGCAGTGACACAAGCCTTCAATAGCTACTTACACAAACATTGTTAAATGCATGTCATTAGGCCATTCTCCTTCAGAGCATTCTTCTGGTTTGGCCTTACATATGGTTGAATATGTGCTGTTTATTTTCGAAGGTCCAACATCCATTCCAGGTGCTAGCAGGCCTTCATTACTTGACACCTTTCTGAGCATTCCCTTTAGTCAATATTTCCATCACAACACACTATCAGACTTTCTTGTGCATTCTGTAATATGGATATCAAAAGATCAACTGTAATTACCAGTCTTTATAAATATTATTTTGCATTCGACTCCTGCAAGCAGCAGAAAATATACTGAATGTGACCAGCAGCCTGAAATTTGGTCACAGCTGATTCACACTGATAAAACTGCAACACTGGAGAGGTTGATGTCAATATTGATCTGTTTGCAACATTTGTAATGCATATGTGTACACTCACATTCACACACATGTGAGTGTGTGGTGTGTTTGGTAGTAGAAGTACAGAGGGCATTTTCAATATCATTTGTCAATAGGTAACTCAGTAACAGAGGTGCTATTGAAAGCCTTAACTACCTCCTTTCAAAAGGGAATATTTAAGGAACAGTGGCATAGTAGATAGAAGTGCAAATAGATGTAATGTCTAGAGGTTATACTTCCTACATCGAACTGAATGTTTTTAAGGTGGGTCAGATTGTCTTTTGAGAGCAGCAGGATGGTCATTCATCGATCTCAACATTCTGCCTCACAAGTGATGGTGTTGTGGGAAGTTCTTGTTATGTTATGTATTAGTGAGTGCTTATCAAAACAGCAAACAAATCTCATAACTACTCTTACACTCCAGCAGTTTCCTCTCAATTTCATTGTAGATTTTGATGCAAGGCATGATAGAGGATGGTCTTATAATTACCATTGATTAAGGAGGCAGTGTTGTCTTCTATACATTAGTTTTGCTCCCAGTGTCGGCCAAGACTTTTGTCAAAATCCTCATTCTGGGAATATAAGGAGTTCAACTCACATTTTGGAAACTAACTGTTCACCCATGGAAGCGAATTACATTTTACAGCTAATTTCGTTAAATTTATTACTTCCTTACTATTTCAAGTTTTTTGAATTATGATGTTTTTCTGATGAAGTGCTTGCAGACACATTCACTTGTATTCAAAAAAACTAACTGCAAAAAAGGGGGGAGAATGTGTGTTCAAGGTAAAGACATTGTTTTGGAGCATTTGCCTTTCAAGCCTGCAATGCTAGAAGCTTTGCAGCCTGTGAGACCTAGTCGAGCTCCTGGGAGGGATACTGGTGAAGTACCTGGAGATCGGAGAGGTGCTGCTGGTCTCGACTCTGCCATTTTTGCGTGAGTACTAGAGTAGTTTTGTTTTAAACCACAAATATTTTGAGTGCATCCATTTTCATTTTTTGGGGCAACTTATTTTGATGATGGATGACCAGTAGATCAAGGAGTGGGAAGAATGCAATAATCCACATAGAAAGTTTTTTTTTTTTTTTTCATGTGAATAAGGGGTCAACATCCTAATAAAATTGTTTAATTTCAATTTTGGTATATTAAACATTTTTACTTTTTTGGGGGATCCCTGAATTTACTTTGCTGTGTTCATTATAGACCAGTTTTGAACAGAAACTACTACATCACTATCTTTGCTGTATTTTCTTTTTTCTTTTTCTCTTTCCAAAGATCCAAATGGCATCTTTTTTTTTTTTTTTTTTTTTTTTTTTTTTTTTTTTTTTTTTTTTTTTTTTTTTTTTTTTTTTTGTATTCTCTACATCTTTTTTTTTTTGTATTCTGTTCAATCTATCCCCCCCCTGGGTCCAATAGTTTTGCTCCTGGAGTGATGTCCATAAATTATTGGCAACGCCAAAGAGGGGGAGGGGATTTGAAGCAGTGTTACGGTGCATTACATAAGGGTAGACTGATTACAGGGACATAGTTTACTGTTACATATATGCTGGTATTTATTTTTCAAATATTTCAACATTTGCTAAAATAATTCCTTTTATTCATTCTTATACTAAAACATTACCATTTTAACAAATTAAATTTCAAATATAATGAATTAAAGAGGTTATATTCTATAAATTGCTTCAATAAATGAACATTTTTTCATCAATGATGTATTGATTGAGTCTTTTAGATTACAAAGAAAGTATTCAAAACTGATCTATAGTATATTCTAGAATCCAATTTGTTGGTGCAGTAGACTCAGAGCCTTTGCCCACTATGACATGTGCATGACTTATCAGAAATTTTCTCGCATACACGTCTTTCTTTTATTAAAAAATGTCTCTAATCTTGTTATGCCTAGTCCGCACCACCAACTAATCCTCACGTTACTTACAATAAATATTCATGAATAACATAAATACATTTAATACGACTCATTTCTGCTTTATAATTAAGCTTACTTATTTGACTTGAAGTGGAAGGAGCTTGTCACAAGCATTACATAATTATTAGAGAGGTGGTCAAGCATCACACATGCGTTACAAGGGGGGGGGGGTATTCAAAATACTCCAAATTTGCATTACATAATTTATGGGCATCCCCTTATAGCTTCTGTTCTTTCCTGTTTAACTATTTATTTGGATTTTAAATAGATTAAATATTACCAGATCTGTTCTTCATTCACAGTCATCTCAAAAGAAATTGGAATTGGGCCAACATATCTACTAAAATTGAAGTACGTATTATCTCCAAGAATTAATGACAATTTTCTGTACAGACAAGGATTTTTATATTGTGTATACGAAACAAAATGAAGTAACCTTTAATTAAAATTTTTTTTATTGATAGGAGCTCCCAAAGAAAGTGGACAGAAGAAAATACCGAATCATGAATTTGAAAGCAGCTCCAGTTGTTTTCAACAAATCTGCTGTATGTGTGGATGTGCATATAAGTAAACTTTTGATATAAATTTGTGTTTGTGAGGAAATATTTTCTCTTTCTGTGATTCAGTTTTTATTTACATAGGTAACTTAATTCATGGAGGTGTTTTGCATTAGATGACCATTATTAATTGTAAACATTACAACTGTTTACTTCATGTATTATTTTAAAACTCAAACACTGAGAATGAATTTTTTGATTTATTTCAATACATCAACCAGCAGTTGTGCTAATATTACATATTTATTACAACTGAATTGACATACTGATTAAGGCCTATACAAATTGTTGGGTGAATGAGAGAATTTGACTTGCATATTATTGCCTAAACAAAACTTACATATGTTTTTAAAATTCAGTTCTTATTTTGATAGTTGTGTGACTTTTCTTTTTAAGATTATTGTGAAACGCAGCATAAATTACTTGCAAAAGGGCCGCTTTACTGCTTTGCGGTCTGAACGCCGAACTATTCCTCCAGCTGGGGCTGAAGTTCTTCTTAAAAAGAAGCCAAAAACCAAACCAAATGTTGTGCGTCGAATTGAAGCTCGCAAATCACGTGTTCCACACAAACCTTTCTATGATGAGGTTGACTTAAAGGCTCTGCATTTGATGAGCAAGTTGTAAGTAAACATACAGTTTTCTCGAGGGTTATCTTTATTACGATATATCTATGTTCCTTGAATGTGTCAAAATATTTTCTCATTAACTAATTAAGTAAAATGACTTGTGTTTTATATTCAATGTAGACGAGTGGAGTGGTCTACAGAAGAAGATACACTATTACTGCTATGTAAAGTAGCCAGTATGTATTTGTGTCCTAATCCACGACAGCAGACTATAGCTTTGAGTTCTGTTCGAGACATTCTTCATTCTTGCATTCCTGTAAGTTACAGAAAATACATGTTCCTTTTTCAGAGTGATATTTAAGGAAGTGCTTTAAGTAATTTATGTATTTATATATTTAAACTACCTATATTGATTGTCCACTTTAGAAGAGTATTACAAGAATCACTAGGTGCATTTATCTAAATTACACATTATTACAAGGTGAGAGATGCATTCTTCACATTATAAAATATCAATTCAATGAATGTATCAATTATCACTAGGTATCACAATTATAATTATTGATATGTAAGTCATAGGATACTGATCATTATGAAAATTGAGAGATTGATTGGAGAAAATTATTGTTTTTTTCCCTGTTACAATTCATAACAATGTTGTATAGCCACCTACTTGTGCTAAATGTGAAGTAATCCTCTGTTAAGTTGGTCAATCATTGCCTTTTATCTCTTCAGACGGGCTCAGCGCTGTTAGATCCTGGGGTTCCCAGATGGTCACCCATTCAGGAACCAACAATGTTTCAAATTGCTTAACCTCTGAGACTTCTCGGAGCGTTAAGTAATGGGGCTAGCAACACTGGATTGATTGATGCATGTGTAGTGAAATATTGTACTAAAAGATAAATTCTTCTGAATTGAAAATATTTTTTCTTTGCTAGTCAGTTATGCACTTCTTTATATGTTCTCTTAATTAAACCTATTGGTTGTAATGATTTATTGATAATCATATCAATATGTTTATTAAATATCATTTTAAGCTGTAAATTACACCAAAACTTCTTATTGAATAAACATATTCGAGATTAATATCATTAATTGAGTGTATATACTATCAAAGATTTTGCTGTTCATACAACTTGGAAATGTTATATATTTACAGTTATTAAGGTTAAGTTGTATATCATCTGAAAGACACCAACAATGAAGAGCCAACAGATCAAGTAATGTGATTTTAAAAAATGGTTTACAGGAAGCTCAGAACAAGACCTCCCGAGCTTGCCAACGCCGTGTTTTGTACATGTTGAAGAATTTAGCTACTTCAAATAATCTTGCTATGCATCTAGAAGAGCTGAAACAAGATGAAGATATTTGTGAGAGATTTGGTGTAAGTAATTTATTATAAATGTTTGGTAGACAATAAACATCAAAAGAGAATTGTTGTGGGCAATCCATTTTGAATTTGTGATGAACAAAATGAGCTCTTAGTAGGTTCCTCAAAGTCCTCCTCTTCTTCCCTCTGACTCTCATTCCCCTTTTTTCTCACTATCATATAAGATCATCACTGATTGGCCTCTGCACTAGAAGGCATTCAAACTCCAATAAATAAATCAATGATAATTAACTACTTAAAATGTATAACTTAAAAGTAATTGTAAATTTATTCAAATAATGATGATTTTTAAATTCCTGGAAATAATATTCACTATACTTCGATTTATTTAGAGCTGCACTTGGTGTAAATTATCTGTTATCAGTTTACAGTGTCATCCAGTGGGGAGATCACACCTCAGTATAGTGATGTCACTATGGTGATGTTCAATCTCCTGATTAGATGACACCCTAACAGCTGTTTTATGTCAAGTGCAGTAAAGTTTAAATCCAAGTAAAGGTTCTTGGTGTTGATTCTGGCAAAGGAAATAGAGATAGTTGTTTCATGAAAACCGGAGAGAGAATGAGTGAAGTTATTGGAGTGAGTAGAAGGCCTTTTCGAAGGATAAGCATTGCTTCTGAGCACAGGATAATGAAAAGAAACTGTAGGCTGTAGAATTAATTATAGAGATAATAATCATCAGTTAACACAATTTTTTGTTAGTGAATAATTTTGAATTCCTAAAAGTGTTTCTTTCAATCAGAGACCTGAGGACAATGCTCGTGGTAATCATGAAAGTGCTGAAGAGTATGAGAGACGTATCCATGAAAAATTTCGCCTCTTAGTGAGTGAACTTCAAGGGAGATCTCATAGGATGGTCACAGCTTCTGAAACATATTCTAGCACCATTCCAGATACAGCAGAAGATTTTTGGTAAGCTTGTTTCTGTTTTGTTATTGTTAATGTGCAGTGTGTGTGGCTGCTCTCTCTCCCCCTCTCCTCTCACACGCTCTTTCTCTCTTCTTTTGTTCGCTCCCTCTCCTCTCCTCTCTTGCTGTTTCTCTTGTTCGCTCTCTCTCCTCTCCTCACTCTCCCCTCTGTCATCTCTCCCCTCCCCTCCTCTCCTCTCTCTCCCTCTCCTCACCTCTCCTCTCCTCTCATCTCTCTCTCATCTCTCTCTCCTCTCCCCTCCCCTCTCCTCTCCTCTCTCTCTCCCGTCTCCTCTCATCTCTCTCCCCTCTCCTCTCCCATCTCCTCTCATCTCTCTCTCCCCTCTCCTCTCATCTCTCTCTCCCCTCTCCTCTCTCTCTCCTATCTCTCTCTCTCCCATCTCCCCTGTCTCTCTCCCATCTCTCCTCTCTCCCATCTCCTCTCCTCTTTCTCTCCCATCTCCTCTCCTCTCTCTCTCCCATCTCCTCTCCTCTCTCTCTCCCATCTCCTCTCCTCTCTCTCTCTCCCATCTCCTCCCCTCTCTCTCCCCTCCCCCCTCTCTCCCCTCTCATCTCTCTCACCCGTCTCTCTCTCCCCTCTCCTCTCTCACTCACACCTAGGCAAAGTATTTGTGGGGTGGGTTGGCGACATTGAATGGTATTGGCCTCGCTGACTGTAGAGATCTCAGGAAGATTGGGTGGTTCTTGATCTGGGTATGGTGCAAATTCTAGGTTATCGATAACTAGAGGAGGTTCAGGCATTTATTTTCCCTAAAATAGGCAGGCAAAAAGGCTTTTATTTTTACTAAAATGCGTATGCATTTATTCTGTTTAAAGTATGGGGGTAAAAACATGGATACATTGAAAATTCACCATTTAAAAGTAATTATTGAAAAAAAATTAATAACTGAATGACTCACATTTTTATTCTAACTGTAAAATTTACATTAGCCCTTACATGGAAGGAAACTACTTTTTCTTTGTAATCTTAATTGTGCTTGACAACCTGGTATGACGATTACAAATTTATTTTACTTGCGACACAATTTCTACAAGATCCTATTATGGAATCTCTTTTGTATCTTGAAATGGTATCATTGAATGGAATTATAGATTTCTTCTTTGCTCTTTTACAATCACCAGAAGGGAAGAGAGAACAAGAACTGAGATATCATGTACAGAAAGTTTTGTCTTCCAAAGGGACCCAAGGCCATACACAAACATAGAAGATTTCTCATGAGAATACAAGTGTGTCAGTGCCAATGACAAATATGAATAATATTCACTTGCATCATCGTTCTTTCCCTTTTAGGTTTTTAACACAAACTGACTTTGGAGCCTTCATGCGCACAGAAAGACAGTATATGTCCATGCCTTCGTATTATCCAGGTTTACAGGTGTTTCCATGTGGATAGAGGGGGGAAAAAGGGATAAATAATGACAAAAAAGGCACAAATAAGGAAAAATGCCAAAAATAGTTATCAAGAGTGAAAAAAGGGCAAAAAAATTCAAAATGAAAATCTACTAATACAACTCCAGATGTCAATTGGGTGCGTCCTATTGTTAAAAGTCATAAAATTGAATCGGTAATAAAAATAGGGCATTTTGCCAAACTTCTATTAATAACACCCACATGTTGATGACAATCACATTGCCAAAGATACAATGCATTATTATTAACACACAAAAAAAGAGAGAGAGAGAATTTTGAGAAATACATGCATTTGCATAGCCCTTTGTAATTCTAGTTCTACACATTATTAACTAATTATGGCTGACTGCCATTGCAATTTTCAAGTCCATTATTTATCAGCAGTGGCTTAGACAACTGAGTCGACACAGTACCTTGCCATTGTCATGACCTTTCGGCAATTACAAGAGATGCAGCTTATGGAGCAGACTTGTTTCCCACGTTGATGGATGGCGCATTGCAGGCAGCCTCTCAGGATGATTTTCCACAGCAATTAATGATTCAACCAGAAATGCCGACCTTGAATACCAGGTCAGCTAGCAGAGGTCAGGCATGAATAGTAAATAAATTGATGATGGCAAAAATTGATCAGCATTTTAAAACTTAATATTATCTGGTAAAACATGTGTGGCTTATAAAACATTTGTCATCACATTACACCGGAGTGTATGTGTGATAAGTGTCTCTAAATGTGAGATGTGCTTGCTCATGATTGCAATATTTACCTCAGTGGATTTCAGTAAATCTGCTTGAATCTATGTCTCCCACAATCTATCTGTTCACCAACCTGAACTTTCTACCTGAAGTCTGCATCTCTTTCCTCCCCCCTCTATTGCATGGCTTCCCAATTATCCTGTGATCACAAGCCGTGATTGCATTTGCTATTTTAACTTTGTTGGAGGTCATTCTGCAACACTTGTGGGATTATTGGACACTTGCGTACCTCAATACCAGAACGTGTCATTGAATTTTTGACCGTGTTTTTATTTTTTTTTTATTTTTTATTTTTTTTCTATGGAGTACAGCAAGGGATTAGGTGGAGCAACGCAAAGACAAATTGCTTTTAGACATAGAAGTCAGGTAATATGGGCTACTGTCAACTACTGTTAGGGTGCTTTTTCTTTTGTCGACCTCTATTTACCAAGGTCCTGTGCTTTTTGTTTTTGTTTGGTCTTGTGCTTTTTGAGAAACATGTGGGGATGGCTGGTGGGTGCATGCAAGTGCTTTTACAACATGGGTCCTGAAGAAAAAGAAAATGCTTTGTTTAGCATCAGGATGATGTCAGGTGGGGTTAGGTGATCACATGCATAACTTATTTGGGGTGTGGGTTTATCGGCAATGTGCAATGCCTTCATGATTTGTAGTGTATTGGAATACATGTGTAAGTATATCTGTCTATGAATTACAAATAATTATTGCAAAGTAAACACATCACACAAACCACATGACAACAATGCTTACAATAAAAATACATAAAGCTAATTACATAAAGAATTTAAAACGCGCAGCAAAACAGATAGCTACCTCATGAGTGAATATCTGAGATTTACATATAAAAGTAGTGAATGCGCTTCTACTATGGCTTAAATCATAGAATTAAATAGTATTAAATTTTTTAAATTACATTTTCATTTCTCTACTTTATTGTTCATACAATATTCCATTGTCTGCCAACTCGGTACTCTGGGGTGACACAGACCCTTACTCTCCTGCTCTATGCCATTGCCATGCTGCATTGCAATAGAAACGCACTGTTCTAATAACAGAGCAAATGAGGAAAATTAGGTTTCGTTTATGTTTCTGAGTCATTCTTCTCCTTATTGCTCATACACACTTGCGTGGCATGAATAATGCGTCTGCAGATGGAATTTCTTAACATATTGTAGTTTTCTCAGACCCATCAAAGTCTGTCATTGCTCCAGTATCTGTAAACAAACTTTTCTTGTCAAATAGAAAGGAACCAATGAGCAGAAATAGTATTTACTAGGCTGTCCGGGTGACGCCGCGTCCATGGCAAAGTTGCCGTTGTTCGGTCGCCATTCTATGACCTTCCTCAGGGCGTAATGCTATATAGCAATGCTATAATGCTATATATAGTAATAATAGAATTACGCCCTAAGGAAGGTCGCAATATGGTCGCTATATAGCAATACTATAATGCTATATATAGTAATAATAGCATTACGCCCTGAGGAAGGTCGCAGTATGGCGACTGAAACATCAGCAACTTCGCCATGGACGCGGCGTCACCTGGACAGCCTAGTAAATACTGACTCCGACCACGGAAGCCTACGCTCTCACTTGAGCAGAAATAGTCTTTCACTCGTTTTGCCTGAAGCAACAGCGATGGCTGCTTCACAGACTTTCTTTACCTGGAGGCAAATGTGGGTAACCCATTTGCTGGCACTGCTTCTCCATGCCCATTCCCACAGAGAAATCTGCTCTGACATCATTCGAACTCCAGTTGGCAATCACCAGAATGTACAATGTACCCTGATATTCAGATACTCTCAGTAGTGCTGTATATGCATATTAAAAAAGTAAATGTAGTGAAGTAAATAAATACATTTGTCCAAGTTTTACATAGAAATATCAAAATGTTATGCTAACGTGCTCCTTGATATTTCAGGACTTTATTTGATGTGGTGGAGCCAAGAACAGTCATTAAAAGGAAAGGAGCTTTTCAAGATGTTAAAAATGTTGTAGATATCCATTGTTCTGTTGTCAACACTATTATACACGTAAGTGTAAATATTAAGTCTTTCACAAATTTTCTCTACCATTCCTTCATTTGCTTTTTATTGAAGATATTTCTCTCCCCCCCCCCCACACTACTCCAATGTTTATTGCCTGCTGGTCACTGAGCTTGTTAATTGCAAGAAACTGGCCAACTGCAATGAATAGGCAGTGTGTTTCTGTCGATAGATGCAATTGATTGTCAACTTACTTTAATACTTGATGCACATTGCCTTTCATAGCACGCAATGCATAACATGGACCTCCAAGGCCTGTCTGTGTAATGCTGTTATTATTGTCTAAATGTTTCTAATTATTGTCATTTGATTGAACCCTGTGCAGCCCTTCAATTACAAATGCTTTTGCTGGGGACCATATTAGACCTAAATAGCAGCAACCATTTTTCCACCATCCCCTGCATTGATGAATATTGTCATGGTTTGGCAAGGCACCTTCAACAGATTGTGGAATGTATTGGCTACTCAGCATTTCAAACAAATGTCAATTTTTCATATGATCAATTTGACTATGTGGATGCAATGGATGCACATCTCAACAGCTCTATACCCCTAGCTGCTTCAACTGTAATTTCAAAATGTATGGGTAAACTCCTTTGTCTCATGGGGTTTGATGGTGGTTAGCACCTGTAAAAGTGGCACAATTCACACACTATCAAACATTGAACAATTTAATTGAATTAAAAAAATATAGATTAAAAGCAAGAAAACCAATTTTAGAGAGTAAAACCTCCTTTGGGTGAGCGTATGTCTCCTCCCTCAATTCTCATGCACCACATCTGATGTGCAGGAGATACATCAAATCATTGTATTACAAATACAAATCTCTCTCACCTTCTCCCCTCCCCCCGAACAGCACCAGGTCTTCTTAAAAATGGACATATGATTAAGTCTCAAGGCTAGGAGGAACTCATTGCTCACTATGAAGACATGTTGAGTTCATCTAACTACCATTCGTGCCTTTCTTTTGGTTTAAGAAAGAATGAAGAATTGCACATTGAATTTTTTGAGCAGAGAGAAAGAGGAGGATTACACCCCATTCTCATATCTGAAATGCATTTTGCTCTTGAACTTACAAAAAGTTCTGCCCCAGATCAAGGCAAAATATACACCTTCTTTCCACATCATCTTCCTGAAACGACAAAGCAATTTCCCCCAGCTCTTCAATGCAGCAATGACTACTCATATAATTATTTCATTGTAAATGCTAATGAAAACTCATCACAATACCAATATCTTAGGACATACTATAATCCATCATCCAGATCAGCAACTTCCCTCACTTTTGACCTTTAACAAAATCTACTGCATTTCTATGTGCATTTTGAGCTGATACCAGAGAGCCATCTTTAAAATGAAGGGTTGTTAGGCTGCTAAAATTTCAGTTCTCTCAAACCCAGGAGACATTATGGGGGCAGCTCCCTCCACAACGCTTAACAGTGAATCAGGAATGTTCCTTTGTGTGAAGTCTAGGTACTCTTTAAGTTATACAGAACAGTAGGTCAGGGCAATCAATCTCATTGTGGATAAGTTTGTACAGGAACAAGCTATCAGATATCACCCTCCTATCACCTAATGAAGCCATGTTCATCGTGTAAAGTATGTCTTCATAGTTGTGGTCGTACATGGTCTTTGGGTTACAAAGGCTATGAGCCCCAGTTCTCAAGAATTTATGTTGAACCCTTTCAAGTAGCATCTGCTGGTTATTGTAGCAGGAATTCTAAAGTATGCTGTTGTATTCCAGAAAGGGTCTGACCAATGACATATAAAGAAGCGAAATAGTACCAGGAATTCTAAAAGATCTTGTGTTTCTCAAAATGAAACTCAATCTTCTCATAGCCTTTTTGGAGGTTTCAGTGGAGTTGATATAAAAAGAAGCCTTCAAATCGAAAGTGAACCCCCCCCCCCCCAAGACAGTGTCATGAACCTTTCTTGCACCATTGATCAAAAAAAACTGGATGTCAGATCTTCCCAGTGAATACTTCATAGGGGAGAATTTAGATACATTCAAAAGTTTGGCATTATGATCGCACAAATTGTTAAATTTGTCTAGATTACTCTGTAAAAGACAGGCATCCTCACGATTTCACACCGCCCAAAAAATCTTGGTATCATCTGCATAAAGTAGACTCTCACAGCATATAAATCCTGTGGTAAATCATTAATATAGATGTTAAAAAGAAATGTACCAAGATGAGACCCCAGCAGAACTCCAGATGGTATTTCAAACAGTAAGATGAACGGCCATAAATCTGTTTGTACTGCTTCTCTCTAGCCACTAAAGCTCTTGAAGCTAAGAGCAACATCAATTGACAGCTATGTTCGAAGGCCTTAGAGAAGTCTGTGCAGATGACTTTGTCTGCACATTTTAATAGCATCAATCATGTCTCTTTTGAAAACTACAAGGTTATTTTATGAAAATTTCCCTCATAAAACCAGACTGCAGACTGGTGAAATTGCCAATCGATGCTGAAATAACTTTTGTCACCTTGTTTTAAAATAACTTTGGGATTCCGCTCAGTATTGTGATAGAACTATAGTTAACCTTCTCGAACTTACTACCTTCGAACTTACCTTATAGTGATAAGGGATTATTTTGACAATTTTTGAACTCTCATGGTAGGCACTAGAAGGTAATGACTTGTTAAATATAAGAAACGAGGGACATGATAAGGCATATTTACCTGTTTTTCCAAAGAAGTTAGTTAGTTGATCATACCCAGGTCCCTTATTTGTGTCAAGCCTTATTAACTCCACAAATATTTTCCCAAGTGCAAGCCTCATGGCCTGAGTCTCGCCATGTAAAATAAGGCATTAATTCAATTCAATTCAAGTGAAAAAAGATAGGTTGTTCATAGACATTTGTTTACCAAATGTTTTTTGATCATCAAAATAAAAGTTTCCATTACTGTTGGCAAAGTTAGTGTTGAAATAGTCTCATAAAGAATCACTCCATTCTTCATCACTCGAGATGTTCATATCTTTGTAATGCATTTGATATGGCAAGGAATCACCCTTGTTAATGTGTTTCAGAGGTTTCCAGGAGATTATCATGTCGTGAGAAGTAGTTAATTTGTGTCACAAAGTAGTTCCTTCAAAAGAGCACTCACAAAGAGCCTTTAAAAATTTATTTTGTGATCTCAAGTTCAAGGTGCTACAGTTTTGTGGGGACCGGTTATATTTAAACTCTACATGAGAAAACTTTGTGGACTTGACCATACTGATAAGTTTCACAGAGACCGTACAGTACACCATTGCAGTACCATTCAGTGCTGCAAAAATGGATAGATAATCAGCTCTTCAAAAATCTTGAGAGAAAAACATTATCCCTGGATCGACTGCTCTAATTAATCATACCAAAGACAACTTCCAGTGCTGGGCAATATCCATACTCAATTATGAGTGAATCCATTGCAACATCCACAGAAGGAGATCCCTGTAAACAAAACCCCAAATCCAAAATAGATCCACAATATTGTTAAGTTGGTAGAAATCCAACAAAGAGGAAGTGTTCATGAGTTCTCTTGCTGACGAGGGCATCGATGACATGGAGTCAATCTAATCACAGTTCCATGATGCACTAGGAAGATTGTAGCCCCCACCCCCCAATAATTAAGTCAGCAGTTGGATGAAGATCAGCAATACAACCCACCTTGACGACTTGACAAACATATCAGTACAAGAAAGGGGTGGTATATAGATAGCATCAACCACAATGTTTGAAGAGTCCAATCGTACAAAAATGTGCTCCACTTTGTTGACTATCATTAAGATAGATGAACTCTGAATTTCATTGCGGACCGCAACCAGATCACGCCCTCCTGTCAGCAATGAACTTGTACCAGGATTTCTATCAAGCCTGTATAATCTATAATTATGCTTGTGCATAATTCGTGCCTTGTTAGGAAAATTCCTGTTCAACCAAGTTTCTAAAAGAACAATTACGTCATATAAGTAGGTGTTCTTGCCAAAATACTGTCCCTCAGTTGCAAATGTTTGGTGCATAATCCACACAAAATAATTGTTTAGCCTTATGATTACAGTTATATCCCTTGATTATTTTTTTTTCTGTGATACTTTTTTCCACTCCACCAAAGGATTTTAGTGCAATATACTTTTCACGATTGGCCTGGTGTGCTTTCAACTCCTTGATCAATGCCTTATAACGAGTTTGTTGCTTCCTGGTAAGATCTTATTTCCATGGTTACCCACTCTAGATTCCTTTCTTTAAACAAATAAAGCCTCATATTCATTCCTGAAGGCCGGTGATGGCCGGAGAACACTTGGAAAATACACTGCTTGATAACACTTTCACCTTTCAGCATAGCTGCGATGGTAACGTGTAGAACAAGTTTTACATTTAGTTATTTTTGACTTGTCTGTAATTATCACTGGGGCTATCATAGTCATCTCCTAAAAGATCCCTGGACATCATTTTCCAAATATCATACGACTGATTTTCTAACCTCAATTTTTCGCTGGTTTGGCCTGTCTATCTGGATACAAAACTACTTATTACATTGAAATATTTCATATATTTCACTAAGTGCAATTATGAAAAGTAGGAATCTTTGCAATTGGTTTCTTCAGAGGAATTAGTTTTTTGAATGTAAAAAAACAAACAGTACACAAATGCCACAACAGTTTTTGTTAGTGTTTGTTTTTTCCTTCCTATTTTCTTCTTTTTTTCTTTCTTTCTTGTTCTTGTTCCCCTCGTTCTCCTCCTCCTCCGTCTTCTCTATTTTTCTATTTACTCATGAGTGTCATCATGGACATTATCAGGATTGACTTGCCTGTTCATGTATTTTGCAAGTAAATAAATAAATGAACTTGAGAGCCTTTTGGAATCTTGCTAATTTCTTGAACAAAACTATCAGATTCCAATCCGTCTCTCATGGAAGGATTTACACTGTAATAACCATAAGGATTCACCTCAATTATTCACTGGGTATTTTGCTTCACAGTACTCTGAACTTATCCCATCTGTATATATTGCGTATGACACTGCGAATCATTTTATCTCATTGAATTGTGTTACGCTAAGTCTGGCTGATATTTTTGAGAGTGTTGGTAGGCTGAATGTGAACAATGTGCTGCTGCTGATCTTATACCTTATGTCTTCCTTGTGATCTGTCCATACTCTATTTCTTATCCAATTTGGCATCTAATTGACTTATTACTAGTTTCTGGCATATTTCCTGAATTTTGGAAGCTTGGTAAGGTTCTTCCAGTGCACAAGAGGAGCAAAACAGTGAACAATTCCAACTATTTTCCAATATCCATTGTAAACTCTATTCCTAAATTCTCTGAGGAAGTTGGTGCGATCTTACCTCAATGACAGGAAGCAGTTTGTCTTGGTTTGTGGGTTCAATTAGCATTTATTTGATGCTCCATCTACTGTTTCTCAGAGATCACATCAATGGCCCATTTTTTTTATTGTGTTCATAAACATCTTGCTGTCTGTTATTACTCACACTAGTGTATTGCTGTTTGCTGATGATGCCAAAATGTATTTGACGATTCAAAACATTGAGGTTAGTGATAATCTTGACCTTGACCTTTCATTCCTGGTGCATGAATAATGACATCATTGGAAGTTGACGAATGCTATGTTGTGAGCTATTCAAGGAAATGTCAGCTTGTTCAGTGTACCTACTCCATTCATGGCAAAAGACCCGAAAGCTGTTGACAACATTGTCAAGCACGGGAACACATTTGACCCTGTTTGAATTTGAATCTGTTTTATGATTTATTTTCTTTTTACCTTGTACTTTGTCCTCTGGTAATTGTTATTGGAATGAAAATTGTATAAAAAGGGTAAAATCTTTTTATTGTTATAAAATATTTAGTAGAAATATGTGTTCTGTACAGTTTAACCTGAAGATGGAAAAGAGAGATTTTCAAAACATTGTTACTTATGTAACATATGTTTTAACTATGTGAAATAAATATAATTTTAAGATGTGATTTTCTTTAATTTATAAAGGAATAATAAACAATATTATACAATTCAAATTGAAACAAGACAACCAGTTAAATTCTTTCAAAGTGGTATTTATTTATTCAAAGTTTTTCTGTAATGGATGTTATTTACATTTGTGGGCAGAGTTCCTTGTGTAGCACACCGGACAAAACATCTTGGGCCTATCAACTGTTCCGAGTTTATCAGCAGTATCCTGATAGTCTCCTTCGTGCAGCCATGGCCAAACTTAGGCAAGATCAGATGGTCTCTTTGAAGAAATCATATGCTCGCTACAAACAGAAAGGAAATTATTTACCTGTGTCATCATCTCCTTATCAGCTGTCTGTTTCGTAAGTTTAAATTTGATACAATTAATTGCTTCTGCTGCACTTTTGAAGGGATTGAGGCAAGTGTGCTAACCCTTATAGTACTAACTCTCATTCACTTTTGCAAGTTGGAGGAAAAACAAAGATTTGTAAATCAAGATGTCTCAGTTCATGTGTGTATGGTATGTCCTAAGTCCAAAATATGGGTAATGTTAGGAGTAGGCATATTGGTATGCATTAATTAATACATTTGCCAGATGGATTGGTTCAAGCTTTGTGAGTGGTGTTAAATGAATGCATTGGAAATTAGAATGTGTTCCATAGACTGAAGTTTGTTTCATGTAAATCACGAAAACTAAAGACCGAGACCTTGTCGGAACTCGGAAATGCATGGTGAAATGTCAACTGAGGTATACAGTTATGTTATAATTACTCAGGGTGTATAGCCAACTTTGTAAATTGTATTTTGCAAATCCTATTGTATTGTGTTTGTATTGGAACAAGACATGTGGCATGAAATTACAATGATATAAGAGATATGGTAATTGGACTGTTCATTCAGCCTCAAGTAATGATAATCATTATTATCCTAATATGGGTCTTTAATGTAAGGGAGTAGTTCCTATCATAATAAAAATAAAATGAAATAGAAAATCTGTTTTCAGTCATGGATGATAAAATTTTTAAATAATTCAAATTTGGTATAACTTATCAAATTTGCAACATTGATAATTAGTAGTTCTTTTTTTTTTCCTGTAGGTGATTGTTATTCTTATTGCTCTAAATTAGTTAGATAAATCTCGTCTTTCAATGCTCTCTGGTCTAGAATAATATATTGTCAAAATGTTCCAATCAAAAATGGTGAGAGAGAGAGAGAGAGAATGGTTTGTCTTATACAATGGTTTGCCCTACTTACTTGTAGTACTTATTTGCTTTTATCATAATTTCTAACATTCATAAAGTCTAAATGAGAAACATAATTCATTGTGTTGTGGATCTATTTAAAACAAACTGAGATTTAAGGTAATGCAGGGTTATAAGAAACCCTCAAATTGCTGGCTCCTAAATTATTTTGCAAATAAAAATTCAATTAAACAATAGTGTTGAATCATAATTGGATTCTGATGTACTTTTATGAAATTTGATCATAAATGTGTGTAGGTACTTGCAGTTGATTCAGACCAAATACCAATATGGTGTTTTCCATGAGTCTTATGAAATGGTGAAAGAATTACTGTCCTGGTCAAAGGGAACAGACACTCAACAGGGCATCCCAGCAACAGGTGCTAGTGGAGGTGCTGCTGCGTCCATGGTGGAATTACTTTGCAAAAAAGGGGTAAGATGTTCACACATTCAAATCTTCCAAAGACACTGCAGGCCCTGCAACCTGCAGCGTGTGGGATTCATAACTAGCCTATGCGTAAGCACTAAAACCCCCTCCCTTTCCTCCTATTCCTTCCCATGGAATTGCCATCAGGCATTGCATCGCGAGAAGCATGGATGGGCTTTTCGAACTTCACCAACATATTACGGGACACGTCTTCGTAACTGCTCCTCGGAGCGGAGCGTCTTCAGGACCTTTGCGACATAGGTGGCTACTGCACTCCAATACTCTTGTATCATCAGCATCCTAGCGACGATAGTCTCAGGGGTCACTACCTCTTGGAGGAGTCTGTGGAGTTCCTTCCTTTCCACTACGAAGTGTGGACAATGAAAGAACACGTGTTCTGGATCCTCAATCTGTACAGACCACTCTGTAAATGGTTCAATCCGATTGCAGATGATCCGCTCTAACACTTTGCCTGCTGTATCCACTAAGCATATTGGCCGATAGGCTGCCGGATCAGTAGGTGCCTTATCGCTCTTCGGAAGGAGGACTAGCTATTGTTGCTTCCATCGACGGGGGAAATTCCCCTCTCGTACGCATGCATTATATGCCTGTAAGAATAAATCGGGCCGAGCCTTAATAGCGATCTTAATAGCTACATTTGGTACCCCATCGTGGTCACGTGTGCGTGCTTGTACATTTATAAGATTTAATGCACTTACATGTATTTTTTCTGATTATTGTATGGATCAAAGCCATAAAGCATTTTGCTGGCAAGTACATCAATTTTTGTTTAGGGAGATCCGATAATTTAGAAAAGTTGGCTAGGAGGACAAATTCTACAGTGATACAATCCATAGTGATCACAAGAGGGAAAAAAGGTTTCCTGTTATGCACAATTACATAATGCCAAGTTTTGAAGTTTTGAAGACATTTGAAACCCTTTTAAATTATGAAAGGTAATGAGTGAAAAATCAATGTTTTTCAGTGGAGATTTCAAGCGAGTATTACCTGAATTCCTTATAACAGAATCATAAATTCAAAAAGCACGATTTGAAATTTTTTTTATAATTTTCATTTTAATGGAAAACTTGCAGTAATGTCCGTAGACATGATTTATCTGAACCAAATGCCTGAATATGAAAATCATGGTGACGATGTCTTTCTCATTACTCATGTGCAAAGTATTTATGCGGCTTGGAGGTTTCATTACTTTTTTTATATTTCATTAATTACATTTTTTTAATAATTGAATTATTATAAAAGTATTATTATTATTATTATTATTATTATTATTATTATTATTATTATTGTTATTATTGTTAATATTATTATTTTAATTTTACTTAATTGCCTCTTTTATGTAAGTGCACTTTGAAGAAATTTTTATCATTAACATTTGCTACATTTCATTTTTAATATTTAATGTATCAATATTTAATTTTAAGAAAATGCCCATTTTATTTCATTATTCTCTTTCCTTTCTTTTAAGGTTTCATTCAACTTCATGTGCTCTTATCATAAACGTTTCATAATGGTTGCATTACATATTTATATGTTGTTCTAGATCACATTGTCTGTTGATATACCTGACCAAGTCATTATTCTCGATCCGTGGATCTCAGAGAGAGATGAGACATACACAAGAATTGTAGAGGTGAGTTCTCATCACGTATTTTGATTATTCAAAAACCAAGATGTTGAAGAGAGTAGCATGTGATCCGAATTCTTCTTCGTCTTTCTTTTATTATTAATTGCATTCTAATATTACCTTTTTGGAGCTGGTTATAGATCAGTGCATGGAATACACTCGATCTACAGCTATTTCTTGAGCTGCATGCTGTGCTAATTAAGAAGTGATTTCTGTTTCAAATTTTCATTGAGACTAAAAACCTCTTTTACACTTTCCTTTCAACTTTTGATTCATTTACATCTATTGTATAATTTAAGTACCTACAATTGTTTATAATGTTGGAGGTTTGCTTCATCAGTGATGAATCCTGATGGACAATGGCAAGTATCGTACTTTGATAGCCTGTGCACGAACCCGCAAATTGCATTATGTACATGATATCGCAAAATGTAGTACATTTGTAAAGAAGTGAAAATATAAATAGAAAAAAAGGAATTAATTTTATAAAGATAAATACATTAACACTAATTACATAAAAGAAAAGAAAGAAACTTTATAAAACTATACTCGATGAAATACAAATGAAAAAAGAAAATAAAAAAATTTAACATATTTTCTATTTACAATACATATACAATACAATACAATACAATACAATACAATACAATTACAATAAAAGCTAAAATATAAATTACAATAGGTATAGTATAACTTAGATGAAGGATTTCAGTGCAAACACGGCATTACTCAAAAATGGTCTTCAGAACAATCTCAGAGGAGTTTATCAACTAGTATTTTATCATACTTTTAGTTGATATGCTATTTACATTCAATATTTTCAAATTACGTGGAAGCAAATTGTAAACTTTATAACTGATGTATTGAAAATTTCTTTTACCAATATCCTTTTTTTAACGTCTGGAGGTTGCAAATATGGAGTTCTTTTATTGGCCTTTACTTTTGCTTCATAGATATTTTGTAAATAAGAGAAATTGTACTACAATTGTATCATTTATTATATTAATAGCACAGACTGGAACTTTTACTTCAACAAATATGACATTGATTTTAATGTATAATTTTTTTTTTTTACAATGACTGCTTACATGCTTCAAACATTTTGTTCCAAAGAAACTGGTTTTTGTCAGTCCTTATTTGCTTTGGTACTCCCCTTGGAGCGTATTGGCTATATCAGAGCAAAAATTAAATTTCACAAACTATGTAGACAAACTAATAGATTCGATTATTATGTTAAATTTTGTGCTTGCGATCCAGTGTGTCTCATTTACAGCATGTCCTTTTCCACTCGTATGTACATAAAATTGAGCTGTCTGCTTCTATCAACCCTAAATCTTTTTGGAAGTTCATCAACATGTTTACTAGCACACTCAGTTACCTGGTATTATGCATTTGGGTATGAACCATTGCAGTGCTGTTCAGAAATTGCCACCTTGTTTTCTACTAATTTTTTTATCAATATATCAAACGTGATATAAAAAACATTCCAACTTCTACCACTGGCTTTCAACATCATTCTTCGGTCTGCAATATCAAATTCATGTTATCTGAAATGATTCTTGCTTCTAAATCATTTGAACTCGGGTAAGAGATGAGATTCCCAATGTGTGTTTTTTTTAAATTTTATTTTATTTATTTATTTATTTATTTTTTAATTTTATCTTTAACCATTCCTTTGACATGGGAACTTTCTTCACAGCTTCAAAATATAAAGTTACCTCTATATTTCAAATTACTGTCCTATTTCCATTCTCAGAACTGACTCTTAAACTTTTTGAGAAACTGATGTTAATGCTTTGACACCGCACTTTTGCAACATGGTTTTACTAACAATAGATTTTCTACAACCAATTAGCTGTATTGAAAAACTATATCATTAAAGCATTTGAATCCGCTTTTCAAGTCGATGCTATATACACAGATTTTGCCACTACCATGTTAATCATGATATATAGATTGACAAGTTGCCATACTTAGGCATCTCCTCCTATGGCATCCACTACTATCATAGATACGCTTATATCTTTCTGGCAGAAGTCATCATTGTTAATGGCCGTGCATCTGAGTCATTTGTAGTTAGTAGTGGTCTACCTCAAGGCTCTCATCTGGGTACGATTTTGTTTAATAGTATTTTCATTAATGATCTGCCAACTGTTATCAAATACAGAAAAAAAAATTGTTTGTGGATGATTCCAAAATGTATGCCAAGATTACGGATTTTAATGACACTTACCACGTACAGGAGGAAAGTTGGTAATTCTAAATCACATCCATTAAAGTGTTCCTATTAATACTGAAATTGCTGGGTACATCACCTATTGGTGATGTACAGTTTTTACCTTTTGCTGATGATTGTAAGATTAAAAAATATTGCAAAATGCATTACAAGAATCTTTTTCAGTGGTCTAGGGAAAATGATCAACTTTTAATCACTCAAAAAAGTAAATATATTGTTTTCTTCTTATTTAAATCTATTCTTGCATACATTTATAATATTGGTGCTGTACTATTCAAAAACATAACTAAAGTAAGAGATGAAACTTGATCAAATGGCCATCTGTTATTAACAGATTAGTTAAGTAAATTGGTTCCAAAGATTATTAAAGACAATCAACTTTTTTTAATACAACAATCTTTCTACATTTTAATTAACATTTATTTGAAAAATCAGTGGCATGGCAACGTTTCAAAGGCTGATATCCCTCCTTCTTGAACTGGATGTTTAAAGATCTGAAACTGCAAAAAATTACTGTAAAAATGAGGCACATTACATAGACAGGAATGATTGTCATTTACAATCTAATCAAGAGTTCAAATTTTACATAATTCATAATTACATACATGTTGAAATGAAAAGAAAAAAATCTCTAGAAAGTTAAAAACCTAATTACAATAAAAAATTGACTTGTTTATACAATGCCATATTAAAAACAAAACTAAGTTTAAAATCTAAATTAAAAGAATAATTATGAAACAAGGCATGCACACAGCAAGAAAAAGATAGACCCACGTAAAAGATGAATGAGTTGAGAATTAATTTTATAATACGACCTATGATTCTTATTTGTCGACAACCTGAACATTCCTACTGCGGAGAGAATATGGACAGAACTAGTTGAGACATGGATGGAGGGGTAAGTATGAAGGAAGGGGTCGGGGAAGGGCCGGAGTAGGGGGAGTTTCATCAGAAACCTTAACCTTGCACTTGGTGAGTAAATTTATGGGAGTCTGGATTTTCCTATACTAATGAACATTAATCTATCACGTGTCATCTATTAAATTTGAGTTAACATTTCATAATTATGGACTTCAAATATCAAGAATTAACAAGGTCTTTGTTTATTGTCAGTCTTCTTGGTCCGGTGGCTCACCTAATCAAGATATCGATCAAAGTGAGTGCACGGTACAGGAAAATCCAGACTCACATAAATTTTCCCGCCAAGTCCAAGGTTAATGATGTGATCCCTAAATTTATTAGAAATAGTACAAAATTATTTTATTTAAACTTGAACAAGGATCAGAATAAATTTTAGAGATATCTGTTGAAATTCAACAGGCAGATATTAAATGTAACATTATCAGAGAAATATTTTTATTGAAGCAGCTACAAATAACGTTAAATAAATCTGAACTTGCAATTAAAATGTTTATTCCTGAAAGTTCATTAATTTTTTTGACAGATGATCAAACTTAGAGAAATATTTTGAATATGACAGTCAAAAGTAGTTTTTGTAGAACAATGTAAAATTAGCTGTCAAGATCAATGTAGAGTCAATGAGGCCTTTGGCCCTAGGTTTTGTAATTTAAAATCTTCAAAAATTCCATTGGCTCTTCAAGACATGGTCAGTTTAGGTTATTTTCTTTTCCTTGACTAACAATGATAAACAGGATGTTATTTTTCAGATCATAAAATTGATTGAATCAAATATGCAAAAAGTGCCTCAAACTGAAAGAAAAAAATTGAGGAATGTCTTAGTTAATTCCTTATCAACTTATGGGAATAATCCAATTAAGTTAAGTAAACTGCAAAATTTGATGTATCATAACCTTTTGCAAACTAAACAATTTTTGAAAAAAAATCCTGAATTGATTGTCATTCTTACAGATAAAGGCAGGGCCGTCACTTTAATAGATAAGTCGACATATCGGGCCAAGGTAGAAGAGAACTTTTGACCCCAATGACAATTTTACACAATTACCCAGATATCCTGCCAGGCAATATCTTCTGAAAATCCAAGAAATTTTAAAGAGTTGGCTCAATAATAAATTTATAGATATTTCAACTTTTCATAGTGTTTATCCTACGGTTCCTGGCACTGCTACAGCTTATGCTTTCACCAAGATTCATAAGCAAGGAATCCCTTTTACACCTGGTTGTATCTAGTTATCTTCACCTGATTATAAATTTTCAAAAGTTCGAAGTGGTTTACTTAAGATTTTCTGAAAAACATGGCAAGTTCACATTATCTTGTAAAAATTCAATTCTTATCACCATAATTTAAATATTACTTTGGAACAGGAAGTGGATTACATGTTATATTTTTTAGATTTTACTATTTTTGGATTTCCAACTTATTGTATGACTAACTGTTATACTAAGCTCACATATTCTGAGATCATTGTAAACATGAACTCAAATCATCCCTATAAAAATCACTATTGTCAAAAATCTTGTTGAGTGGGTATTTGGTATATCAGAGAGTACGCTCTACTCAGTTAATCTTGACAAAATATTTTTACTATTGATTAGAAATGCTTATCCCATTCAGTTCATATCCAAATTTGTGGTCCAGAAATTAAATCAGATGTTACGGAAATACTTACTCCAAAACATTACAATTCTTATCCACTACCCTTTCTTCCATTTTCAAATAAGATTATGTCTACATTACCTGTCATTCCGATGATTAATTACCAAGTAAAGAGTCAAATTCATAATCAGTTTGGTAATATGGTTTTGGTCAATTCTATTCTTAATAGGTTAAATGTTATTTGTCATCTCAAGGATTTAGTTCTGAAATTGAAAAAAAGTTAATTCTGTATTTTCAATTAAATGTTCTCAATGAAACCTGTTAGATATAGAACATACTCATTAGTGGCTAGGTGATAGGCTGAAAGAACATCACAGTAACATTAGATTACCTTCTGAGATGCAAAACTCCTTAACCGCTCATAAAATAAAGCAGGGCCATTTTTTTTTACCCATCAATTCTAACAGTGGAGCCAAATTTTAGTTCCAGACTGGTTCTTGAATCTTTTTATCAAGATCAATCCTTCCATGAATTCCAACCTCAAATGGATATGTTTGCAAAGGGTTATGATCCTATATTAGTACAATCAGTTAAATGGATCAAGCAACATTTTCAAGAGCTCTCTGATTCTAACACTATATAACATGATCAAAATCTCAGACAGCAAGATACTGTGAATAATGATATTCAAATCAGTAATTGTCAGTCACAAACAATTTTTAAAGTCCCTTCCAAATATCTTGCAAATCCTGTAAGTAGCTCTTCTTGTATTTCCTTAGGAGTCAGCCTTCCAGTGTTTCCAATGAAGCTCCGTCCCTTCCCCCACCCCACCCCTCCCTTCCTCAGTCCATATTCTCTCTGCAGTAGTAATGTTCAGGTTGTTGACAAATAACAATCATATGTCATATTATAGTATTAATTCATATTAATACATATAATAATTAATACATATTCATCTTTTACAAGAGTCTGTCATCCTTGTCTTGCTTCATAATTATTCTTTTAATTTAGATATTAAGATTAAACTTAGCTTTGTTTTTAATATCTCATTGAATAAACAAGTATACTTTTTGTAATTGTAATTAGGTTTTTAATTTTTATAGGGAATTTATTCCTTCTCATTTCAATGTTATAAAGATTTATTTGATATGTATTATTCTGTTTCATCATCTATCTGGAGAGCCGAGATCGCTGAGGCAGTAGTGTCGTGGCGATCTCGGATCGAAGGATTGCGGGTTCGAATTCCGCCTCGGCATGGATATATTTGTGATAGTCCCTTCACTCTTCATAATCATCCTATTATTTCATTAAAGGATTAATAATTCTCTGCCAAGCAGGAGGCCCTTGCCCTTAATGGAATGTGCAGTTAGGTAATAAAAAAAAAAAACTGTCATCAATTTATGACAACATGTATGTATTTGTGAATTATGTAAAATTTGGACTCTTAATTAGAACGTTAGTGATGATCATTCCTGTCTATGTAATGTGTCTCATTTTTAAATAATAAAATAAGAGACCTTGGAATAATCTTTGATTAGGAAACGGGTAATTCTTGTACATCTAAAAGTACTGTCATAACCCTACTATAACTGTAAAGTACATCATAAATTAACTTTCATAACTTTACATTATGATTCTTAATTCAGTTTTGATGCAATTTTCTTTTGTTTGGTCACCTTTTCAAACACACATTAAAAAGTTGAAGCTGTCAACATAGCTTTTTAGAATTGCAGCATCATACTATGGTTTCCAAGATCCGTTCATGCACCATTGTTATAAAGAAATTTCAACTGTGTTAAATCTAACTTTGCTAAGCTTTGCATGAGATCTTTCGGATGCAAACTTTATTTATAAATTGATCAGTAACCAGTTCGAATGTTCCTTTTTACTTGAACAATTGAATTATCAAGTTCTGTAACTTCTTTCAGAAAAACTGACACTCTTGTAACAAATGTTCATATCTTCATATCCAGCCAATAGTCTCTTGACCAGACTTAGCCCATCTTTAAATAGATGTTCACTTGACACATTTGACATCCAGTATTAAATACAAAAAGGATGTAAAATGAATTGTTTAAATTGGAAATAATTTTATTTACATTCTGACACAGTGAACCACTCCATTGTGTCCCTCACTGGCTCTTCACTAGCACTCCCCTCCATGTTCCTTCTCTTCCCACCATGCTTCTCTCTTCTCATCACGCTGCACCTTCCCGCTACATTCCTCCTGTCCTGCCATGCCCTCCCTACTTTCCCACTGCATTTCTCCCTTCCTGGTCTCTATGCTCCTCCCTTCCTGCAATGCTCCTGTGTCATGCCCTTCCTTCAACATTTTACAAGAAAAATTACCAGTAATTTATTTATACTTTATCTTTTATGTTTTAACCCCATGGAATGTACATCCATTTCCTACAATATCAATTTTAAACTCGATGGTTACCACAGAAATCTTGTGGAACACCATATGGATGGGTAAAAAGAAGTGATCTTCCTCAATAAAATGTATTTACACTAAATTCAGGTCTTACCTTGTGGACTTTCACCTCATCTTCAGCGTTCCCTATCAGGTATATAAAAGAAAATATATAAAAGGGTATATAGAGAAGAAATGTGAATTCAGAGGATAAAATAAAATGAAACAGTTAAATGAAATGAAATAAAACAAAACTAAACCCATGTCCAAGTAATGTAGTACATAGCATGGTTGTTAAATGTACACCCTTGCTGGCACCATTTAGTGCTCTGGATTGGCTTTGGAAACCAACTACGAAAGGATGGGGGGGATGTTGGGAATTGATGATATTTAATAAAAGGCTATTTTATGTTGATTGTGTCGTTAAAATAGGGGTAGGAGGATTCTTTTTTTCTTTTTTTTTTTTTTCCCCTTTGTTTTCAACATGTAAAATTTTGAAATTTTTTGCTAGTAAGGAGGGGCAGAAGTAAGCACTGAAGATAAAGTAAAAGTCTTCAAAACATGTATGCAGGAATGTAAGATCTGAATTTAGTGTAAATACATTTGTACTGTGGAAGATTACTTCTCCTTACTCATTCAATACTAATTTTGTTTTGAAATTTTTAAAATGTTTTAAAAATACCGTGTAAGAATTAAAATCATTCTAAAAGTATAGTTGTTACCTAAAATTATTACTTTTTAATTCTTGAAAGAATGAAATTCTTTGCTACCTGGTTTGAATAAGAAAGTAAACTGGAATTGAATGCAAGTAAACTTGTAGAATTTTGTATTAATGTTACTGCAAAAGTGAGCCAGATAAGTCAGCCAGATAAATATGATCATTAAAACATGTATTTGATCATGATAATAACTTGATAAAAAATTATGTCTCTTATTCTTTTTGCAGCGTTACAAGGATATTCTCCAAACATGCAGAACTGGTCGTGATTCAACTACTTCTGCATTGTTTCGCATGAGCCTTGGCAATGTGAATGATTATGATGATCTCTGTGAGCCAGTTGAAAACCTGAGTGACAACTATACTGAAGAAATGCAGGATACAAGTTTGGAGAAGAATGTACACCAAAAAGGAAATGAAAATTATGATGATAATGATTCTAAAGATTTTAATGTAAAAAACCAATCATTACAAAGTAATGAGTTGCCATTGAATGTGAAAGACTGTTTTATTGAAAACAAAAATGCAGAAAAAGAAGATAGTATTAATTCACCAAATAAGGCTAATATTCAAATAACAGAATCCTTGAAAATTACAGCTCACATTCTAAAAAACACAGCAATTACTGATGAGAAAAAAGTTGAATCTGTGGAAAGTAATTCCAAGCTTCCATTAGTAGTTAGTGGAAGTGTTAACAAACTGGAAAACGTATCTCCATTTAACACAACAGAGCCTACTCATGAGCAAGATTCATCTTCTCTTCATTATGATGCTTTGTCAGATTCTGCACAGGAGAAAACGTGTGATAAAACAAATGACTCCTCTTTAGAAAATAATTCTGATCCATTGAATGAGAGTAATTCTACAAAAAATGTTTCATCTTGTACTCCAATTCCAAAGCCTGTATGTTGTGAAGAGGAAGAATTTCAAAAAGAGATGCACACTGACAGAGTTATTTTAGCACAATCAGAAAAAGTTTCTGAAAAATTAGACACTACACATGAAATTAAAGGAACTACATTGAACAATTCAAGTGATTGTGTAACACAAGCAGCTACATTGAAACATTCAAGTAATATTTCTGATTCATTAGCCCCATTGGTGTCTGAGAATGAAGCAAAATCTAAAGCAAAAGAAGAAGAAAATCATACTGATAAGAAAAATTCTGGAGAGGCAGAAAGTACTTCAAAGTTAGAAAAGAACGTGAACCGAAAGTGGAGTCGGCTTGATTTTGATTGGACTCCAGATAAAGAATGGGATATTGATTTTGACGTTTCAGAAAGAGCAGGAGAAGAGCCTGATGAAGCAGATGGTGCAGACGATGATAGGATTAGAGGAGATTACATTAACATGGAAGGTAACTCTGAAGAAGGGGATGGAGCCCCTCATAGCAACCAGCAAACATTGGTTGCTCGTGCTGCTACCCGCATTGCTCTTTTTATGATGAAAGAGGAAATGGATGATTCCAATCAGGTTAAAAATAACCAACATGCCCATGACTTCTTTGTAGTAAACTCGTGTTCAGTTTTTTGCCATATAAATAAAAATAAATGTGTGTGTACCAATGATTTGGCTGAGCCACATTGTAAGCAACATGATAAATGTAACTCAAAGATTTTCCCTTTAACTCAAAAGGAAATTGATGAAATTCTCAATACCATCAAAAGGTGAGTAATTTAAAATCAGATGTTATTATGTTTTATAGCTAATAAATAAATTATTTAATTTGGAGAAAAATATCTCGGTGAAAATTATTGCAATAAATTTATAAGAGGTGACCCTTAGACGTTATTAACCTAAGTTGGACAAGAAAAATTGTTTTAGAATGAATGAAGTTCTCTGGCATGACGAAACAAATTGTTCATTGTGACTTGTAAACAATTGCAATAATTTACAAACATTAGGACTGTTTTACGATGAGAAAGAAGATTACGGGGTGATTTTGGTGGAATATAGCGAGCCAGGCAGTTGTGAAAAAGAATGCCTTTGGCATGTTAAATGTGTCATAGATTTTTTCTGAGGTGGAGGGAAATACTAATCAATTGGAAATATCTTAAGGTGATGAATATAATTTTGGGGGAACATTAAAGTCAGTTTTCTAAATTTAATACAAGTTGTGTTGTATGGAACCTGGAAACAAGCAAACGATGTGAACATCTCTTAACAGAGGTGATAGTAATGACACATGTATGCAAGTCATCATAAGGGAATTAAATGTAGGAAGAGAAAGTTATGAATGTAGTGGGCCCTGCATGAATATTTAAAGGGTTCCTAATTAAATAATTGTAATCAAGAGTAGAAAGAATATTTATATTTTTTAGTATTACTTTTTGTATAATTTATTATTGAAAATTCATAAAAGTAAAGCATAATTCTAAAAAAATGTCTTCAATCATTTAGGATTTATAATTGAATTTTATGCACGCACACACAGACACACACACAAGCAGACACGCACGCTTACACACAGGCAGACACGCATGCTTACACACAGGCAGACACGCACGCTTACACACAGGCAGACACGCACGCTTACACACAGGCAGACGCGCACGCTTACACACAGGCAGACACGCACGCTTACACACAGGCAGACACACACACACACACACATGCAGGCAGACACACACACACGGGCAGGCAGGCACACACACACACACACACACACACACACATGGGCAGGCAGACACACATATGCCCACAGGCAAGCAGACACACATATGCCCACAGGCAAGCAGACACACACGCACCCACATACACAGGCGCACACACACACACACACACACACACACACACACACACACACACACACACACACAGAGGCAGATACACACACACAGGCACACACACACACACAGGCAGATACACACACACACAGGCACACACACGTACGCACACACACCACTTGAGGGCAAGTGTGTCCGATGGAGCACAAATTTGAAATTTCTTGACTTGTATATACATTTCTTTCAAATAAGGTATTTGTAATTTTCTTGTTATTGTTGCAGTCAAGCAATTGTGTATCTTCAAGAACCTGCTGTGGAGAAATGTTTTGAATGTGCCCCAGTAGATTTTCAGCCCATTTTGCAAGAAGTAATTGACTTTGTGGAAAGCAAGAAACATTTAGGTGTAACCCTTCCACAAATCCAGGTAGAAAGTTTGGAGAAAAATGTAGCACTTGTATTTGTACACTGAATTACTACATTTTTGTTTTTGTTTAATCATTTAGTAAATTTCCGTTATGAGTGACTAGCACTGTAATATGGTGGTTAGCATAATTTTTAAAACTGCTACATGAGACAGTTTTTCCATTTTATTTTACCTAGCAAAGACAGGTCATTCATAATTTCAAGACTGACCAATTGCACAGGTCATTCATGATTTTGAAGTAACTTGTTTTATTGCATATTGATGTTTATAAATATCACTAAAAATATTATCATATTTATAATTAGAATGTAAATTTTTTTTCCTGAAGTTTTTGTATTTTTTATTTCATTTTTATTTTGTGTTTAATTTGTGCTTGGACCCTTCTCCCTTGCCTTAAACATATGAACTAAAAATATCAAAAGCATTTGTGTAGTAATGATATTACATATTGTGAGAAATTTGGGTTATACCTAAAACTTAAAATACAATTCTTATTTGCAGGCATTTTATGAAATTAGAGAAACTGGGACTGTAAAGTTGGCTGAAGTTCTTTCTCTGTTGGTACATCACAGAGTATTGATTCGTGCTGGTGTAACTATTCTCCGATATGTGCATCGGCGCCACGTGTGGCCTTGGTTAGCTCATACATTTAAATTTTTACGCCTAGAACGTGAAAAAGTTGTACCTAGTGGCTCAAGAATCATATCTTGTTCTGAAGATAATGATAATACTAGTAAGAATATTGAAAATCAAGATGTTGGTATGGATACAGAAGAAACATCCAAAGAAGTACGTGTATATTAAAAATATTCGTAATAATGAAAAACATGAACTCTTCACTTCCATTCGGTTTTGATCACTTTTCTATTTTCTTCAATCATCATTCTCTTTCTTAATTCCTCTCACCATATCTTTTAACCTCTCTTTTCCCTTCCTTCCTCTATTTCCCTCTTGTTCTTTCCTCTCTCTCGTTTGTCTTTCCTCTTGCTACTGGGTTGTTGCTTAAATCTGGAAAAGTGGTAGGCTAAAAGGATTCATTAAGTTTTCATCATTTGACATCATCAGCAGTCGTAGACAAATTTATCTAATGCTTAAGTTTAAAAGAGCATGGTCTTCCAGAGGTTAAGATGGGCTTTTGAACTTCATTTATCCAAATTATACACACGGAACCGTCAAAAGATGATGCATTTTGTCCCTTGATGTATTACCCTTTATATGCATGTGAATTTCATTTAAAGAATTGTGTTAACTCTTATTGAAAGTTGTTTTCTCTAATATAGTGAAATTCCTTAATGTGTTACAATAACAAAATATAAAGTTGTCTTTGCTGTCTGTGTGTAAATAGCTTTGAGGAGTGCCACGTAATGGCAGCAGAGAAAAATGGGCTTTGGTGATTGTGATCAAAACACAAGATATATTATTTGATAATGTTTTGACTTGTATTCTAATTTTCTTATTTATATAATGACTTACATTGGAATCTGGATTTTCCTAAATAGGTTTCAGACAAGATTTGTGAACAAGAAGTTACTCAAAATCAGCTGAATACTGACACTTTGATTTCTGAGTCTTATGAAAACCTAAAAAACATTCATTCACAAACAGAGAATGTCAGTGTCACAAGTAACAGCGATATGATTACTAGTGTGAAAGAATCTATTGAAATAACTGAGAACAGAAATGAGAAGGCTACAGATTCGTCATCTGCGGATTGTCAAATAAAACCAACTGACAGTGTAACTCCAGATAATGTGGAAAAAAGTGACCTTGATTCTGCAGGCAAGAAGGGATCAAACCGTAAATCAAAAGCAGCAGCAAGTCATCCTTTGGGAACAATTGGCAGCAAAGATATGAGAAAAGCTGCTCAAGTTCTTGCAGTCAAGTATGTATTTGACATTTTAGATTTAATTTAATTCAGATTTATTGTTCAAAATACTCTGGATATTCTGCTTGCAACATAGTATATAGGTGTAAATTCCGTTTGCTACATTATGAAAAGGCATTCCAACATTGGAATCGCCTGAGCAACTTTACCTGACTGATGACCTACCCCCTCCCCCTTCCCCCTCCGTAGTACAAAAGAAGCCGAAGGTAAATACCCGAAGGGAGCGCCGATGACAACATTTCAAATGCAACATCTTTATTGACGTGAAACAGAAACTGTTTATTGTTGAAGACTAGAATTCTTGTTCATGTTTGTTTTTGTTTTTTTCCCTTAAAAAATGTAAATAAATGAATGATGCAGATCCAGGTCCTTAACAGGAGACACCTTGAACTTTAAGAAAGATAGGAGAACTTTTAATAGTGGCGAACATAAAATTATTGAGAAAGTTGCAAAGGCACATGAATTGGAAAAAGGAAAACAGGTTCTGACATATTCTCGAAGTAATGATGTGAATCATGCTTCTGGTTACAGTTAAGCAATATTTCGATGATATAAAGAATAAATATACAGTAATCCTTTAAATTTCCCAGAAGCACCTGGTTAGAAGGTGACATCCAAGGAGAATAATAATTCATTATTTTTCACTATATCCACCAACTTTTCACAATCTTTGAGTGAAAGGTTGATTTATAGTATTTTAATCATTAATTACTATTAGTCTGACACTGTTGATAAATGATAAAAGTTAATCTTAGACTGCTCAGGAGTACCTGAGCTACTGCTGATGGAGTTGTGACAGATATTACACATCACTAGAAGTTTTATGAAAATAATACTTGCTTACCTGTTGGGAGCATGATTGACAAAAAATGACATGCCCTTGCGTTGAAAACCCATTGCATTCTTTTATCCAACGTAGGATAAGAGCACTTTTATTACTTTTAATTTTTGGTATCCTAGAAGTTATAGTGCCCACCCAATAAAATTCCTTCGCAAACAGATTATGTAAATTAGTAGAATGATTGATTTAATTTTGAGACATCTCAGATCAAAGTTAGCCTGAGTGCCTATCTTGAGAATCCTTCCTGTAAAGAAAACTGAGGATGCTGGGATGTAATTGGACACAAATCACCAGCTAAAGCAAGTGCATGCAAGTGTATTAAGTTTGTAAATAACAGAAATATCTCTCCTTGTGATGATCTGGTAATGCAAAAAGATTCTTAATACCCAAGATGTTCTCTCGACAGCCCGATACGGGCCATGGTCAGCCTGCGGTGGCCCAACCTCTCAGCCATGGGATAAGAAGTTCGTGTGGTTAGCATGAAGACATCCCTCCACAGTATATACTGGTCTTTTTAACCTTAGGGTGGGTTTTCTCATCATTACTCAGCAATAAATACTGGGACATTTTTAAGAAACAGGCACAGTTATAATTTTGCCTGAGCCAGGAAACTAACCTGGGTTTGCGCGTGGAAAGCAAGCACACTAACCAACAAGCCACTGAGGGTGGGCTCCAAGACATGTTAAAAATCAAAAATATGATAAGTAGGCATTTTGACAAAACTGACAAATAGGCATTTTTAGACTCTAATGCTGCATAGACATATTTTGGGATTATAAATTGTATACATTTATAAAGTCATGAAAAATGTTTATAAGTAATGGACATGTGTGGGTTTTCAAATTTATCACAATATAATAAGAAACTACTGTTAATATTGGTATTATCTTGAAAACCGCCCAATGAAAACTTTGAGTACATTCAGAAGTAAAAGGACCATCATTAAGTGGTTTCAGTCATCACCACACATGAAACATATATTCCTATTTAATCTATATTCTTCCAAATATTGTATTGGCACATTTGTTGTTGTTGTTGTTGTTTTTTGTTGTGTTTTTTCTAGTTCTTCACAACAAAAGTGCAAGTTTTAATTCACTGTGTAAATACACCAAAATCTAAGTCAAATCCAAGTTATATAAGAATCCCCTCTTATTAGGAAATAGTATTGAAAGTTTTCAAATGTTCTTTGTGGTTTTAACTTTGGGGAAGAAGCTTCTGATCCACCAGTTTTCATTTTTTATTAGGAAGACACACAGATATTTCATTGACAGTTCCATTTGCAAAATTAACACAAACAGCATTGAACTATCCATCTGGAATTACCCAATGTAGGAGGCCCAATTAATTATCTCACATCTCGATGAGGTTTTTGTCCAGTTTCCCTAATCCATTGAGCAAATGCTGAGATGGCCCCTTGTTTTGCTTCTGGACGTAAATGTAGCTTCACTATGTGCATGTTTTGTTGAACTCTCCTTTTGCTTGTAATGGTAAGAGTAGAGGTAAAGGTGAGTTGCTATTTTGTTAGCAATGAGGAAAAATCATACTTGCAATTCGTGTACTGATGCAAATAAATTTTCTATAACTCTGAAATGAAAATGACTATTTTTCAAATATTGCTAATCTTGCAATTTTTAAAATTTATTTTTATTTACTTATGTTAAACTTTCACTCATCTTTCAACTATTTATAGTTAAAATGACTGAAAAGGATTCTGGAACTCAAGAAAATGTGCGCAGATATTCTTCCTCCCCCTACCTCACATAAAGTTTTTACTACCTTTTGACTAAATAAATCTAAATTAATAATTTTTTCCCTACCACCACCCACCTCAATTCAAGGACATCCTAGGGAAATCCCAAGGTACAATCACAGGAAGCACTGTTGTGTGCACTTGGAGCATGAACACAATATAATTAATGTTTAACGTATTCTTTTGGAGGTAACTTCTTTTGTGGAATATTCTTATAAATACCACTTGTGCGTTGGAAATTTCTTGATGAATTCCCTTGTCATTCTATGACTTTGGAATTGTATCGAAAATTTTCAGTGAACTAATGGTGCCTTGTTAAGCAGAGCCTAATGTGAACTAATGGTGACTTGAGCAGAGAGGTACAAACTCCATTTGCCCGTGTTATTAATAAATAAATAAATAAAGAACTTTCCCTAATATGTAATTCCTTGGTATGTTTTATTCATAATTTCATTAATCTTCAGTCTTCCTTTTACAAATAAATATGAAAGGACATATGCATATTTAATAATTACATACAAAGTTACATATTTTATAGTTAAAATGAAAATGGAAATTAATCAATGGAAGCTGAAAATATGAATGAAATAAGTGCATAACACAGTAATTGTATATAATATTCATGTATAATGTAATTAATTTTTTTTTATCATTTTAGAGAAAAAATACTTTGGGGCCTGTTTACTGAGTCAATAATTCTGCTGTAGCCCATCCTTTTAGCTTCATATTTGAGACAAATTTTTTACTGACATTTCTTCTGCAACTAAAGCTAACTCAACTTTTGATCTAAGTTTTCTCAATAGTTTCAAATAAAATCGAGTATATATATAATTGTATATTTCATTCTTGTATTCTCTTATGAAAACATTTGCCACATAATTTGTGCATTACATTGCAAGCATCGTAGCTAGATGTCATCACCAGACAATGTAATCAAGAAACCTTGCAAGTTCAGGACGAGGGTTTCAGAATTTCTCCGAATTTTCGATAAAGAAAGTGAACCTTAGGAGTTTTTCAGATTCCTCATTCAGTTGTAAATTCTGTCTAAAATATATTATTACAAAAATAATAGACATATCTTCCATAGAATGTAAACTAGCAATTATTTGAAAATGCAGTAGTTCCTACTTTATAAAGAATCATTGTTGATAAGCAAATTATGACTTAATGACTGCTCTGTGAGAAGTAGTTGCCAGGTTTTTTCTGTAGTGGCTGATATTTGCTATACAGTTCGAGTGTTACAGAGTAGAATTGTACAACTTATTTACTTGTTTATAATGTACACAAATGGAAATGTAGCCAGCTGGCATTGTTCTTCTTAAAATGAAATTGTACATACAAGTATATTTGCTTCAATTTGTTTCAGTGAAAAAGATGAAATACATGTGCTTATTCGACCATGGATACGTATTAATGGAACCTTGAATCGGCGAGTGTTAGATCGTTTGTTAGGAGCTGTTTTGGGCCATGCAATGTATCAACCAGGACAGACCCTTCATTCCTTTGGGCGACGTTTTCAGCCAGCATTGCAACCTGTTCACACCCGTGAATTAATTGAAGTATACCTAATATATATTTTATTAACATATTTAATTCATATTTTAATTGATCTTAATTCATCATTTTTACAAACTAATAATGTATTTATTATTTTATATACTGACAATTGCATATTCTTGATTTTTATTTCTCTCTCTTACTTATAATTGGGGTTTAATCCTTGATCAAAAAAATTCTGACTCTAAAGCCTTCAGCTTCATTGTGTTCAGCGTGAGAATTGTAATATTAGTAAAGTAATTAAATTTTGTGAACTAATTGATAGAAGATTGATCTATATCCTTGCACAAATCTAATGATCAACTGTCAGTATGCCACGTGACCCATACAACATAGATGTTTCTCTTGCATACCTAAAAAATTGCAAACATTTATGTAAGAGGTAAGGAAGACGCTTTAAGTGGGAGGTAAATAGGAGGAAAAAGAAGATATTTGAGGGAATAAATTGGAGCATACGTATTGTGTGAGGACCAGAAGAGAATATATGATGAGTTTATGAATAAAATAATATTAATGATTTGTACTTCTGTATGAAAAAATTTATTTTTCAGATCCTACATAAACTTGGTTGTATAAAATTGTTGGTGCGAAAGCAAAAACAAAAAGTAACATTATTTTCAAAGCCAGAACCTGTTGTCCTCGGTAAGTAGTATAACCAGTTCTTAATTTAATACAGTGAAACCTCTCTGAAAGACCAATCCTCTCGACTATCTATTTTTATTGCAACAGACACTGAAACCCATATATTGCATGTAAACGGTATCCCTGTTAATAACCATTTCTTTCCCTGACAATCAACCAGCCTCTTTGATGAGACCCCTTTCAGAAAAATTGTAGGAATACAGTACACTGAAATTTCACTACATAAAATGAAAATCAATTGGATAAATTGGATTCACTCAACATGCCCTGTTATTGAGCTTGAATCCTTGAAGAAATAAGTATAGATGATTTTTGGGAAATCAAACAATATACCGTAGCATATAAGACACTGATATGGTGCCCCGGCGCTCGCTCCATTTTTGTTTCATTTTTACTTTATTGAATATGTATGGGTATATGGAGTAATATCCATAATATACAGAAAGTTATGTAATGCTGCTGAAAATCAATTTCAAGATATTTTTCTTTTTGTCCATCCATCTCTTTTTCCAAAATGGACATTCTTCAGGTGATCTGTCTCAGTCTCAACTCAAAGCGATTTTGAAAAACATTCTTTAAAATTTGAGGGTACTTTTCATGCCCTTGGAAAATTTTCAAAATTTTCTCAAAAATGGCACCAATTTTTAAATTTTTGAAAGAATAGAGTAAAAATACACTTATAAAGATGGCATATGTCCGTTTTTCCTTGTTAACTCTGAATTTTCTAAAATTTCAAAAATTGGAATTTTTTCCAGCGTTTTTCTACAACTATTAAATTGAAGAAAGATTTTTCCTTCAAGTAAAATTTATTTCTCCATATTTAGTTCTTCAATTAAGTCCATGTAAGGTTCATTTATGTCATGTTTTTCAAAAACTCAAAAAATGTTTCTGTGAAAAAAAGCTTCAAATTTCATATTTACAGTGGGGCTTAAATGCCATTTTCTTAAAAACAGCTCCAAATTTTTCAATGGAAATTGCTATTCAGGATGTGGTTATACTCTTCTTTAATATTCTTAAAGTAGTACTTCAGTTCGACTGTTAAGAAACCGAAAAATTGTAAAGAAAAAAAAAAAAAAAAAGTACTTGGGATGCTGGTAGATGGCAGCGGGCAAGAGCATGTGGCATGTCCAAAAGATAGCTCAGACCGAAGAAAGTACAAAACTTATTCGAGAAAGTCTATTCTGAAACACCTCTAGTTTCTAATATGATGAAGGATCTGATCTAATGTGACGATGGATGAAAGTGATTAAAGATTTAATTATATTAATTAATAGAGCCTTCTTTATCTTACTTTCTTGAAAGAACATCTCATCAGGACGATAATCTATGTCAGAAGTTAGAGTTATCAACTTGACCACTAAAAAGTAATTGTTTGGATTATATCTATGCCCAATGCTCACCCAAGATCCATCGTTACTTTTTTTTATTTACCTTTTTCAAAATGTTTTTTTGTATACTTCCTGCATAATTTTTATTAAAAGCCTTCCGTTCGAATAAAATATACACTTTTCTAAACATCCAATGGCTAGTAATAAAATACCATTTTCTGAAGGGAAAAAACAAAAACAACTACTAGATCAACTACCCCCTTTTTAATAACCACTCCTCTAAAAGACCACTTTTTTCATGGAACCAACAGTAGCCTTTTAAATATGGTATGTGTGAATTCTTATCTGGACAAAGTATAATTATGAGTTAATTATTCAGTTAAAAGTACAGATAATTCAGAAAGAATAATACTAATAATATAGTCTAAAAATAAATTTTATTTTATGTGTGATTCTAATGTTCAAAAGAATTGGTAAATGTCATTATTTTAAATAGAATTGATTGTGTCCATTTACATTTAAATTCTATGATGCTTTTGTCATTGAAGTTGAAGCTGATGGAACTGAAGATGATCAGGAGATTATTATAGAAATTGAAGTTGATGCAATTAGTCGCCTTGGTCAGTTCATTGGTGAAAAGTCATATAGTCAGGATTTTATGGCAGGTAATTGTTCTTGTGTTTGTTTGAATATGTTTAAAGGTCTCGTTTTCAGTATTTGTTGTATTGTGTTGTAATAAGTTGCCATATTATGTATCAATTAACATTTTTAGCTCAAGAGCAAATGTTTTCTGGGCGGGGTCCCTCAGAAGAGAAGTCACGGAAGAGAAAAATAGACTCTGCTGATGATCATACTGATTCTTCTACTGTTGAACCAGATGGTTGTTCTGAAAAGAAAAAAATGAAAATGTGATTGAGATTGTAAATATGGGTTTATAAAATTGAATGAATGTTATGTTCTGCATTATGTAAATACAATATGATTGATGTGCATATTTTGTCAAAATGACACTTTGTTTATGATTGTACATAAAGGTAAGTATTAAAATTAAGTGGTGTATTTAAAAGGATCAGAATTTTAACATATGCAGGAAATGCACAAAATCTGTAGATGGAATGAAGTAGACTTGTACACGATTCATCTCTGATTATCAAGAAAATATGTAACTTGTTTGGAAATTATTAAATGTTAGTATTTATTGAGAGTGAATGTTTGTAAACATCTAAACAGCTTTTAAATGGAATAAATAAAGATGATTATTATATTATTATTCCAATTTTAGTTTACCCTAGGACTATGTAGTTGTTGCAAGTTGCTGCGTTGAAGCAAAATTAAAACGTTTTGGCTTTGGCAGTTTCTGTTGAATTAAGGCCAAATGTCCCGACACTCGTTCAATTTCTTGCCACCACATGGCAGCACCAAAATAAGCCAAAATTACTTTACTAATAACGTCTGAACAAGTGGTCCAATTTCCAATCAGTAAACAACATGGGATTTGTATTTAAAATAAAAATTTTTTCAAAGCGTCTGCCCATCTGTGAACAACACTAGTGCCGAAACTGCAAGTATTCCCAGAATTTTCTTCAAAGTGAATATTCACTGGTAGACCTGGTCAGTCTCAAAGCTTTACAAGATCAAAAAATATTGTTTAAAATTTGGGGATACGTTAAATGACGCCCCAAGGCCATCTTTTATATTTTCTCAAAAATGGCTCCAGTTTTTTTTCTTTGGATTTGTTGTAAGAATAGATTAAAATATGTTCTCAAGGTGCCATAGGACCGACTGTTAACTTTGATTTTTGAAGGTTACAAAAGTTTGAATGTTTTAGGTGTCTCCTCACAATTACAGTATTGAAGATAGAGATTTTTCCAAAAATGAAATTTGTTTTCCCCAGTTAGTTCTTTCATGGACGTCATGCACATTTCTTTGAAAATTTTAGTTGCTTTTTTTTTTTTTTTTTTTTTTAAATATAATATTGCGTGAAATATGTTCATCACAAAAAATACTACTCTTGCACTTCCTGGCACTGAGATAACTGATGCAGACGAGCAGGTCTATGAGAATATCCTACCGTGTCATGTAACGAACCTCGAGTATTTTTTTTTATAGGCTGCACGCTTTAACGATGTAGGAAATAAGTTTTTTTAATGCTTCTTTTCATAAAATTGAAGAAAATTGATAGAATAAAAAAATATTTTGTGAAAATAGCAAAATATGTAATATAGTACTAAATATGTAAACATATATAACGAAAAATGTTGATATTGTTTTAGGACGACGACAATTCGCTAAAATTAAAATTTTTTGATCGGTATGTAGAAAGAGAAAGAATATGTGATTACTTATAAATCTGGTCTCTACTCATAAAGTTCCTCGAAAATTGAAAAGTTTTCTGAGAAACTGAGCTCGCAGTTCTGCATTTTCAGATACACTCAAACGTTGGTTTCTTGAATTTTTCAACAAAAATGTACATGTATGTCGATATTTTGTATTTCTATAGTATTCTTAAAGGCATGTTTCGGTTCTATCATTAGGGATAGGAAAAATTGAAAAAAAGTGAAAACATTATCTTTAGGTGGGAAGAGGGTGGAGTGAAACCGAATATATAGTCCCGAGCAAAGATAAGGAAACGAACTAGTTCGAGAAAGTCTGTGCCATTCTTTAGCATCACTAGTTTATTTTATTTCACAAATCACACTACTGGTGTTATAATTGGGGCAGACGTTCTCATATCCTCTGGAACCGAAGTATAAAACTAAATTTATCTTTAAGAATTGCGTTTCCAAATAATTCCGATTTTTGCCTGGTCATCCTTCAAACAAGTTCCGTAAACTGAGGTGACTTGGTGGCTAAAGGATGTTCAGTAGTAGCGATAGCGGAGATGGAGTGGGAAGTGTAAAGCGAAAAAGGGCAGCGAGCAAGCGAGCCAATCAGTATTAGTGGACTTGTTAAGGGCATTCGCAATGTTATCTATTTTCCCAAATTTCACTTTACGACGCTCCTATTCATCCCACTTGCATGATTGTCACGACGTCAAATGCCGATTACAGATCGAAAATCGGGCCATTGGGTTTTATCGGTAAATTCCTCTATGACAGTGCCGCGATCTATTGAAATTTCCTACAAGTATTTTTTTACTTTACTTTTTTCTTACGCATTTGACGCTTTTTTAAATAGAATTTACGCTACGAAGCCCCTTTTCCAAAAATTTGGCAAAAACTCGAATTTGAAATTTGTGCTCGAACTTCCGAGAAAAAATGAAAATATGTGGGCTTATAGCGCGACAGCGACATGCTTCTTGAATCCAACGTCGTGGCAATCATGCAAATCGGACGAATAATAGCGTCGTAAAGTGAAATTTGGGAAAACTCGCCCCCCTCCCCCTTCCGCCCGTTGTGAGCCTTCTGTCGGCGCGGCGGCACGGCCAGACCCAGCGGCGTGCGGCCAGCCCCGGCGGAGGAGACGGGAATTTCCGGGACAACCATCCAGACAGTCGGTTTATGTTTTCGTCACTTTACATCTCATTCTATTTTTCCCCATATCAAACTAGAGATGTTATACTACTATTACAGGCCAAGCAAACGCTCTGTATTAGTAGTACATAAGTATCTTTTTCACATGTTTCCGTCTTCTTCGAATACCATCTTCAAATTGTTTGAGGCATTACTCAACATATCGATTCCGATTTGGAACTGGTTTTTAAAAAATTGAACTCACTCTGCAAATATCACCATTGTTCCATTTTCTCATATCTTATTTTAGATATATTTTACTTCTAAGGTCTTCCGTTATCATTCCACCTTACTCATAAGATCTTCCGTTGTCACATACCGGAAAGAATGAGCGGAGTATACGCACGAGTTCTTTTATCCTACAACTCGATTTTTAATCTCAAAACGGCGTTTATCTGCTTTATAGAGTTCATCTGGCGAATCTCTTTTTCCAAGTAAAATAGCCGAAGCTAATTTTAAAAAGGTTTTCGTACTTTCGGACAAATTTAAAAAGGTGGTAAAATAGAGAACTGCATCCTGACTCCAACGCCGTAACAAGCATCGAAATATGATATTATGAATCATGACTTGCTCTCCCCGCTTGGTAAGTTATATTGATATAAAATAAATATGTTATATTTGTATAATTTTGAAGTGAATAAATAATTCCTGTCGCGTCTTTTCATACAGACTACGTATATGGATGAAGTGTAATGAAGCAATTGGATAACTACTAGATGTATCAAATACGTAAAATCAGATATAAAATGCAACATCGTAATTCACTAAACACTGCCCAAGTATCCTCTCAAAATATTCTCAAACAAAATCATTGTGTTAAGAATTTGAAATTACTTAATAAAATTTATTATTTAACCAAATCCTTGGCCTACTTAGTATACCCCTACTACCCGAAGATCCCTGAATACCTTGTGAGGATTCTGGATAACTACCTCAGTGAGAGGAAAATAAGATCAACAGAGATCAAGATTGGACCCCTTCCTCTATATGACCGTGGAATAAATACTCTATATGACGACCTGCTGATTACCGAACTCCCAAAGAATTCCAGACTCATAGGCTACGCCGACGAGACACTGATTTTATGCCATAGCGACGTGGAACTACTGGAAATGAAGACCAACGAATCACTACTCAGGGTTAAAAGATGGTTGGGCCAAAGAAACCTCCAGATGGCTGTTGACAAGACGGAGGCCGGCGAGATGGGTGTTGATTACGAACCGCAGAGCATTCCGCCCCCCCCCCCCGTGATCCGACTGGGGGAGGAACTTATTGAATGGAAACGGCATATGACATACCTGGGGGTGAATCGATTCGCGACTGAGCTTCGGACCCCATATTATAAAAACAGTAAGTAAAGCTGCAAAGACTGGATCAAATCTCTCCAGACTAATGCTGAACTCAGTGAAAGCAAAAGAAGGCAAATTTCTGCCGTAGTGCACTCAAAAATACTGTATGCCGCCCCAGTGTGGGCAGAAGCACTAGCTAAAGAGTCCATTCGACGAAAATTCACACAGATCCAGAGAAGGATGGCTCAAAGGATAATCTCAGGATATCACACGGTATCCAACAGTGCAGCCTTAGTACTGGCCAGTGGACCTTTTAGCCTAGGAAAGGAGGACAATGTACCTTAGGACGACAGCATAAACAACAAACTTTGTCAAAAAGACAATTAGATGAAAACTTCCAAGCATATCTATACAGATTTTTTAAATCACTGAAAGCCTGCTATGCGCACTGTCATGAAGGCGACGACGCTATGCACACTATATATAGTTGTAAAGCTTGGGAGGAAGAAAGAAGAAACTGCCACAACAAATTGCAACGGGAATTAACGCCTGCAAACACAGTCCAGACTATGCTGCAATCCAGAGACAACTGAAAAATAGTGCGAGACTTCGTGGCTTATGTACTAAAACAGAAATCCACAACTAAAAGCAGAGAGCTAAAATACCATAGCGACCATCTGAAGAGGAAAGCTCATGCTCTCAGCCAATCTTCTGCGTGAAGTAATGCCTCAACGACGGTCCCGCGCAGAAGATATCACGGCCCATGAGAAACGAGGAGGTTAGGTTTTAGTCGGTATGCCAGGCTGGAGAGCCCGACATAACCGGACTCACCGGTATGCGTAACGCATTTCCCCCTCTTCGGCAAAAAAAAGTAATAATAATAATAATAATAATAATAATAATAATAATAATAATAATAATAATAATTTATTAGTCAATGATTATGGTTTTGGGGAAAGTATGACAAGTTAATTACATTATTTCACAATCATTTTTAGATTAATAAATAACATGTTGCATTATTTTCTACAATTATGTATATACATTCACATACACACACTCATTTAAACTCACACACTTTGGAAAAGTTGCTTAATGTAGAATGTGGATAATACGGACATCTACCTAATGTGAACTTTTATCGCAGTCCCGCCAAACATAAATTCTTTTATATGGCGTTTTACAATGCATAATGCAAAATATTGTCTAATTCGAAAAAAATTCTGATCCCTTGAGATTCGGCATTGGTCAAACATTACTTAATATTTATTATTGGCATTATGAGACTATAAGTAAATATTATATAATTATATTTAACATTATAATACATAAATATTCATATATGATATCATGAAACAATATTACTTTATTCCCGTAATTAATGTTAAGGATTGAAAAGCAAGCTCACTTAAAAATTTTTAATTAAATAGTTAACATCCTGTGTATCCAGTGTTTCTCTCCAGTTTATTTCAAAGAAAGTATCACAAGGGCTAACTTGGGTGTTTAAGGTATTCATCAATTTTTAGTCATAAATAATCTTCAGGAAAATATCCTTTACTTATGTAATTAATTAGTTAATTTATTTATGTTAATATTCTTTATTTTCTCTGGAAACATATAGAGTCGTTCTCTGAAGTAGTACGGCACTTTTTGGCAGAGTTTTGAAGATGAGATAATTGCTGGGTATTAGGCTGATGTACGTAGGCTTTCGAATGAAGGGAACTAGCGCGCCAAAATTATTAGCGGACCGACTAGTGTCACGTGACTACAAGTCATGGAGAGAGTAGAGATCTCTCCTCTATGCACTCTGGTTATCACGATCGCGATCATGCGACATCTACCGGCACGACTGATAAAGATGCGAAAAGTGGTGTTGACTTGAAAAAAGTGTAACAAGATTAACATATAATATGCTTTAGCCTGTTAAATGCAATATTTCTTATTTGTTTTAAGCCAATATACATTTTTAATTACATTAAGCACGCCATTCTTACGTGAACTACGAAACAGAATACCTCGTTCCTACTATTATCCACGCACGTTTTCTTGAGCACTCATTTTGCCAGATGCGAGAGTTTTTTGATGAAACTATATTATCTCATCTTACTCTTTATTTTCGAAACAAAATAGTTTTTATTTCACAAAAGGGAGCATTTCTGGTTTTTAGATTTTGTCAGCAACGCTCCTAGCAATCATTTATTTTGAATTCAACTAATGACAGTATAGAAGTGGGGATAGGTATTTTGGACATTGAGTAGAGATATCTCTCTATGATTTTGGGGCTCAAGAAAACGTGCGCGTATAATACGCGTTTTTCACGTTCATTCGGCAATCTCGCGACGGTAGAGTCCATTTGTTGCGAGAATTTTACTCGGAGTTTACACCGTGGTTCTCTCTGCCAGCTCTGCGCGAATGCATTCTCTCTGACCATGGAGTACATGCTCTGCGTTTCTATGGGAGATCTTTGGCGAATTGTTGTTTTGATCAAACGCAGTGTGGATCCGCCATTGCGGCTCCATTGTGATTCTATCGTATTGGTAAGATGGCTACTATACCTAGAACCCATGAAGGTAATTAATAGTATTTACTCATTACTTAGAATTGATTAATTTCAAGTGTTGTTTCATATCCAGTTGTGTTTTGTTGATGCTACCCCATTTGTAACTTAAAGATGCCTTATGTTTGATCTAGACATAGAGGCGCAAATTCGGGACATCCAATCGAGGAAGAAGGAATTAAACGATGAAGTAAATGAAAAAGATCGTGTAGGATTGGGAGAGAGCGGATACTACGATCGTGATATTTACGATGGCGGTGGAAACAAATACGATGGTTACGTCACATCAATTGCAGCAAATGATGAAGTGGAGGTGAGTGATTTGTGCGATCCAATCGATTACATTCGTTGGCAACAATTTTCGAAATTGCATTGAAATCATTGTGTCATTTGCTCATTTATAAAAAGTAAGTACATTAGTTGTGGTTCATAATTGGAAAAATTCTGGAATGATTCGATAGGTCGTTGATTGTCAATGCAAAGTGCACAGAAATAGTTACTTATTTTCAGATTATTTGTGCAATTTATCAAATAATGATTGTCGGTGTCTGATATCCATGTCCCAAGGTATTATCCATTGCATGAATCTTACTTACACATGATAATTGATGAAGCCTGCAACTGTAATTAGCGTCTCTGAAGAATGATAGTATTAAGTTTCAAGAAAAACTTTTCTGGTGACATAAAAGGGTTTAAACAGTGTAGTTACACAGTTTAACAGTCAAAATTGTTTGCTGTCATAGTTTTTTGGTTACGTAGACATAGACAATGGATATTTGAGTAAACTTAATCTAGTTTATCTTTAATGAAGACACTATCATTCTTAACCCTCAACTGACAATATTTTGTTACACAAATGGGGGTCTCATGCACCCCATAAAAAACATAATTCTTAAATTTACAGTCGTGCACATTTCCATTTCAGGACTATTTTTCACTCTTTCGTTGTATTACTAAACTCTTGTTCATTTTGGTTCAGTGTCCTCCTCACATCTGTGCTCATCACAAATTCCTTTTCCCTGACAAAACAAAACCAATATTATGTATTAACCAATGTATTAATATTTCATTTTATAATTATTTCATAATTTTTCTTTAATCTGAATTTATACTTCAATACAAATGGTTTAAATGCACAGAATGCAAGGGTTTGGAATTAAAATACATTCATAAATTTTCACGAATGTAACACATACTGACAATGAAATGAATCACTATGATAGATGAAAAGAATTTACGTAACATTCAGCAGTCAGTTGCCAATATACATTCCAGTAAAACAAATTAAACATTGGGTGGGGAGATCTACACCCCAGTGTACAGGTTGAGGAGTTACAAAATTTGATGATTATATATAACATCAATTTTTGTTTTGTTTAAATTATTTACATCATCAATGATATAAAAAAATTTATTCACAGGGGAGTCTGTTCTCGAGTGAGAAGACGTGAACAGACGAACATGTGATACACAAGTCAATCCAAGTCGTTTGACATTTACGTGATGCAGTTAAACTTTCGTTTCAAACATAATGCACATATAATTACTATTTAAAAGTAATACTATTTCTGTATTAATTATTTAATTGGGCCCTTTTTGGGGCGGCCACCACAAAACCGAAGCTAACTAACAATACTACTATATATTACTATACTGTACTAAACATTTGATTTGAAAACTCTAATTACTGATTTGATGATGGAATTCAGTAATATCATTTAATATTTCATTAAATTAAACCTTGCCTTGATTCTCAGAAAGTCCATGGTCTTCTGTTAACTAGCTCGAAATCCAGTCTGCCAAGTTAGCCAGGATGAGAAGTAAAATGTTTTATTTTAAAATGAAAATTATACATGGGAAATTTTAAAAATGAACAATATTTGTATTGTGACATGTTATATAACATTGATTGGTTATCAAACCTGACCTAACGGCATTATTTGATAACTTTTAATCTCATGTTGTTTAATGATGTCTTGAGATACTTATTTCATAAGCAAGTAATATGCTCCTCAACGGAAAATAAATTTTCTTTTAATTAAATCAGCATTTCTAATCCTTTTTTATTCAAAGGCATATTTTTCTACTTCCTGAATTTGTTATTGATTTATATGGTGTATGTTGCCATAATATATTTTCAACACCCATTAATACATGAAAAAACACCCCTACATGTTCTGTATACTGTTTATATAATGATTAACTTGATTGGCCACATTGGACCACTTGAATCGTTTCACTTCACTTTTTACTGTTCATGGTCGACTGTCGAAGGTATCACCTTGAGGTGAGGATAAATCCTAGAGTTACAATTCTGAATGTTATTCAGAAAGGTGATAATGAGAGATGGAGGATGATGGA